GAACCGAACGTAAAGGGGGACCTGACTACCGCCTGCTGACCCCGGCATCTCATGCTTCATCGTCAAAGTCACTCTCTTCTAACTCAGCAAGGAGATCTGCCAACGCCGAGTCTTGCAGGGTGACGCCCTCGTCGTCATCTTCATATCCCTCATCCGAGTCCTCTTCGTCATCATCGTCATCATCTTCTTCACCTTCTTCTTCTAGGACTTCTACTGGACTCTTGGGAGCGGTAGTCAGCCACACCACAACACCAGGAATTGTGGTAGGCTCTGGTGCCTCAACCTCTGGCAAGGACATGCCAGATTGACCAGGAAGGTCAGCACCAGAATCAGATCCGGGGAGAAGAGGGGAAGATGGTACTCTTGGTTCCTCCTCTGGGCTCCACACGAGATCTTCTGCAATTTGCTGTGGGACACAAGTCGCGCCTTTGTTGGTCATGTTTGCCTGATTTAGTGGGAAAGAGCCAGCCACACCAGAATCAGGAAACATGGTAGCCATCATGATGGGAGAGCCTTTTGGGACTAGGCTTTCATCCCAGTACATGAGGCAATCGTCTCGGTAGTGATCAAGGTTGCCCTCGATCCCTGGAACTACCTCAACGGCGAGGTCCATCGGACTGTCGCCACACAAGTCCTCTGGAACCATCGCAAGTTCACCATGAATGTTGTACCAGCAGGCTGTGGAGACGCCCGCAACAACGACACCGTCATACTCGACGTCAGGCATTTCAGAAGACTCTGACTCAGAGATGGTACTCATGGAGCAGTCGAGATCTTCTTCATCTGCATCAGTCATCATCTGCTCCAAATGAGCATCAGAAATGGACACTAAGTCCATGGGTTCTTCTTGTACGAAGGCAAAGAAACCCCCGACCAATGCAGGGCACTGAGGAATCTCCTCAAACCAGGCAGTATCTTCGCTGTGCCAGCAGTACTCCATGGCCGAAGCCATCTCTGCTCCAACAGCACCCACTTGTTGGGCAGCGCTCGCAAATTGATTCTGACTGGCCGATAGGTCTTCACTGTCATCCTTGATTGACATGAATTCAAACAAGGATGCCAGATCAGAAATCTCCGAAAGGATCATATCCTGGCCAGAGGAAGGAAGTTCGTCAGTCAGTGGGTGACTTGGTCTGTGTCTATTGAATGTCCCTTGCTCAAAGGGACAGGGTAGAACAAGGGAACACTCAGTTGCAGGAGCACCGACACAGACTTCGTCATAGCCACTGATATGGGATTCGCCCTGGGTATCGCCTTTCGATGGCTCTGGAGCTAACCCAATGGGCTCAAGAGGGTTCGCCTTCGAGACTGGCACCTCAAACATCTGCTCCTCCAGAGCCTCCCCATAATAAGGGAGTCTCGTTCGGACCAAGCGTTTGGATCCCTGGTTCTCATGACGTACTGGAATGTACGCCACTCGATCCATATGGGAACGCTTGTCATCTTCATGAACTGTTGAGTTCATCCAATGGCAGACGCTGTTCTGTTGATTTATGGAAGTAGAACGAGAAAGACCTTCGACATCACCGGCACCTTTTATCTCTGAAGAAATAGCAGGACAAGACATAGGACCTAGAGTCTCTCCATGAGAACCACTACGTAAAGGACCAGAAGAGAATACTTCCGACGAAGTACAGAAAGACTGCAAGCAACCTTCACCGTCTGAAATATGGTCAATGTTAGTATTTATGTTTATGCTGTTGTGATCAACGGCTGGCTTACCTTTGTGGATTATTCTCATTTGGTATGAAGATGTGCCCATGCTTAACACAGAGGGGACTGGAAGAGAGGATATAGCTGCAAAGAGCAGTGCGCAAAGAAAGGCTGAGGCAAGACACAAGGTCTGCAAGGCAAGTTGGATGGGATAGGAAAGCATATGAGAGATTGCGGGAAGAGGGGTATAAGGGAAAAAATGAAAAAATTGAAAGGTTGATGCTTCTTTTATAGACAATTTGTCTCCATAATTCCTTGTTGTTGCTACTGTTGTTTTTTTGTGACAGCTACTACATTATTCATTCAACTATGTAACAAGACATTGTGGCTAGGAGGATTTCTTTACATTTCTTTTGATCTTCACTTCTTTCCGTAATGATCTGTATATAGTAAAGAGTAGTGATTTAATTCTAGCAGCTAAGATTAATTTAAGACAAAAAAATTAAATTAAATATCGCCTAAAAATGTGCCAAAGTATTAAAGCAATGAATTTTTCCTTTTAAAAATGACTAGATAATGAGAGAGAATGTTGAAGCAAATAAGTAAAGAATTATAAAAAGCTGAGATATCTTTTAAAGAAAATAGTTGAGATTATTTGTAGCTAAATGTTATTATCAAAGTCTAGAAACGTGGGTTTTTGTTTCCTCTTATTACTCAAAGCTGACCTGTGCTCTGATTATATAATGTGATTAGGTATATGGACTCGAGGAAAACAAGTAAGTAACTAGTGACTTTGATAGACAGGCAATTTTCAGAATGTTAGAGTGAAAGAAAATTATTTTGTGTCTATCACTTGAGGCCAGTGCTGGTATGATTAAATCTACCGACTCTTTGAGAGTATCTCCTTCATTTTTGAAGAGACCACGTATTTCCTAGTAATAAATGTCACAAAAATATATTATCAGGGATGTTCAAACTAAAGAGAAGAAAAATGATCTACATAATTTGTGTAAATATTAGTATGAAAATTTTGAGGCTATTGGAAGATCTTGAAGATGGAATGATATACGTCTGTATCAACTATTGTGTACTTTGATCAGCCTGAAAGACCATAAATATAAGCTGAACTGTATTATCAAAGATATATATTGGTTGAATACTGACATGCTATCTGTAATAAATAAAGAAGAAAAACATTTGATTCCACTAATATTATTCTTGGGTTTTTGTTTTCAACTCTACACAAACAGTCTTATTGCTATTTTCTTACTGTCTTTTACATAATATCAGCTCAACCTTACAATATAAAATTTTCCTTTAGTTTTTTTAATACAAAATTAAAAATTACATTGTTTAATTACTGTACAGTTACTTGGCTATTTTGAATGTCTGGAAATGCATTAAGTGTCTTATTTAATGCCTATGCTGAATACTGTTATATTCCTTGAATCAATGTATTATCTTAGAAGTGAAACTTTAGACCATGCTGATATACAAATACAAATACAAATCAAAGTCTGTGTTGTAACATTCTCTATCTAAATCTAAATAATGCAATATATATATATAAAGTAAAAAAGAAATCCTAGCCGCTTGAGACAACCTAGTACTGATCAATAGTAGAAATGTGGTGCTGAGCTTTGAGAACGTGTACTGAAACATGGACAGCCCAGATTTCATATGTATATATCAAATATTTATAATTGATAATGTTTATGTACTTTTTGCATATTAGAGCATACATATAAATACTTTTTCTCAGGTTAACTATGGCCAAGTGTTTAAATCTTCTTTAGTTAAAGCTTTATATATATATAGTCAAAGCTCAATATGATAATAATAGTGGAATATTCAAAATCATATCTTTGTTTATTTATTTTTGTAATCATTTTTATAGAAAAGTCTAGGTGAAGATATCTTGTTTAACAATAGTATCCAGAAGTACGTCGTAGAAAAATAGATATAATACACCAACTTTTACAGGTTTTAGCTTATAAGCTCGTATATTTCGATTTATAAAGTCATTAATCTACAGAAAATAAGTAAAGATAATGACAAGAGCAGAATAATCTAATTAAACAGCAAACAGAAAATGTGGTTTCTTTCTGCTATGTAATTAATGAATTGTACAATATATACTTGTGTGGATATATAAGTGTTTTACATACAAAAATAAGGCTTTTGCTTTGTTGTTGTTTCTTTGGGATGAAAGCTAGACAGGTGGTTTGTGTACTGATTCTTTATAATATAGCAATGTGGCTATGCTTAAATAAATCTGACTATTGTGAGATTTTGTAGAAAGACTTAGGGAAACATACTTTCTATACTAAAAGCAAATATTTTAGCAACTATTCAAAAACAATTTTATTACTTAGTCGTATCTATACACCAAACCATTTCATAAAAAAAAAGTATATATACTGGGGGTTTCAATAGTCCTTTAATTTTTAAAGCAGTAACTAATAATACGTAAGAGTTACTGAGTGATTTCTAGTACCATAAATGCTTTTTTCAGTTATATTAGGCATTATAATAATATAGTATAGTTTTAAAATAATATTGAAAGAGAAAAAGATATTTGCATTAAGCTTTCATTCAATTTCCAAAAAAAAAAGTAAAGATGTATTAAAGATTTGAAACTCTCGAAGGTTTTCTTTAATGAGTTTTAATCTTTTTTTTTAATGATCATAAATTAATTTCAACCAATTATATTTTGAAATTTGAACTCAGAGACTAAGCTTAAGATCTTAAAGCACTGTTGAAACCCCCTATTATGCAACTGAAGTTTTACCCTGATGTTTTTTGATGTTTTCCATCTCCAGTGTGGCCTATGAGTGAGCACTTTATTTAATACCAATTGAAGTGCTACAGCTACGAGTGCTCTTAAGCATTTCGAGAGTCGGCACATAGATTATTGCAGATAATTGAGGATATTGCTTGAGAAATCTGTAATAAAAAATAATAAAGTTTGAGCTCTCAAAATAGCACTTAATATAAAATGTATACATAACTTACTGAAGACATACAAATGTCTGTTTTTGTGAGTATCTCGTTTGTCTTAACGTCTCTTAATAAATACTCCAAAGACATCTGACTAAATCTAATGAGCTGGATCATCTCAATAAATGCCTTTTCGATCTTTTCTAAAGATTTCAATGACTTCTTTGTCTCCTTTGAATTGTTTTGATTCACAATTGCGGAATCAGTAAATGTGTTCGGGTTGACAGTTTTGGGAATTCTTGACTTGGTATCAGAAATAGCATTTTGTCTCCATGATAGAATGGAATTATAGATATCTTGTTCAGGAACAGGCGGGGAAAGATGGTCAATTTGAAGAACCTTTATCACAGTCTCTGGATCAAGTGTGAGCCAATAGTTGCTTTTGATCAAATGGCAGGCTTATCTCCTCACAATTTTCTGATATGCAATCTCAGTTTCTTTACATTCGTACTTGACTAAAACGGTATATAAAGTACTTTCAATCATAAGCAATTATTAAACCTAATTATTATAAATTTACCTGCCAAGTCCCAGACTGGCCACATGTTGGTGATGTCTATATTTGATCTCAAGTAACGAAACATAATATTGCAAATGATAGATAATTCAAGTTGGTCAACTGCTTTAGTAATCTCGGAGACTTCATATATGTCTTTCACGTCATACACGGAAGAGTGTATAAAGATGAGAATCTTTTCAAAGATTTCCAGGTATATACCACGTATGATTACATCTTCTTTATTATAGTCTCTCATTTCAGCTGTAAAAAGGGTCTTGATCCAGGGAGATGTGGCAGCTAGAATAACTTTATGACACTACAAGTCTCGATTTTCAAATTCTACTTATTTTGTATTTCTTTATTTATTTTTGGGGAAACGTTTAGTTTCAGTACTTTATATATAGTCATATATACTTGTCTAGTATTATAGTAAGCTTACCGGCTACTACATCATGTTCATTTTGAGTATTAATGACTTTAACCGCTACATCAAAGAACTCTGAAGAATCGTGATAAGACGAGAAGTCGACAAAGGGGAGTAAACACAATGGCTCTCCTGATATAACTTCAAAACTAACAATTAAGTCCTCTGATAGGAAATCATTTATGCCTTCAAAGTAATATGAAATTTTATAGGTGTAAGAATCTGTTAAACTTCGAATATTAAGATCATAGAATTTACAGGTATTCATAAAAATTACAAAGTCTTACCAGTTCCATTTTGATTTTCTGCAGAAATATATAAGATATGAATTAATTCTTTAGTATATTTAGAGTAAATTAGTCTTGGTGCTATTTGCTCTACCTTTGTACAAATTCCCTCCGACTTTTATCTCGCTTCTTCAGAATACGTAGATGCAAATGACTCTTATAACATTGGGTAGGTCACGGTCATCGTTTTTTAAATTGGTTTTCTGTAAAGCTATTATAAAATTCCGAGACTATATTGATTTTAGATTTTATAACCGAAAAATATGGTACATATTGATACTAGTTTAATTAAAACTTTAACAATCTTGAGGATTACATGAGTTCAGCTGTATTACATAAATAGCTGTATTAAGAAAATGTCATTTAAACCGATCTTTTAAATATTGTATAGACTTACACTGATGGTGATAAAAGATATCTTTAGTAAGATGGATATGTTGAATTCAATATGAACAGCAGCAAAAAAATACTATAAAATACAGGTATTCGTATTTTCTTACTATCTATAGCTACCGCAAATATTCCGGGTTTTTAGTGTAATCGCATTAAGTTCAAGCATTTCATTTTTCCCTACTCTAAATTTTCGAGTCCATTGATATGAAAATAAAGTCCTACATTGTACACAAATGTGTTCAAGAAAGTTCCTTATACATATGTGTGTGTACCTTATGATACTTCCTCTGTGCTCATGCTTTAACAATACAGAACAGTAAGAAGAAATAGATATTCAACAATTCAAGATGTTTACGTTACAGTTCCTTTAAATACTTTATTTCATTTTATTTTTTTAAAAAAAAGAGTCAATTGATAAAAATTTATTAATTATAAATAATGCTTTGACTTCTATCGGACTGATTGACAGTATTTGATTAATAGAGCTTATTTATCTACTAGTATCCTAAGAGCATCTTCAGCAGTCCACTTTAACTCCACTTTTACTTTAAATTTAATTATTTAGTTAAAGTTGGTACCCCCAGCAGTTCGATCTTTTATCTGATTGTTCAAGTTAACAAGATAAAAATGATTGATGAAAACGTTCTAAAAAATTATTTAAAGAAAAATATAAATTGAACTACTGGGAAAGGTTACCTTTCCTTTAGCTAATGTGGTGATACTTGGCTTTAGATAAAGTAAATAGTTAACTCACTGCTGAAGATACTCTAACATGTTGGTGCTGTTGTTTCAGACGTTTTATGGTACGAGGAGTGACCGTACTGATAGAGAGGATCTTTAGAAATCAATCGAGACAGCCAAGAAAGTTAAACACCTATTTGACAAGATACGGATTTCTTGAATTGACATACTCACAACAAAACAGAACATTGGATAATTGATATCTCAAAAAAAATACAGGCAAATGATATCTAGAAACAATGAATCTGATTATGAGTTAGGAATAATAGAACGGTCTAGGTCTTGTAGATTAGGTTAAAATTCCAAAGAAGAAAATGAAACAGCAACGTCAAAGAAATATGTTGTTTGTTTATATATATATAAAAGAAACATGGAAATATCAATCCTAGCCTTTTAGATAAGTAATATCAAGAATTACCATACAAACAAACTGAGATCAAAAGAATACAAATGAAAATGAATAACCTTGCACTAAACGTTAATTATTAGACTGTTAATACTATAAATGAGAAAAATATATTATATCAATTAATAATTACTTGTTTATTTCTGGGTATTAACCTAAACATGAAACACTTGTTTGATGATATAAACAAGTACATTTGCATTCCGAGGTTGTATCTTATTTGTTTTCTTTTTAAAGCACGTTACAAGTATACCTTTAGGAATTAGCTTAAAGTGTGTGTATCAAAAAAAACCCAGTGTGTGGTGGCCACCCACTAATAAATTGGATAACATCCTTATTATCGTTATCTATTTCGTATATGTCTCTTGTGATTTTCTCGTCAATTTTAATCGAAAATGCGTATATATATATATACGGCTATCACAATGTATTTATCTCTTTATCTCTCAACCCCACTCAAAAATTTGCTCTATTGAGTTCCAAAAAGGCGGATTCAGAGCCACATCTTTTTTGTCATTTGTTTATGATCATTTTCGTGTAGTCAATGAGGCTCCAACCCTTATAAAGTCTCTCATTATTGAACCTCTTTCTTTAGTTTTTCTTTGATATTTCGATATATAAATATTGATAGACACCAATAAAGTTTGAATGACAAAGCCTTTATTTTTTGTGCGGCTAAAACATAACTAGTCTACTTTTTTTTTGTTACATAAATAACAAATGGTCCAAAGTTTTCCATTATACTCAGTCCGATTTTCTTTTTATTTTGCTTCTTATTTTAAAATAATACTTAAGCTGACTCTAGTATTGTACTATATCTTATTAATAGTATTCCAATATATATTTCTCCAAACTGAACTGACATGAGCTTATATGAGATGTCATGAAGAGCATTAGTAAACCCCACTCCTCATCTATACATTTTCTTATATCATTTATTAACATTTTTATTACTGAATTTCAGAGATATCACAAGAGCTACTTGGGGAATGTTTTGTATAAAAAAAACTAGAAAAATGATAACGTGTAATTTACATATATTTTATATTTGTAAATAATAGGGGGTTTCAACAGTCCTTTAAGCTTTCAAACTTAAGCTTTGAGTTTAAATTTCAAAATATAATTGGCTGAGATTAAGCTATAACCGTTAAAAAAAATTAAAACTCTTGAAAGAAATCCTGAGTTTTACTTTTAATACATTTTTGCTTAATTTTTTTTTTTTTGAAATTTAATAAAGCATTGATGAAAAATATATTTGCTTCTTTAACTATTATTTTAAGCTTATGCCATACAACTACTATGCCTAATAAAACTGAAAGAAGCATTTAGGGTACTCAAAAACACTCAATAGCTCTTATATATTATTGGTTATTACGTTAAAACTCAGTATAAGTTTAAAAGCTTAAAGGACTGTTGAGACCCCCTAATATTGACAGTTGTTTAAATACATTGGTGACTGTTGCTGCCACACTGAACACACATATATTTAAATATATATATAATAATAAAAAATACCTCAGTTGAACAAGGGCAGCTCTGTCTATATATATATATTTGTTTTTTTTCTTTATTTTCTTTAGAGACGTTATTATTTGTATATTCAAATATGTCCAGTTCATTTAGCCTTCATACGGCTCTGGAAGAATTAGATTCCCTTGACACAAAAGCCAAACAAGATTCAGGCTCGCAATTCGAGATCGCGGTTAAATGTCTTGAAGAACCTCTCAAATGGTTACAATCGGGTATCGATCAATCTTCCTCATTGACTTTTCAACAAAGACTTCAACTCATCCAGCATCCGGCCTGGAAGCGACACCTCTGGGTAGTCTGCCAGACGATCATTCCGCACTGGGCATTCGCGCTCGGTCCTTCTAGTCCTCACCGCAATTTACTTGAATCAACCTTTGTGCATCTCAACGATACAACTACAAATCATACAGCTAATTTATCTCAACAACAAAAACAAGCGCAAGAGTCTTGTACGATGGCTCTGACAGGTCTTACAATCTTGTTGGAGTGTCTGGTGACAGAAAAAGATTGCTCTCTTGGTGCACTCGAGATCTACTCTCAACTCATAAAGAATCTTGTGTCTCCAGCACTTTTAAAGCTCTATATTAAAAGTCAAACAGATACAACGGATCGATCAAACGGTTTGACTACTGCTAATAATTCACCAAAATCAACAGCAACAAAGACGACGACGACTATGATGGATTCTCAATTTTTATGTACTCTTTTATGTTCAATTCCTGCACGCTTAGGAAATGCATTCGGGCTCCAAACAATAGGAAAATACGGCGAGACAAATGAATGGTACTTGGATAAAAATTATTTTGTAGTGCTGTCTCGGCAATTGGCGTACGCGGCTATTGAGACTGAAGAATATGATGAAAAAGAAGAAGAAGGGGACTCGTGTGTATCAAAAGATACGACCAATAATTATAAAAATAAATTGAGGAAGAATAAGGATAAGAATAAGAAGAGTTGTATTGGGTTCATGGCCGAGTTGTTGGCCAAAATGCTCCGTCAAGGTTATGCAGGTAAGAAATCCATTAAATTGAATACAAAGGAAGGAAGAAAGAGATAAGTAGAAGAAGTAAAGGAAGCAGAATAAAAACGATAGTTTCTGTACAAAATTTAAAACCATTATATATCCATATCCCTATATATATTTATCAGATAAATTTTCATATAATAATATAATAATATACCATTTTCATGTATATAATTCGTGTGTTTTTTATTTTATTTCATTTTATTTCTTTATTTTGGTGTGCGTGCGTTTGTCCTTGTATACTTTTGGACTTTTGTGTGTATACTTTTGTGTGTATATACTTGTGTGTTTATGTCTTTATATGTTTTGTACGTGCACAGAAACATGCATTAGAACTATATATCCAATCGCATTGGCACACTTGATATCAGCACCATGGACCAAGCTATGGGAAGATGCTGAAAGTTTGTCTACTTCTCATGGCTTATCCAAAGCAACCTTGTTTTTTGTCCATGAGACCTTGATGTCTCAACAGACCGACAAGACCCAGCCGATCAAAGGGTCTGTGATCAAGGCAGTTGTTGTTGATTTGGCAACTATTGTTTTTGGACCCTCCCCTCCTATCTCTTTGCCTTCTCTAGTCGATAAAACAGACACAGCTAAGAAACAACAACAACAACAAAGGCAAAGACAGCGACGGATTATTGAATTTTTAAAGCATGTAATCTTTGAACTTTGTGGTGTGCGATGGACTGACACGGATGTTCTACGGCTGGCAATTGCGACAGCTGTTGTTGCCAGTGGTCTTGATTGGGACCAAGATTCAAAAGAGTGGAGGTTATCAGAGAAGACTAGTACGATGACAATTGAGCTACTGACAGCTGTTATTGAGAAATGGACAGATCCTGTGTTTATTCGCCACAGCAGCGAAAAAGAACGCCACTGTAAGTTAATATTATATACATTTGAATTGAATCGAATCGAATTGAACAGAATTGAATTTTTTTTATAGATATTACAGGAGCATTGAATATATTGGCTGGATATCTTGATAAAGATAGTCTTGCTCAAGTTGTTTCAGGTACTTCTCTTATGAGTGGTATTACCAGATGGTTTGGTAGCGCAGACATTGGTACAGCCAAGTTGGGAGTAGTAAGTGTCATTACATAATAATATGATATAATTAATTTTTTATTTTATTTTAATTTTTATTAGGTGGTTGCGGAGAGTGTATCTGGGCGTATAGATTCAAAAGAGTCTCGATTTGCGTGTGGGGTATTAGATTTACAGACCGACCGCAACCTCTTCCGACTCAAGGACTTGATCGATACTAAAGATGCACTTCAACAAGGTAAAAAAAAAAAAGTAACGACAAATCTGGGGTAAAAAAATAATTATATATCTGTATATAAAATTTAAAAAATATTTTATTATATTATATTATATATAAAAAAGGAAAAGACGTTTAATTACCGCCTTACCATAGCTCCAACATTTTATATGATTAAAGACAGAATGATTTGTTTTTTTTTATTAATTTATATATGTTGTTTATTGTAGAAACCAAATGCGATGAAGAGTGTTTAAAAGACCTATTTGAAAATGATCAAGATTCTAATCGAGAATTAGAAAGGGAACTCAAAGAACCAGAAGAAGAAACTGAACTTGATCCTGACGCCTTATTTGATCCAAATGGTAAAATAGAAGAAAAAGAACAATTGAGATTGATAAAAAAACACACGCACACAATTTGGTGGGGGCGGAATAAGGAATCATTTAGAGGAAACTTACGCATTTAGACATTTCCTTATTCTCAAAAAAAATTCTAACAAAAATAGAATCGGAAGTATCAGAAGAATCTGATTTGGAGCCTTACCTAATGGAAACTGAATCTGAAGAAGATAACGATGATGATGATGGTGATGCTCACGGTCCTGGTGGTGGAAACAGTAGCAATGGTAGAAAAGGTGTTAGGGTAAAGGCCAAAAGTGTAAGACAACCAGCGTAAGTTTCCGGGGAAAGTATAAAAAGGTTATATATATATATATATATATACATAAGGTTAAAAAATAATAATATTAAGAACAAGGGTTACTGGTGATTGAGTAAATGAATTCATGAATTCATGAATGAATTCTAAAATGAATTTTACTAAAAATACATACAACATTTTACACATAAACCTTTTATGTTATATTAACCAATTATAATATATATTAATATTACTGTTGATACTCATTTGTCTTGTTTGGTAGCTACATGCTTGACTTGATCAGTTACCTTGAAGATCATGACGATCCAGTCAAGCTTGAAATTGGCTTGGGTGCAGCAAAGACGATTATCCGGCAAAAGGCAGGCATCGGAAGTGAGATAGGTAAAATAAAAAATATATCTTGAATTGAACACAGGCGGAGATATCTTGAATTGGGGTTGAGACAAAAAAAAACCAAGAAAAGAGGGGATTTGTTTCTTAATATTTTTGTTTTTTTGGGACGGCTAAACGATTCTCAGGGGAAAACTGTGTCCAGGTGGCTTCACTGCTAATTCGGTTACCCGAGACGTACGAATTAACCAATTTCAGACAACGACAGCAAGATGCATTGGTAGCTCTTGTGGTTGCTGCACCCGAAACAGTGACAAGGTACTTTAGGAAAGAATAAGGCAAAGAGGTCATAGATGGCGTAGAAGAATAATAAGAGGAGTATAATAGGATACTAATATTATATACAATCGTTATTTGATTTTATTTTATTTAAAAAAAATTACTTTATTGTATATTGCATATTTTGTTATTAAACTTGTATTGTTTTCTAGTTTTATTATTGATCAAATATACAATCGAAACTCTTCAAATGGTCAAAAACAACTGCTGCTAGCCGTAATAGCACTTTCTGTACGAGAATTGGCTGGTTGGACAGAAGACAGGGTAAGTAAAAAAAAAGTTATTGTTATTGTTATTATCATTATAAGTATAGATATAGGTATAGATATATAGGCGATAGAAAAGAGAGAGAAAAAAGCTGGGGAAGAAGAGTTCCGAGGGTTGAGAGTGCAAGGGAAATTACATGGACTTATTATAGATATCATCTACTATTTTTGTGTCTGTGTGTATGTGTTGTGTGCATATTCAGGTTACGGATATTCTAGACAAGGCAATTGACAAAAAGGATCCTGGGTCACTTTCAGGTACCCAGTTGACCCGACCGACTGGAACGGTCAGGGTGTTCTCTCATAGTACTGAAATCGAACGGAAGCGTAAAGAAGCCACAAAGGCAAATCGACTCAATGGACTAGCCCAGCCGGTTTTCTTTACTCCATTGTTACTTGGATGGTGGGAGGGTGCCGAAACTAGAGCAAGGTAAAGCAAAGAAAAGAAAAGAAAAGAAGAAAGAGATATTAAATCTTACTCAAACTGAAAAATAATAATATTATGGCTATGGTTATTACTCGTTATCAACAAAAAAAAATAGATGGTGGATAGGACACGATAAACTATTGTCCGAACGGTTCATTATGACACTCAATATAATTCTACATAGTTCAAGTAAGTAGACCAAGAAGAAAGGAGGAAGAAGAACCAGCTGTATCAAAATCATTTCATATTAATATTATTCCGATTATGGCTATGGTGGTTATGACCATGGGTATGATGATTATTTGTTTATGTTGTGTCTATCACTCTTTGCTCAATGTATAGCAAACACTGTGGATAAACGGCGTATTGTGACAGAATATTTTGAATTTTGTTCATCTTTGCGCTACACCAACTGTACCCGTGGGATGAAACGTTCAATGCTACTTGGAATTGACACGATATTAAATACAAGCTACAGAGATCAAACCGAATTACTTGTAAATCAATTTGCAAGAGAATTAGCTGGTGTTCAAGAATGGTTACAAGGTAAAAACAAATAAAAACTAACAACATTAACATCAGCATCAACATCAACATCAACAACAAAAAAATGATCTTTTGGAAAATTGAAACAGAGCTTAAATTGAAACACATTCCTCTTCAATTTTTTTTTAATTTTTTTAATATAGATATTGTGGAAGGCGTAGATGAAGATGAGATTAAGCAACTTGCTATCAAATTACTGGGTCAGATAATGCAGATATCAATGTCTGCATAAAAAAATGTAGAAATAAAGACGAAGAATAAAAAGAAACAATTGGAACAAAAATATTCAACGCTTATTATTGTATTGTATTGTATTGTATTTTATCTTGATGGTTTTGAAGTGTGTATATATTAATATTAATAAATAAATAAAGTACATGTATAGATAAATAAATGCCCGTAATTATTTATTTTAAAGTACAGGATTTTCTCCAGAATGATTACCGGCTAGATATCTTTACCGTAACACGAGTTCCAACTGAGCACAACATTTTTTTTATATATTTTCTATTTTATTTTCTTCATTCACGTTGACGCCTTTAAACTTCCACTTCACCGCACTATGAAAGGTGCTTCATATCACTTCATTTCAATGCACTTGACTTTAACACAACTCTATTGTACTAATGACAAGAAACAGCACAAAACTGGTATGCTAAATTATCTACGATTTTAATGATAATGAAACTCTTTTTCTTTTTTTTTCTCTTTTTTTTTCAGTTCATTTTATTATGTAATAAAACTCTTTATGGCAGTTGTGTATATGTATAAAAAGAAACTGTGGAGTATATACAGGCACAGTTCTTTATTGTGCCAATTTTGAAAATAGATTTAAGTATTGCTAGTGCGCTGTAATCTAGTAAAAGTTGTTTTTTTTTTTAAAAAAAAAGAAAACAACAACAGCTATGACCTATCAAATTTGCATTCTTGTCATTAACACAACTTTATTCTGCTAAAGTGAAGTGCGGTGAAGTGTAGCACCTTTCATAGTATAATGGAGTGTGGGTTTAAAGGCGCCAACATGAATGAAGAAAACCAAAAAAAAAATGTTGTGCTCAGCTAAGGCTTGTGTTACGGTAAAAGAAAAAAAGAAAACTGTATAATCTGATAGAGTGATGGTTGCGATGGTGATAAAATAAAATAAATATAGAAAAAAATAAACCTTATTTTTTTTCTTATTTTTTAATGTTTATCCGTTGCCTAGATACACCACTACAAACATTTAATGTAAAGAAGAAGAAGAGTAATATTAAAGGGTTTAAAATAACCACAGGTTGAATACATCATCAGGGTAACAATAAGATGGCAATAGCTTGTTAATAAGGATAAACCAAAAACCAAAACCCAAAAAAAATATAAATAGGACTAGTATTTCTTTTAGACACAATATCCATATATGAACAAAATATAAAACAAAAAAAAATAGACGAAGATAATAAAGCGGTTGAGAAAGGATATCGTCCTAACGTGTTATTATTTTATGATTTGAAATCAATCAAACTAACAAAAGATAGAAATGTCATTAATATGCATGCATATATATGCATTTAAGAGAAGGTAATAAAAGCAAGAAATACAAATGGTATCTGCTGTGTGCATGTTATTTTACAAACAGCTATTATGTTTTCATGTGTTTATTAGTCAAATTTAAAGAGGTTCTTGTCATTCATTCATTTCCTCCCTTTTTTTTGAAACGGGTTTTTTTTCTTGAAACTAGTTTATTTGATATCTTGGTATTTAAGCAAGACGTTTCATAATCTGTATTTGATCTAAAGATCTATAAGATCTCTATGTAAGAAGAAAAAGAAGAGGGGAAATATATAGTATACATATACACAAGGGACATCGTTTTTTCATTTTTTTTTTCTCTTTTATTGATTGATCATTTTATTTTATCTTTTGGAGTGGCGCCCAAGTTACCACACCAAAATTTCAAAAAAAAATTGAGCTGGTGCACTGGTCCGTCATAACTATATTTGGTGCGAAGATCTTTTTTTTTTTTATATGTGTATTCTTATTATTTATATATATATATATTTCTCCACAAAACCAACCCTTCATTACATCTTTATCATACTTATTTCTATTTCTATTTTTTGTATTAATATATATATATATATATAAATATATATACACGATTAAAGATTATACTCTACTTTATTTTATGTTATATTTACGTCCAATAACCATGACAATACTGAAAAAAGACCAAAATTGAGTAAAAAGATACGATCAATCGACCGAGAAAATGACCTCTTTTGAAGAATACAATTTCTCCATTTAGGTTGTCTTGTATACACCTCTATTTTATATATATATAAGATTTATATTTATATCTATACACACAAACACACATACTCATATATACACATACACAAATAAAATGAAGGGTTTCAAAAAAAACCATTTTGAACTATTGTATGGCTGTGCTTTCACATGAGGCATTACTGGGTCCATAACCACACGTGGCAAAAGAAAACCCTACTTCCCTCATCTATGCTACTATTTATTTATATACATATATATTATTTCTTTCCATTTGGTTACTACTACACAACTACCAATACCACTAAAACCATAACCATAATCACAACCACAACCACAAAATACTATTACTATTACCACCACCGTAACCACCGTAACCACCGTAACCACCACTACCACTACCACTGCTAGTTCCCATTTTTTCCCCTCTCTTTCTTTTTAACTCAATTTACACGTGGTTCTCTGTCATGACTTGGCGCAAAAAAATAGACTTCTTTAAACTACCTTGTCTATTTTAAGTCTTCTTATTCTTATCCATATTTCTTAAGTACAGTACGGATAAATTTGTTTAAAGAAAGCATAATGGTTGTTTGATTTTTATTTTACTTTATATAAATATAGATAAAAGATATGTATTCTATTTCAACTATTATCAAAAACACAGGCAAAAGGGTAGAAATTATACAGATTTTCCGGAAACTTCATTCTGGTGGTTCCTGAATTCTCGGGTTTTTAGCGGTGTGTTGTAATAGTAATCTAACTATATAAAATAAAAATAAAAAATGAAAAACAGAGGTCACAATATGCTTCTCTGGCCTTTTTTTTTTCTTTCTATTTCTTCTTTTGTCATGGTCGGCCATTCACGGAACCATCGGACACTCAAAAATATATTTGTTTTAGGACAATGGTAAAGAAGTCCATTAAAGACACAAACAAAAAAGGAAAGAAGGAAATATGGAGAAATATTTATATAATATATATATTTCATAAAGGGGTATAAGAGCCAGAAATTTAAATAATAGATTACTTGCGAAAATTAATTTCTAGCATGCAAATGTCAAAATCATTATAATGGTAATTGAGTTACCATTTGCTCTTCTTCTATAGTTTTAAAAAAAGCAGAGTAAAGTAGTAAGAAGAATATATATAAAATTATATAATAAGAAGGTTTCCAAGTGCCATGGTCTATTTTTCATCCACACAGTTGTAACACATACACAAAACCCCGTCATTAAAGATATCACTTTTTTTATGTATATATTTTTTGATGCTCCTTTTGAATTAAAATGGCTTTATAACAGATAATCCCCAAAGCCCATTGTTTGTTGACCCTACTTCTCTTGTATATACATATATCTATCTATATATATTATATATATTTTTTATATGTATTAATATAAATATATATTTTTACTACTTTATCTTTCTTCTTCTTCTTTTATTAATATTTTTTTAAACGCGCTCGAGTGTTTGTATACCTTTCTCTCTTATATATTCTCCTTCTCTCTCTCCCTCTCTCTCTCTCTCAATATTAACGTGTCTGTGTTTGTGTGTGTCAAACCTACATCTTTATACTCTTTCCTCTTTTTACGACCTTACTCCTCTGTGTATACACATCAAAAGCTTTTGCCTTTCATTTCTATTGTAATATTTTTCATTTATTTTTTATTTTTTCCTTTAAAAAAAAGCAACCCAAAAAAGCATATACTTCTTTAATTCACCACTGTTGCATGTCCACTATTCTACTTACGCCTGATTGCGATACGACGGTTATTCCCATTTGATCATTCGTTATCCTATCTTACTGGCATATCTTTTATATATATATACGTACATTTTACATATCATTTCTTTTCTAAAGAACACACACACAAAAAAAAGTATATATTTATATTTGTATCCAAGTTATTCCACATCTATCCATTACACAAAAATATACAAAAATACAAACCAAAAAATTATATACGAACACTACACACATTTCATTACATACACACAATTGAAATGGATTATTGTACTCCTCTTCCAAACACCTCATCGTCGTTTGATACACTACTTTTGCCTGACTGCCGCTCACCGACCTCCCTTTCTCTCCAAGAGCTCATCAATGCACCCGAAAATGCGGAGTCACTCTTAGACCGGCTCACTGCAGACCAGCTGCTCTTAATCGAGCAAACGATCAACAATGTCAAGAGACGTAAACTAGACAAAAAAACGGTCAAGATAAACCCACGCTCACAGCCTCAACCTCAACCTCAACCACAATCACAATCACAACCACAACCACATCCACAACCACAGCCACAACAACCACAGGTACAAGTACAACAAGTACAAATAAAAGTACAACAAGATCAACAAGACCAGCAAGACCAGCAAGACCAGCAAGACCAGCTTCCTTCTCCAGTTTCACCTTCTCCTCAATCCGCAAACGCATTCATGCTCAACATTGACCAAAAAGCTTCTTTGGACCAGTCGCCACCACGACTGTCATCCCCACCACCCTTGTCATCATCATCTTCTCCTTCTTCACCAGACTCTTGCCAGGAACGCATTGCAGCCACATCTGCACTTGCCAACGCGCTGGCCGCTGCCCTGTCCTCGACTCCACTCTCTCCACCACACTCTCCAGACGCGTTCACAACCCAAAGAGCATGGTTATCTGGATCTTCTACTACTGCCACTGCCACCGCCACCACTACCACTACACCCATTAATGCCGTTTCTGCTGCTAATACTAATGCTAATATTGTGAGTGGTACCGGTAATGGTTCTAGATCTGGTTCTGGATCTAGTTCTGGATCTGGATCTGGCTCTGGTTCTGGTTCAGGCTCTGGTTCAGGTTCTGCTGCTGCCGCTGCTGCTGCTGCTGCCGCTCCAAGTGTGACATCTAATGAACCTCTGACAGAGATCAGAGATGGAATTGAATGGGTCTCGTTTGTGTACTCTCATAACCGCACTCTCAAACGTTATTCTATCCGCACCGACATCACCAAGGTTCTACTGAACACCATTGATGAAAAGTTCAAGACCGACAATTGTGTAAGTTACCCGTGTATATCTTATTTTTCTTTCATTTTACGTTTTCTCTCTCTCTCTTTCTCTCTCTTTTGGAACCATTTTCGCGTGACACGTGAATGGGTTTTGCAACCTTTTTTTTCCTTCCTTCTCTCTATTCTCTATTTATTTTTATTTTATACTATATGAAACCAAGACTCCGCATTAGGCGGCGTTCTTTGGTACATAATTATATATATATAATATTTTATTTTTGTGTGTGTATTGTTTTGAACCCCCAAAAAATATATGTATGAAATGAATATTAACATAATATCTTGATGTATTTCTTATTTCAAAAAAATCATAGGTGTATCCAAGAGCTAATCTTCCAAAGGAAACCTACAAAGGTAATCGATGGGCATATGAGACAGAATGCAATTTGTTGGGATGGAAACTGGCTTGGCTCAACAAGAATGAGATTTCGGGAAAGCGTGGTTTGATTCAGCGTGCAGTGGATTCCTATCGAAACCGGTACCCCAGCATGCGATCCAGAAGAGTTGCACGCCAGGAAAAGTTATTGAATGGGACACTACGAAAGAGAAAGAACCGGGAAGGTGAAGAAATCGGTGGTAGTATGGGAAGTAGCGAAATTGGTTCTTCTTTATCATCACTTTTACAACAACAACAACAACAACAACAACAATCACAGCAGATATTACAATCATCAGCATCATCATTATCATCTATTCAACAGCAACATCAACAATCTTTATTACTGTCATCATTGTCATCATCATTATCAGCATCAGCATCATCATTATCATCATTATCATCACCATCGTCGACTTCTTGTATTTCGGTCAATATGACAACTCCATTGACACTAGCTGCAGCAACTGTCAAGCCACCACACCAGCCAAAGACAATTGCGATTGACGACGTGTCGACGAATATGAGATATCGTATAAAGATCAATGTTGAAAATGTGGACTTGGATGAAATTAGTCACGAATTCAGAATCGCAAACTGTGTGTTCCCTCGTGCTATGAATGTGAACCCGGATCAGTCCGTCAATGGACGCGCGCGATGGATTGAAGAAACGATATGTAATGAATTAGTGTGGAAATTGGTAAGTTAAAAAAAATTACACTATATTGTATTATATTATATAGTCTTAGATCCTCCATTAATATTAAGCGTTATATGGTACACATACACAAAAGTGTGAGAGAGAGAAAGGGAGAAAAGGAGTAAGACGGAGAAGGGAGTGAGACGGAGAGACGGAGAGAGGGAGTTTCTTTCTTTTTGGCTTTGAACCATATTACAGTAACCAAAAGAGAGACAACCTTAACCCCACATCATATCACATCGCCATACATTCTTCTCCTATCCCTTTACTCACATACATACTCATACATGCGCATACATACATATACATATCATTTGTTTAAAAAAAAAACCAAAACCAAACCAAAAAAATATTTATAATTTTTTTTGTTTATTTAATAGGCTTGGCTCAATCAAAGACATCTGGCCAACAAAAAGAATCTTCTTCAACGTGCACTTGATATCTACCGTACAAAGTTTATGCCTAGTCTTCAGCCTAGAAAGAACTCGAAACGTACTGCATCAATTCCTTTGGCTCAATTCCAACCAGATCTTATTAGCCAAAGTATCAACATCAACAACAACAACATCAACATCAATAACACCACTACCACTACCACTACCACCACAACCACCACGAATAATATTGTTGATAACGATGAAACTATGATGCTGCTACCAACAATGCCTCTCACAGCGTCTGCATTATCAGCCCAGAACGCTCGGTTTGCTCAAGATGCTCAGACAATCGAAAAACAACCCGGATCACCCGCAACATCGTGCACTAGTGGAACAACGGAATCTCTCGACTTTGGTGACTGCTTCTCGCTGGCCGATGAACCGTCCTCATCGTTGTCGTTGTCCTCGTCGTTATCGCTGTCACTGTCTTTGTCGTCGTTTGTCCAGACAGACATTCCGTTTTTTGAGTCAATTGTGGATTGTACAAATGCTGCTAATACTGCTAGTAGTAGTCCCGGTGTTACTGATACTGCTATTGTGACTGAGGATGAGGATCAGCACCACCACCATATTCACAATCCCATGATTATTTCGCCGTCGTACTCACCTTCCATTTGTGACATGATGAGTGAATCAATGTCGTTTTGTAATCCGAGTGATATTCAGCGCCTGTTTTCTCCCTGTGACGAGTCTAGCACTATTATCAGCAGCCGAACAAACAGCACAATCTGCAGTGGTCACAACAGTAGCCATGACAACGGAGATGGAGCAAATGGAAGTCGTAGTGGAAGCAGCAGCAGCAGCAGCTCTTCGACAAACAGTGCTGCCTGTACGCCAAACCCGCCACCGACATCAAACTACTTTTTGGGAGACAATGATATCTATGACTCGTTTATGTTGCCGCCTATTCTCGATGATTCGTTCCTGGACCACAGCCTGCCCTCTAGTGCCATGATGGATATCGACTTTAAGTTTCTTAACCCACTAGGATCACCACCCAGCAGTACAATGACACACCATGATCTCGTAAAGATGGAGGACATGCAAGACTTTACACCCGGTCAATTCTTGGATCCCCTTTTCTAAATCTTTTCACTACTACTACTACTACCATTTCCTTCTACTTTTACATTTCCTTCTTCTCCTTCTCTTTTCCTTTCTCCTCCTTCAGCACACACACACACTTTATCTCTCTCTCATTCACCCACAAATTTCTACCGCAAAACAACAACTACTGCCACTACCACCTTCACATACATTCTATATATACATACATATATACATACATATTAAAAAAAGAAGAAGAAGAAAAGAAAAAAAAAGAAAAAGAGGCTCTAAAAAAAAACACCCTTTTGTATTTTCTTCCCTTAAAATTTTTTGTCTATTTTCTTTATTATTCTTGTAATTCTTGTAATTCTTGATTGTGTGTAAATATATATAGGTCTCTCATTATATATCTCTCTATCTCTCTCATGTCCAATTCTCTTTTTCTTTTTTGTTATACTTTTTATTTCATTTTTATTTCAGTACTGTAATATTTCTTTTCTCTCTACAAAATACGCCCTACCCCACCCCCGCACTTTTTTTTATATTTCTTTTTCTTTTATACGTTTCCATAACAACCAAAGTGTATATATATATATACAAATGAACACATTTACTATCTTCAAATTCATATTTTATATGCTCTTTTTGTTTCTTTGTTATTATTGTTGTTAATATTTTAATATTAATAAAGTAAAAATAAATAAAATAAAAAATAAAAAATAAATCTATTGTTAAATATCCAATTGACTCTATTAAATTTATTATAAAAGTACCTATAAATAATACATATTGTTTTAGATTTTTAAACTCAATTTTCTTACCTCTGTTTCAAAATAAATAAAGTTGATGTTCACAGTGTACAAAGAAGGAAAAAGAAGGAAAAAGATGAATTACATTTATAAAAAAATATAGATTATATTCTGTACAAGGCCACCTTTTTTTGTTTTCTGATCACTAACTCATCCAAGTATGGTAGACATGACAGCGCGATTACCTAAAAAATAAATCACAAAAAGCCACAAACGCACAAACGCGTACAAACACTTGCACAGAAAAAACAAAAAAAAGGAGTGAGAAAGAGTGAATAAGAGGAGTATCATTTGCTCTTTTTCTGTACTTCTTTTTTCTTCCTTCTTTCTTGAACTCATTCGTTTATTCAGCTGGCTTGTATTAAAAACAAAAAGATGCGATATAAAAGAAGAAAATAATGAAGATATTTCAGTTCAAATTAATTCAGTTATTCTTCCTTTCGGATTTAAGCAGCAAGATATTAAGCTCAAGATTATTCTCCATGACAACCCAATAACGTCATGGTCTGTGCACCTAAAGGTTTCTTACATCTATAATAGTAATACATCATGCGACTTCTTTGACCAAAGATGTACATTTAACAAGATTGAAAAGAGATGTTTGAGGGATTCAAGTGTTTAAAATTTTTTCTTTTGTTTATTTGATAACTCGGGCGAATTACAATAAAATGTTGACAAGAAAGCAAAATGTATGTAATATATGACATACCCATATATATATAATACACATATAGGGAATAGAGAAAGAGGAGAAGACCTGACGATATTTTGTTTTTGTCAAGTGCTCTCCAGAAGTCTCTTATATAAAATGCTTTCCATGTTCCTTTGCCCATTCTGAAGATGTTCCAATATCCTCTTTTTTGTCTATTCTTCTTGCTTGCTTTAGACTGATTTCCTTCCCCCTTTTTCCTTCTTTTTCCTTTAAATGGTCCACCTCATAGCAAAGCAAGGTATCCTGCTTTCAAAGGTAAAGAAAGAGAGACCCTCTCTCTCACACACACGCACAAAGAGAGGTGGCGGAGGGGAAGAAAAAAGAAAGAAAAAAGAAGAAAAAATGGTTGATGTTGATCATTTGGCACAAAGCAGGAGAGATTCTATTGATCCAATCCAATCCAATCCAATCCAATCCAATGAAATCCAATAATAGACGTGTCTTCCCCAAATAAGATACTGCTTCCAAGATCAAGAGGTTATTTTCGTAAATGCATAGTAAAAAAAAACTACACGAAAGAGGAAATAACATCTGCAGAGACCATAATGTCAAAGCACAATTGTTATTGTGAATGTATACATATTAGTTTAGAATCAATCAAAAATTTCACTACCAGAAAAATAATCATAATAACAATCAAAATCAAAAATCAAATCAAAGGTTTCTTTGTCGTTGTCGTATTTGCTAGTTGTTGTTGTTGTTGTTGTTGTAATATTTTACTTGTTCATTGTCAAATAAACTATCTGATTACATGTATATTTTGTAAACCAAAAGAGAGGGAGAGAAAAATACAATTCAACGTACCAAGATGGAGTATTCATTTGTTAAAGTTAATTGCTGGTAATGACAGTGATGACAGTGATGAATGTTGGAGGTAATGACAGTGGCAGGATGGAATGTATAGTAATTAAAAAGGACGGATAAAAGCGCAACTCGAGAACTGAGCAGAAAATTACCCGTTTTCTACTTTATTTCTTTCTCTCGTGTGCGTGTGTGTGCGTGTGTGTGCGTGTGCGTGTGTGTGCGTGTGTGTGTATGCGGGCGGATATGTGTGAGTGCACGAGTGTGTGGGAGTGTGGGTGGCGGGAGCGTGTGCGTGTGCGTGTGAGTGTGTGAATGCGTATGCGTGTGTTTGTGTGTGTTTGTGCCCGCTCGTTTTTTTCCTTGTTGATGAACACCAGGATTGTTTAACAACAAAGAAGATAAAGCCTTGGTGTTGAAATCATTCTTCTTCTTCTTTTTTTTTGGGGGTGTTTTGGAATTAACCGAGATGTTTTTTGTACATCTAAAATGGTTATTTTATTATAAGTTCAAGTTAAAAGTTGGTTTGGTGACTTACTTTTGCATCCCTGAATAAACAGATCAGCCACCGCATGGATTCCGGTAAAATGAAGGAAGAATGCTCATCCCAAAGGATATGTACCTTTGAGGGCATCAGCAGCAGTAATAAAATATAAATATGAAGAAATATTTATATGTATAGGCATAATATTTGTATATATTTATTTATTTTAAAAAAAAAATCAATGTGTACGTGTGCGTTTGTGCGTGTATGCGTGTGCGTGTGTGTGTGTGCGTGCGTAGGATATCTACATGTATATATAGAAAATATATTTTATAATATGACAGCGCCATGGCTCAAACAAATGATTAATTTCATATTTTGTTGATTCTCAGCTACGATCTTGTTGCGTCATTAAAACGTGACTAATGTAATATATAAAAAAAAGTATTGGATAGAATGAGAAATAAGCAAGCTTGAAATATATTTGGAAGGAGAAAATGGATGAGGTTTTAATGAACCTTTTTCTTCTCCTTTTTTCTTATTACTTTTCTTGTTCTTGTAGCTTTGTGGAGACCATTGACTATACGTTTTGCTTACAAATGATCCACAGAATACAATAAAAAAAGAGTAGTTTAATGATCTCAAGATATATACGTTTTGTTTCAAAGCATGTATTAATAGATGCTTGGAACATAAACCAAATATTTATCGGTGACTACCTTTATCGTTGTTAATGAAACAGCTGAAGAAAATATCCACTCTGATTAATACTAATAAATGATAAACGGGCTGAAATATAACCAAGTGCTATATGTTCAATGTGCCTGTTTATCTATCTAATCGAGAATACTTTCTAAGCATAGAATACAGAAACCCACAGACACACAGAAGCATTAACTGGGTAAAGCTTAGTCTTGATTTTCTTTATTAAAAGCTAATAACAATGTCATTATGCTTATTTCATGCGAGTTGCATGAAAGAGGGGAATATAAAGAAGCTATTTATTGAAACTCATAATGTTTTTTAGAAAGAAAAAAAGTGACATGAATAATTTCATTTTCTTTCCTTTTATTTAGTCAGGTTCAATTTTCTCAATAGATGGTACTTAATATAATCAAAATAAGTGTCTTGCAAAAAAAAGAAGATGCTTTCAGAGCATCACAGTATAATCTCTTCAACCTCTCAACTTCTTTCTACACGAAACATAACTCCCACCATATTTACTTATTTGCGCGCTGTCGGGCATTGTGCTAAAGATTCTTTTTCTGACGGGAATTCTGGTGTAACCAATGGTAATAAATATATTGGATTCTCTATTCCCAGTTTTAACTACATTTTTTTAATATATATATAATTTGTTTTTATTAAAAAAAAAAGGTGTGTATGGACGTGTATACATGTGTGTGTGGGTGTTTGGGTCGAGCTTGCGTTTTTTGGGTTTCAAAGTACTACAATTAAAACCTATTTATTGTAATACAAAAAGTAGGCAGATATTAACTCTATCTTTGAATTGGACAGAGGAGCAAGCTCAAAGATCTGATAGCTATTGTGAGTGGATGGGAGAGTTGGAGAGCCAGAAACAGGGACATGTACATGGACAGGAGTAGGGGTGCCTGACAGATTAAGGTTGGTTGTAAATAACAAGGGTTATTATCTGCGGGTATAGATCAAATGTATACATAAAAGAAAATACTACCAAAATAACAATGCTAATACTACTAGGGCTAGCCAATAAAGTACAACATTCTAAAGACACAAATTTCATAAAAGACAACCAAACTGTTCGTTAAAAGAAAGATATATATATATTTCAATCTGTTGAATAAAATGTCAAATAGAGGGAATATGGCACCATATTTACAGGGTTTTCACCTAAACTTTAAATACCCTACAGAAAAAAAATAGGCGATTTTAGTGAATTGTTGTAAGTCTTCCGGGGTTTAAAGTGTCTTGTACTTGAGTTTTAATTAAGCACCAATTTCTACTCCACCATGTTTTTTTGCAGTCAAAGCAAAACATCTTTTTCTTAGCTTTTTCAACCCATTACAAAACTAAATACCAAGTTATTAAAATCTAATGGCTTACCAGCGGTAGCTTGGGTGGGTCCTAAGCGGTAACCAGGATGGAATTTTTTATCTTCTTTGAAGTCTAGTCAGTCTTTGTCTCAAACGACGACCCTCCTGGAAATCTTCTTCTGCTTGTCTTCTGATACATCCAATCCGAATGACGCGGGTGAACCTTAAAGGTATAGTCCCATAATATCTTAGATTGTTAAGTATATGTCGGAAGTTCAGGACAGCAGCAAGATCCCGATTCCACAAACGATGGATAACCTCTGACCCGTCCATGTTCTCCAAACAATTTAGATTGGTACATCTAAAAAGGACTTGTTTCTATTTTTTTTCACAAGGTCTAGAATTATTAAATATCTCTAAAAGGAACACACTTAATAACTATGAAGGCTAGTACTAATAAAATAAGAATCAGAAAAGTTGACAAAAGAAAGTAACTTGAGAAGAATTGACAGAAAAATATCTGCATCATGTACAATTTGGTTGTCAAGATTGCTCGCATGCTCATTAGAAATCTTGGTAGATTTAGAGAATTGCAAGGAATCTGTCTTCTTGTTTTTCAAAAGTAGGAATGAGACATGACAATGTTAACACAAAGCAGGTTTATTATCTTTGATAAAAAGAATCAATTAAGCAATATACATGCCTTCATCAATATCATAGTACTTAGAGAATAGCCTTTTTTTTTTAGATAAAAAATGTAAAAAGTATTACATAGAAATAGATATATGTATATTACTTAATAAATGTATAGCTTAAGCTGCTACTAAATATCATAAAAAATAGTACTTCTTCTTTCCATACTTCTTTATATTCAACTTGTATTATTTTGATCTATAAAAACTATAAAATTCAAATATAAAACCGTGCATTTGTTGAACCAATTATAAGAATAGATATACCTAGAAAAAGGTATAGATTTGCCATATTTAGAATATTTTATTGGATTAGATGCAAAAACAATCTGAAATCCCACAAATCATATTTGCTAAAGAATCTGCGAGCTCGTAGATGCGATACGAGTTCGTAGAAATCTACGAGTACGGAGTTATAAATGCTGTCATTTACCACAGTGAGTGATGACATTTCGATTTTTGACTTTTGACTTGTGATGGATCAAGCAAAGGTCTTTTTTCAGCCGCACTGTTATCTCACGACGATAAATTCTTATATGAGATTGAATTTATACAGGTAAAATCTATATACCACTTTAATGTTTATATTTTCTAACCTAAAATGTATGCCTATACTTCATAGTAGAAACAATACAGCACACACATTACAAAGATGCTCTTGTACGGTATATTAGCTTACACTATAAATATTGGATCGAAATTTCTAGCTTATTCAAGTTCTTTAGTAAACGAGCGGTTGAGAGATTATTATTTTATAATTTATCCGAACTCAAAATTCAAAAAATTATTTTGTACTGCACTGATATTGTTGAGATCAAATAGTTGGATATTTAATATCCGCTAATTTCCTCAGGCCTAATATTTGGTTAATTCTCTCTCATTAAAAAGCGCACATCTAGTACATCTAGCACCTCAAAGCCTATGATGCATTACGATAAAAGTGCTCAAATATATGCTAGGTGGTGTGCTTTGATTTATAATGAATAAATGAGTAACTAGTTTATATGTCTTTTCTATGCTTTATTCTTTGCAGTGAAAGAAAAACCAAAAGAAAATTTTTTTGTCAATAAAAAAACCCCCATTAATTAATTTTGCTTTTTATTTTTATTTTTATTTATTTTATTTTATTTTACATGACTATGATTCTTGATAGGAATTTCAAAATAACAAACGGCAAACCCTTTCATCATCCGAGACAATTATTAAGCAATAGTCGGCCCTTGATTACTAACCAAAATAAGGAGGATATAAAATGATATCGATTTTTTTTTTTTACTTTTCTGCATTGTACATCTTTCTTTTCTATATATATTTTACTCTTTTAAGAAAACACAAATCAAACAATGGTCGTCGCTACTGCTGCCTCAAACTCCCAGAAACCCGCTGGTGTTCCATACAACCCTGAAGAGGCTCATAAGGCCAAGCTCTTTGAGCCTATCACCTGCAAATCCGTCACTCTCCACAACCGCGTCGCCGTGCCTCCTATGTGCATGTATTCTGCCGAGGATGGTGCTCTGAACGATTTCCACATCGCACACTACGGATCCATAGCCATCCGCGGTGCTGGTCTGATCATCATTGAAGCAACTGCTGTCGAACCTCAGGGTCGCATCACCCCTTCCGATTCCGGTCTCTGGAACGATGACCAGATCGAGCCTCTGAAGCGTGTCGTCGATCTTATCCGATCCCAAGGATCCGTTCCAGGCCTTCAGATCGCCCACGCTGGTCGTAAGGCATCCATGTCACCTCCTTTTATTGGGGATTTTATTGTTTCCGATGCTGAAGGTGGATGGGCTGATGATGTCCGTGGTCCATCCGAACTCAAATTTGCCGACCACTACCCTGCACCAAAGCCTCTCACCAAGGAAGGTATTAAGGAAATGGTCCAAAAGTGGGTTGATACTGCCATTCGTGCTGATAAGGCTGGTGTTGAGGTTCTTGAGCTCCACAATGCTCATGGGTAAGTTGACAAATTATATTTATCCAATCTTTGATTTATACAGCTATTTTAAAATTCATCCAAACTTATCAAAAAAAAATAACATATTTTTTTTATGCTTGGTATCGTAGCTACCTTGTCCACAGCTTCTTGTCTGGAAACTCTAACAACCGTACTGACGAGTATGGTGGATCACTCGAGAACCGTATGCGTTTCCCATTGGAGATTGCAAGGGCTGTTCGTGCTGTCTGGCCTGACCACAAGCCTCTCTGGGTTCGTATTTCAGCCACTGACTATGCTAACCCTGATTCGTTGGGTCACGACGAAAACGGTTGGGATGTCTACCAGTCAATCGAGTACGCCAAAGAACTGAAGAAGATCGGTGTCGATGTTATCGATGTCTCAAGCGGTGGTCACCTTTCCAACGTCAAGTACCCTCCTCCTTCTCTTTACCAGGTCCCATTGGCCAATGCTGTCAAGCACGGAGCTAATATCCCTACCGGTGCAGTCGGTTACATCCATACCGGAAAGCAGGCCGAAGAGATTCTTGAAAAAGATGAGGCTGATTATATCCTTGTTGGACGTGAGTACCTTCGTCACCCTACTTGGGTTATGGAAGCTGGTAATGATCTCGGTGTGGACCTCAACTTCCCTAAGCAGTACACATGGGCCTTGCGCAGAGCACGCAAGACAAACAAGGTCAAGGATGATTCCAACTAATTTTTTTTAAAAAAAAACAAAACAATGAAGACAAGTTAAAAACTTGATACTGTATACATAACTAGAGTAAATTAGTATATCGTTTTGTATATATATATATATATATACTCTGTAATATTCTTACACTAGATAAAACCAATTCTTTCTTATTTGAAAACTATATAAATATTTATATATGTTTTGTTTATTAAAAGAAAAAATACAAAAAGATATATACGTATATATAAAGGAGTTCTCATATATAGACAAAAAATCCAGTTTATAGACTTTGGATATTAAAGAAGTGTATACACACACACACACACAAATATGTTTAATAGCTATGCTAACAATATTTCTTATAATGAAATCTAATTAAACCAAATCAAGGTATTTTAAGCTTTCGATCTGGCTTAAGGTTAATGTCAGCTGATGCTTTATTCTATTCTTAGTTATGATAATTCAATAACTCGGTAACCCTCTGTATTAGTTAGAATATCATTTGAGATATTCGATAAGGTAGATTATGTGTAACTGATAAAAGAGTACAAGAGATAGTGATACTATAAGGTATCACTTTTATAACAGGAATACGTACAGTCACATCAACCTAGGACAATGATATTGGCAGAGGTTATAGTGTTTTTAAGAATAGATCAAAAGAAAGATTGATAGGTAAATGTTATATATAAGCTGTATATACAGTATGGAAATTGTTATTTGAAGAATCGGATAATAAAAGTGGAATTACAGTGATGTGATGTAATTTTTGGGTGCTTTGGAACGGTTGGGAAAGGAGTTGATTAGTAATTCAACGGCTATGAGCAAGGTAAAAATATTGCCGGTCTTGGCGTACAGCTTTTACACTGAATGTTATCTAATAATTTCTGCAAAAATATTTCTCAATCCCTGCCTTTGTATTTTCCTATTACAGCCAATGTAATTAAAAATAAAGAAATCGAGAAATCAAAATCAAAAATCGTTATCTAAACAAAACTCTAGGCAATCCATAATCGTTACTGTAGCAATAAAGACCCTTTATGTTAAAGAGGGCAATTACGTTGTTTATTTACATGGCACATATTTAATTTAGCTGTATATCAAGCCTAAATAAGGTTTCTTGTTTTATGAATCAACAAAGTGATTTGTGTGGGTATGGGAGTACACGGATCAAAGTTTTAAAGTGTAGTATTATTAGATCAGAAAATAGTCCCTCTGGAAACATCAAATTCTTAATATATACAAAACTACCATCCCTGTGTCAAGTGTTTTCTTTTCTTTTCTGCTTTATTAATCAAATAGAAAAAATCTAGCGAATAATCTTATAGATTGTGTTATGCTTCTGTGGCTAAATATTGTATTATTGTATTATTGTATTATAATTTACTGCTGTTGTAGTATTTAAGTTTTGATCGCATATATATATATATATATATATATATACGAAGATTTTTACTCTAAATATCTGTAATCAATCCAGGTCAAAACTCTGGCTTAACAACAGTATACCAATAGAAAGCTTATCGGTTACTATTAACGTTTGATTAGCAATTCTTCTTGTATCTTCTTATTTTATTTTCTGCTATAATAAAAATACAGATCATTTACTAGATATATAATCGATAAACTTTTGGTATAACTTACAGCTAGTTATATATCACCTTTAAATACTATCAAAGACTTGTTAAACTATTCGCAAGCTTTTTAATACCATTCTATTCTGGAATATACAATATCATGTATTTATGTATAGTATTCATATTTTTTAGATACCAGAATATTTTTTTTAAAAAAGGAAAAACGAACAGACAAACAATCATTCATCTCAACTGATACAATGGAGATGGTCATAAACTATAATAAATTCAAACATTGATTTAGGGATTCCATGAATATAAAGGGCCATAGACTGGTATCATAAAATATCTTAGCCTTTTACCTTGGGACCAATACATATTATAGCACTAGCCTTACATTTGTCGAAGGCCCCGAGAATTAACAAGACTAAAAGTAATAATATCTTTTCGGAATATTCAGAATCATACTTTGACATATCAAGGCTTTATATTGTTCAATACAAAAACCGGAAAAGGAAGAAACAAATGAAGAAAATGAAGCACACAAAATAACAAAATATACCAAACAGTATCAGTTAAATTATATGTATATATACACTTTATTGATTTCATTTATTCATTTATTCAGTATTTTATATAATGTTGAAATTATTTGATTGGGTATTGTTCACATATAAAGAGTTATTACTCTAATATAAAATAACTTGTAACCAACAAAATCATATGACATTTGAACAGAAGAAAATAAATATACTTTGAAAAATAAATAAATCAGTATTTCATAATATAAGGCGACTAAGTAAAGACAAAACTTTTAAAGGAGAGAGCTAGAGAAATATGAATACTTTTTTTAGTAAACAATACAAAAACTTGATTGATACTTATAATTTACCACTCCGGGTAAAGCTATATATTATATTAACACTTATCAAAGAAGTTTATTTAGTGTAATAAATAAGTAATCTTATTCAGTTGATATGATATCAGAAATATTATATCCATTGTATGAATCCCCCACTTCTCAAACATAAATACAATTTAAGGCAGAAGCAAAATTGAATGCCTATATTCTCATAACTCACTTTTAATTTATTAAATTACTTTACGGCCAGAATTTATATATCATACCTTTATTATCAGTCAGTTACTCTGGCTTAAACTGACATTCTTAAAATGAAACAATAAATACTATGAGAGTTTTACTTATATAAAATAGAAAATTATAGCCATTTATATGAATAGACACTTGGCACCGGAATTTAAAGATATCCTTTGATTAATAGTTGGTTGTCACTGAGATAGTATAAAGTGTATAAGAGTTACATCATGTGCGTGAGTGTGTGCTAAACAGAGAGAGCGTTAATTTCTTGGCATGTGGCCTTTCCAAGCTCATTAGCCACTGCGTTATATGTCAGTTCTAGATCATGAAGTTTGTATTTCACTTTAATTATGATATACTTATCACACATTCTTTTCAATTTTAGTACTTTTTTAAGGTAAGTCAATCGATTAGATAATTGGTTATTAAAGAGCTGCAAATTTTACAGATATTAACACTTTTATCTTGATAGTTTAGAGGAAGAAACTGTAGTTATATGACAAATGACCAAAGAAGAAGAGTGGTACTAGGAGATCGCTGATTATTTTAACAGACAACAAATTCAGTGTCAAACCTATCTTTTTAAACTGCGCTTGTCTAATATTAAAACGGAACACTTCTCTTATAGCTGAGAACCCATATACGTTGGTCGGTGTTACGGATGCACGGACACTGCTTTTAAATAATCCGGGGAGTATTAAACGTCAATCAGGTACAGAGTGTACTTCTTTAGCATTTCTTTAACAATTAGTTGCGAGTAAGCCTTTGATAGCTAAGCTAATGCAGTCTTTTGACATCATCATGTACTTTCATATACATGTGATTGTCGGAGATTCATCCCATGTCAAAACATGAGAATAAAATACAGCAAAGAGTGTGGGTATATCGTTCTCCCTTTCTTTCCCATACTCATACCTATGGTGAGTACCGTGCTATCGCCAGTATACATCGTATACGCTCAACACGCAAAGATGGGCATAAGATACGAGAAAAAGTAAGTATCAGATGCAACGTATGAAAAGAACAGCCACTGTACGTTTAGAAGACTCCCTTTATTTTATCATTGGTTTTTTATTTTACTTTGACCATACGCACTTTCCCAAGACAATGAGTCCACGTTTTTTCTCCTTTTATATGACCATTTGACATACATAGCATGTTTTTGGGCATGCTAGCCAACCTTACACCACACTTGGATGGATGTTTTCAGGTATATATGACCAGGTCTTACTTACCGCAATCGCGCCTTTTTTTTTTATGTCTATCAAAGCTAGTTTTATCATTTTTACACGCGTTATAATAAGCACCTCTAAATGTACATACATACAACCACAAGTACATAAAAGCAAAAGCTTAAATCAAGTCATCTAAAGTTAATATATTACTTCTTTATATATATATATTTTAAAAGATCTTTGCACTTATGGACTGAGACCAATGATGACAAAACACTTCCGCCTAATAACTGGCTTAGAGCTAGGATGTTTAAAAACACATGTTCTGAGGTCTTTCTTATACATATAATGTTATTATGCTCCGTTTTACACTTAAGCACTTTACTCTGCCCGTGGTTTCTGGCATCTCCAAGGTTAGTAAAGCTTATAATTATATAGATATAGATAGGAGCCAGTGATGACATGAGATATATTTTGATATCTAGCAAAATGCTAGCATGATTTAAAAATACATTATCTGAGGCTTCATACATCTATAAGAATTTTATATAAAAAGACCTATGATGACAACAAACTCCTGTTAAAACGACCAGCTAATAGCTGGAATGTTTACAAAAACACGTTCTGAGGTCTTGCTTATAAATATAATGTTCTTATGCTCCGTTTTACGCTTAAGCACTTTACTGACTATTCATTTAGTAGATGCTTATACTTTACTCTGCCCGTGGTTGCAGGAATTCCCAAAACTAATAAAGTAATTAATAAACAGTGTTAAACAATATTCAACAATTACAAAAGTCTTTAAACAATGACTAGAAGATTGTTTATACGATTGAAAAAAAAAAGGCATGTTACCTGAGGTTTTGCATGCTTATACACATATTAATTATGTACAGTGACTAGTGATAATAAGACCATTCCTGTTAAAAAATTCCTGGACTGCTAGCTTAAAAAACCCTTTTTACATATGTCTCATTTATATATAGCCACGTTAAATAAGTGATATTACTACGATTGATTCCAATACATACTTTATTTAAACAAAATAGCAGCCGATTGTTTAATGTAGATGTGAATCTTTTGTTTTAAGCTCTAAATAATTTGATTTGAGTAATATAATATTGGCCCCTTTTTAGACAGTTAAACGTTTTCTTATTATTACTATCGCATCAGTAAAATTCATGTTTATTAGGAGTACTTATACTAAACACATGATAAGCTTATTTGTAAATGTAACATAGACCAAAAGCTTAAGAGAAAACAGGAAATAGTTGAAGCATATAAAAATTTATATTTGAACTATGACAGTTCTATGATATATGCAACAACGATAGAGTAATATTAAAGAGTTATTAATAAATATAAATATCTGAATAAATAAAGTCTGTAAACATCGTAAAAGCTATTTAATATGTTAACGAAGATAGAAAAATGGAGACTATTATATTGCTTCCATATGAGGCCATTTGTTTTTAAGAAAAAAGGGGTTTATAAGGATCCATACAAAGAAGTCTTACAACATTCTGGGATTTGCTATTCAGTGAACTTCTTTACACTTTTAACTTTCTATCGACGGCTAGTCATTATCTCTCTTGTATAAATATCTGTGGATGCTTCTAATTTAGGCATATATGAGATTATTATCATTTATTAAACTAGGATTATTCTTTAAAGTTTTAGTTTCACTATATATACATTCTATAAACCTATTATGATCCTTTTTTTATACTAAAACATATAACCAATAAAAGCAGTTGAATTTTAGATTGCTACTTTCTATACTTGTTTAACTGACCACCCCTGCTATATCAGTCTAAGGTCAAAAATTGAAACCCCAGTTCCTAAGATAGGACTTTACACCGTGAATACCATTTCTTTTAATTATACAGACATTTGTAGTTTGTAGAATTAATATACTATATCTAGAGGCAACTGTACGTTCTCAAGATAATAAAATGCTCTTTTCAAGTATACGATCATACTTTAGAATTTAAAGGGATATATTATATAAAGTTGAAATTATAGTAATGATTATGTCTGTCAGTTATATATATATATGTATAAAGGGCTGAAATCAAACAAGGTTAAAACTAAACAAAAAGTTTAAAAGCCTTGAAACATGATTATGTATATTCAACTCTTCTGAGTAAATGAAGGACTTCTAGGACTTATAAATACCAAGATATGTACCCATCAATATCAATGTAATGTTGCTTTTCACTTTTTTTTTCATTTTACTGGGATGAGCCTTTTGAAATAGCTGAGTTTGCAATGGAATCGCGGACATACAGTTCTTCCTTAGGAGCTTTGTGTCCCTCTCTCCCTCTCTTTCTCTTTCTTTCTCTTCATTTAGTGCATTTTTCCTTTTTATTGTTTTATACAATGTCGACTAGATATACTAGAACGGCTGATAAAAGCTTAAATGACAAACACACGCGGATACTTAAAGACCTCTTGCAGAAGTCTGCAAACAAGTACTGTGCCGATTGCAAGCGTAAAGGTAAACTTGAATCTAAAAAAAGGGCAAAAACAGTATTATTATTGTCGTTGTTTGTTAAAAGTAGCTTAAATCATCCAAAATCATTATTAGATCCTCGATGGGCATCTTGGAATCTAGGCATCTTTGTATGCATTCGTTGCTCTGGAGTTCATCGTTCCATGGGAACACACATCAGTAAAGGTAAAACCATCACCGGACGTTCAGACTTATTCGTTTGGCCTACATGACGGAGAACATACAATTTATTTTTCTGTTCAGTTAAATCGGTGGACTTGGATACATGGATACCTGAGCAGATTGAGAGTATGATTAAATGGGGAAACGAGCGTGCAAACGTGTAAGTTATAATTCAGGGTGATTATAAGATAAAGAACAAAGGCCACTTAAATACACCAATTGTTCCCTGTCTTTCTTTTTTCCTACATAAAAAACAAACAAACAGATACTGGGAGGCAAACTTGAAGGAGAAAACACCTTCTGAGAGTAACATAGATCAATGGATCCGCTCAAAGTACGAACAGAAGAGATGGGCAATGAGAGGCTCGATACCTGACCCCAGTACACTTGGTGGACAAAACGAGGAAGAGGTAATAATCTTAGAAGAAGAAGAAAAGGAAGAAGAATAAAAGAGAAAAATTTTAACTAGAGAGGATAATGAGCTCATGTTTTTCCATAAATCGATCTTCCAGGCTGCCACTGTGAGCAAACCTCCGGCACAACAAAGTGCTTCTAAACCCAGTGCGAAGCCAACCTCTCAGCCAGCTTCTGTAGCTACACCACCAGCCAGGCCTAGACAATCCGAGTTCGCTAACCTCGACGCTTTTCTTGGTTCATCTTCTTCTAGCTCCTCTCCCCAGCAACCCAACACTTCTGCTGTGGCACAACTTCAGGGTGCCGATTTCTTCTTCAATAGCAGCCCTAGCACCACTCCTAAAGCTACCTCGCCTACTGTAGACTCATCAAAGCCTAAACACGATGCCTTAAAGTCTTCCATCCTATCTCTGTACGGACAGACATCCTCGAACCCAGCCATGCAGTCAATAAACGGTGGATTCCAGAACAATTCAAACAGCTATCAGCAACAATTTGCCGGCATGTCTTTAAATACACAATCAGGACAATTTGCTTCGCAGCCACCTGCTCCTCAGGCGGATCTGTTTGCAAATGTGTGGGGATCGTTTGTCGATAGTAACAACTCGACTAAAAATGATTTTATGCAACCTCAACAACCTCAACAACAGCAGCAATACTACCAGCAACAGCAGCAGCCTCAAAGAAACACTCTTCCACAAGGTGGTCAATTCTTCTCTATGAACCCAACGCAGGAAACTGCAACAAAAAAGCCTGCTTATGAGTAAGTTATATATAAATATATATTTGAGGGGTTCAAAGAGCATGATAGGCCTGTCTAGTTTATTGAAGTGTATTTATTTAATGCGCACATTTTTTCCCTTAGTGCATTTGCAGACCTTTTGAAATAAACAGGAGCACTACAGTCCTAAATATTACCTTGGATCATTGAAAAAAAAAATTAGTATAAAACACCATAAAACTATCAAAAACAGAATAAATGGGTAAATAACCCAAAAGAAGAAGAAAAAGGCTGGCTTATTTGATTTTTTTTATACTCTTTTGATTTATGTTGAGGATGGCTACAGTAGAGAATCTGGATCAAATTTACTTGACCCAAAATTATCATCTGCTGTGTGTGTATGTGTAATTGTAAATACATATTGTTTCGCGGGAAAGACTCGGGCTATCAGTTCCTCTCCAAGATATTGGTACTGAATGCTAATAATACAAAGTAGCTTATTGTGCGATTTTGGGCTCAATAAAAGACAATATTTTTGTCATATATACTGGACGTAGAGAGAGAAAGAAAATAGAGAGAGAGAGAGATAGCGCCCCTACTCAAAATTCCACTAGTTATTAGATGAAAAGTTATAAAAAAAGTTTACATTGGCTTACAATTCTAAAGGATAAAGTCTTTCTAATAATCGTATATTTGAAGCTTTAAAGAAACTGTATTGTTATTAAAGCATATCTTTTTAGTCCATTGAGAAAGAAGGAAAAAGCGGTAAGCAATATCGTGCTTACCTACTCAAAATAGATGCTATTATATCAATGTGTCTTGATACAGTGTATATATAGTCAAAAATACACTAATAATTGCTAAGTAATATCCTTTTATTTTTTTATGCTGAACCATTTTATTTGTGCTATGCTGTTCTATAAAACTTTTTGTGAAATAAAGATGTGTACTATTATTTATTAATTAATTAAATAATGGAATGGGTCTTTTATAAAATGTACAAAATATATTTTACGATGAAGAATGATGAAGGTAGTACTCATCCATCGCACTCTTGTTTGTGTGACGGGACATACGCAGGGCCCATGTGTATTGCTTTGGAAGTGTAACATCCACGTCAAGTTCTTTACCAGCATCCATAACCCATGTAGGACGGCGAAGATATTCACGACCAATAAGTGTGTAGTCGGCCTTATCATCCTGAAGGATTTCTTCGGCCTGCTTACCAGTACAGATATATCCTACTCCAGCAGTTGAGATTTCAGCTTCACGCTTTATCTTCTCAGCAAAGTCGATTTGGAATAAGGAAGGCGGTGGATAGCCAACAGTAGAAAGGTTTGCACCGCTGGAGGCATCAATTACGTCTATACCAATTTCCTTTAATTTTTTTGCGTACTCGACAGATTGAAAGATATCCCAGCCGTTCTCATCGGGTCCCATGGGATCAGGGTTGGCGTAATCAGTAGCAGAAAGACGAAGCCAAAGAGGTTTGTGATCAGGCCAGACAGCACGAACGGCTTTTGCAACTTCCAATGGAAATCTCATACGATTATCAAGGGATCCACCGTACTCGTCAGTGCGATTGTTTGAGTTTCCAGACAAAAAGTTGTGTAGCAAGTAACTAGAAGAAATTGCGGTTATTAGTATAACATGACACACAATTAGTTAAAAGCAAACTTCTTATTTCCTAAGTTTTCCAATAACAATATATATATATATATATATGATTGAGAACGCTGTTTACCCATGAGCACTGTGGATCTCGAGGACTTCAAATCCAGCTTCATCAGCACGGACGGCAGCATCAGCCCATTTTTGTACAACCTCATTTATACCTTCTTGACTAAGCGCGTTAGGTTGACAGTAATGGTCGGCAAACTTGAGTTCACTTGCGCTGCGAACATCTTCTGGCCAGCCTCCTTCTTCCTCACTCGCAGCGCCGTCGCCAATAAAAGGTGGAAGTGTCGAAGCCTTGCGACCAGCATGGGCAATTTGAATTCCTGGGACTGTGCCTTGGGACTTTATAAAGTTAACAATGCGCTTTAAAGGTTCAATCTGCTCGTCCTTCCAGAGACCAGAATCCGATGGGGTGATACGTCCTTGCGGTTCAACGGCTGTTGCTTCAACGATTATAAGACCTGCACCACGAGTAGCCATAGCACCATAATGGGTAGAGTGAAAGTCATTCAATATGCCATCCTCGGCAGAATACAAACACATTGGAGAAACCACTACACGATTGTGAAGAGTGACAGATTTGCAAGTAATAGGTTGGAAGAGCTTGACTCCTTCTGCTTCTTCTGTAATAAATGGAACACCTGCAGGGTTCATGAAGTTCGATCCTGGGATAGTATTGTCCATAATGGTTTGAAAATCGAATATACAGTAAAATAGGGAAAATGGTATAAGGAGAACTTTTTACAGAATAGTTTAATCTTTTATATATATATTAGTGTCAGAAAATTGAGAGCAGACAAACAATCTAGGCCTTTTAGATTTGTCTTAGACTAAAAAATAATGTAATTAAGATGACAGATATATGGTAATATGTATTGAGAAAAAGTAAATAAAAACACAAAAACACAAAAAATAAGGTCTAGCCACTGTAAAATCATTTGAGTTTGTGTAAGTACAGTTGTGAATTCCATGCTCTGTACCAAATTAGATATTATTTATGTAAGACAGTCAGAAATAACCGATCCTTTCATATTGAGTACAGCGTTATGAATGATAACGTAGTAAGTAAATCTGCCCAATTGATTTTTGTAATAAACATGGTTGATTAGGGCCGACTGCCTAGTTCTATTCTCTTCGGGTCATTATTTTGTAGACTGTCTCCATTTTTTTAAAGCCCTCCTACTACTTCCAAATTTTTCTGCTATTGAGAATGACTAAATACTCTCTCTCATCCAAGCCGTTATGCTAAAAAAAAGATACAGGAAGTCAAATAAAATTCAAAGAGGAAAGTTCAAAGTTTTACTCTATACCGTTATCTACTCAAACCTTATCAATCAGTACTGATATTCGAACTTGCTATTATGATTTGCTTACTCAAAATATAATACAAAAAGAAATATTTTTTTTTCTACTATGAAGTATATATCTTTATTATCTACAGCAAATAATTGAATTGCTTCCTAGAAAAACGCAAACACGGCATGCTTGTCTTGTGAGAATTCATTCATGTAGATTTTTGCACAGATTTAAAGATTGGTGAATATAATATCTGATTGGTTTTTTTAGAGGCAAATTCTATCAACATGTAACTAGTTGAGCTTGGATGTTCGTTCTGATATATAGCCTTCTCTGTGAGCTGATAAAATGGTTTAAATTCCCCGAAAATAAAAGATAATAATATCATACTTAACTTTTTTTTTACTGCTAGTCAACTTTTACTTTAAAGAAATGCATTTAAAGCCATTTAAAGAAAAATTAATAACCTTTTAAAACTGTAAAAAAATAATGTGCATTAAATGTTTAGTATCTGGTAATTTTACGGTTGGTTCCCTTTGTCTGCGCTATGCGATTCTGCACCGGTACGATTGCTATTAAATGCTCCAACAGATATCCACTTTTATTCTTCATAAATAGTCATGTCCAAACCCTTAATTGTTGTTAAGCCTGGGATAATATTACCTTTATTATCTGTCCAAAATAACCTTATATTCTTTTCAGTAGATATATATCATTGGCTATTTAGTAGCCATATCATCATTAGTACATTGTTGGTATTTTCAATTATCAGCCAGCTTTACTATATTACAAGAAGCAATAGCTTCTTGACAAATTAGGCTTTCGGTATGTTTTTTTATATTTAAACATCAGGACAACGTGAGAGGCTTCCTTTTCAACGACTTTTTGTACTCATATTTGTCAAGGATGTTAATTACAATTTTCTTTGATATGCAAGCTATTTCTATCCGTATACAGCTGTAATAAGTTACAGCTTCTTATCGAATGGCGTAGATATCTTTCCCCTATAATTAATGAATGACTTATACAGTTTGATCTTCAAGCTGTGTCAGGCTGCCTATATTTCTAACCTATAATATATCAAAGATTTTTCTGTCTGGTTTGAAATGAAAGTCAATTAACAAATCATAAGGAGAAAGCTCGATAATACACTTTTTTTTCATAATCTAAAAGTTTTTTGTTTTGTTGACCCTTAAGAATAGCTTGTTTGATCTATAGATATTACAATATTTATTAAAAATATTACAAAAGAGAAATAAAACAAAATACAGTTACGCAGTGAAGATACTTTATTATATTTTATTAGGGTTGAAAAATATTATACCAGCTCGCGGATAAATATGTAAACCCCTAGCAGATAAATAGTCAAAGGATTATTTAAACGCAGTGTGCAGCACAACCAATATAATTGTTTAAAGTACTTATATAATTATTTACATATTAGACCTCAAACATAGGGATTTTAATCATAATAGCCACATCCTAATTATTATTTGAAGACTTTCTTTCATCTTTGGTCTCTGTCTACACTTTTAGCTATTATTTTGTTAATCTTGGAAGTTCCGGAAACCACGGGCAGAGTAAAGTATAAGCATCTACTAAATGAATAGTTAGTAAAGTGTTTAAGCGTAAAACGGAGCATAAGAACATTATATTCATAAGCAAAACCTCAGAACGTGTTTTTGTAAACATTCCAGCTATTAGCTGGTCGTTTTAGCAGGAGTTTGTTGTCATCATAGGTCTTTTTATATAAAATTCTTATAGATGTATGAAGCCTCAGATAAAGTATTTTTAAATCATGCTAGCATTTTGCTAGATATCAAAATATATCTCATGTCATCACTGGCTCCTATCTATATCTATATAATTATAAGCTTTACTAACCTTGGAGATGCCAGAAACCACGGGCAGAGTAAAGTGCTTAAGTGTAAAACGGAGCATAATAACATTATATGTATAAGAAAGACCTCAGAACATGTGTTTTTAAACATCCTAGCTCTAAGCCAGTTATTAGGCGGAAGTGTTTTGTCATCATTGGTCTCAGTCCATAAGTGCAAAGATCTTTTAAAATATATATATATAAAGAAGTAATATATTAACTTTAGATGACTTGATTTAAGCTTTTGCTTTTATGTACTTGTGGTTGTATGTATGTACATTTAGAGGTGCTTATTATAACGCGTGTAAAAATGATAAAACTAGCTTTGATAGACATAAAAAAAAAAGGCGCGATTGCGGTAAGTAAGACCTGGTCATATATACCTGAAAACATCCATCCAAGTGTGGTGTAAGGTTGGCTAGCATGCCCAAAAACATGCTATGTATGTCAAATGGTCATATAAAAGGAGAAAAAACGTGGACTCATTGTCTTGGGAAAGTGCGTATGGTCAAAGTAAAATAAAAAACCAATGATAAAATAAAGGGAGTCTTCTAAACGTACAGTGGCTGTTCTTTTCATACGTTGCATCTGATACTTACTTTTTCTCGTATCTTATGCCCATCTTTGCGTGTTGAGCGTATACGATGTATACTGGCGATAGCACGGTACTCACCATAGGTATGAGTATGGGAAAGAAAGGGAGAACGATATACCCACACTCTTTGCTGTATTTTATTCTCATGTTTTGACATGGGATGAATCTCCGACAATCACATGTATATGAAAGTACATGATGATGTCAAAAGACTGCATTAGCTTAGCCATCAAAGGCTTACTCGCAACTAATTGTTAAAGAAATGCTAAAGAAGTACACTCTGTACCTGATTGACGTTTAATACTCCCCGGATTATTTAAAAGCAGTGTCCGTGCATCCGTAACACCGACCAACGTATATGGGTTCTCAGCTATAAGAGAAGTGTTCCGTTTTAATATTAGACAAGCGCAGTTTAAAAAGATAGGTTTGACACTGAATTTGTTGTCTGTTAAAATAATCAGCGATCTCCTAGTACCACTCTTCTTCTTTGGTAATTTGTCATATAACTACAGTTTCTTCCTCTAAACTATCAAGATAAAAGTGTTAATATCTGTAAAATTTGCAGCTCTTTAATAACCAATTATCTAATCGATTGACTTACCTTAAAAAAGTACTAAAATTGAAAAGAATGTGTGATAAGTATATCATAATTAAAGTGAAATACAAACTTCATGATCTAGAACTGACATATAACGCAGTGGCTAATGAGCTTGGAAAGGCCACATGCCAAGAAATTAACGCTCTCTCTGTTTAGCACACACTCACGCACATGATGTAACTCTTATACACTTTATACTATCTCAGTGACAACCAACTATTAATCAAAGGATATCTTTAAATTCCGGTGCCAAGTGTCTATCCGTATAAATGGCTATAATTTTCTATTTTATATACGTGTGGTACACATACCCCAATCGAGCGAAGAAAAGTCTCCACGACCAAACACTAATTCTTTCTTGCTAATGAACCTGGCAAGCTAACAATCTCCAGAACTGCTATACACCGGGTAGACGTTCATTACACAGTCGTTCAATGTAAACTAACCGTTAAATAACAGGGATTTTGAATTACGGAAGTTTTAATAGTAACAGATATAAACAATATTACTTTGTTTCTTTAATAAATAACACTATTGCAGTATCCACTTTTCTTAATATTGAGGTACTAGCCCATAAACAATCCCAAATACTTCAACATGTATAAAAAGCAAAATCGAGATAAATGTCAAAGTATGTTACATTTATAACAATATGTACCGGCTCAATAATAGTTCTTTTTTTTGGTATAATTTTTCAGTGGATCTTATATATTATCTCAAGCATAAAAGCAAGTCTAATATACTGCAAAGCATGACAAGAAAAAGTGGAACAATTCAAATGTTGTTTACAGAGTAGTTCTGTATTTTACGGTAAAAATTACTCCTAGAGCAACATAAAGATTACAAGATACATCAATACTAGTCAACCTTACAGTGATGTTCTCTAGTACAAAGTGTTTATATTTAAAGCGTATGTTTATGTGCAAATAGAAAGCTTCCAAATGTTCCAATTGATTAAGTCTACATCTTCCTTTTGATATATATATATATATATATATATCATCACACACAGTATACTTAATTATGGTGTGATTTTGGATTAAACTTTGAGCATATCTGAATCTCGAAACCCATCTCCAACGCCTACACACAATATCCATTTATTTGGTAGTCTTATTTAAGCTTAGAAGTAGCAAATATTTTTGCTACATCATATTGATATACATATATCCAAAAGTGGCCTACCCAAACACACATATCTAGGTATCGTTTAACCTACTCTTTAACGTATTAATTTACATTTAAGCTGGTCGTCATTGATGGTATAAGTTCCAATAAAACCAAGAATATATGGAGTATATGTAATACCCTTTCAATATATAAAGAGAGAACTATCACAATAAAAATTTTCCAAGTTTCTTTTATATATATATATATATCGGAGACTTCTTTTTCTCTATGTAAACCTTTGTACTTTTCTAAATCACAATTCTGTGGATAAACCGCTTAGTTTTCAAGTTATTTATTACTTTGCTATATATATATATGACATAGCTCTATTATACTCTCGACAAACTTATCCTTTTCTTTGATCCTTTGTTTTCAAGCGTGTGTGTGTGCGTGTGTGTTTTTTTTTTAAAAAAAGTCAATACTCATATATTGTTAGCTCTGATGGGTAAACATTGGATTTAGAGGCATCTTTAAGCAAGAAAAGTAATAAAGAATGTTTACTCTAAGCTTATGAGCCAGAACCTTCTTTAGAAATAAAATACTCTTGTTTTAAGGGGTAGTGGGAAGAGGGTTTCAGATATCTTGTTTCTGTTTTATTCTTTTCGCCACGGTACGAGAAGGGGAGTTTTCTTTTCCTATAATTCAATACATAGAATTATAATGGTTTTCCAAATATATAAATATATATATGTGTGTGTGTGTATATATCATACAAGTAATTATATGTGGCCAGATGAACTAAAACGCATGTTAAGTACATAAAAAAAATTGCAATTTAAAAACAAATGGCTGAGTAAACAGAATATACTAGAAAATCCAAATGCTCATAAATTTAACATTGTGATATGAGTAGCTATTGGTTCTGACAAAGCAACTACTAATATTCAATATATATATATATATATAAGTAAGCATCATTAAAGTATGTTAATAAATTGATCCAATATCTACATTTAATTAATATCTATTTAAGTTTCTAATTGTTATAATTGCTGCTTAATATGCCTCTTAGAAGAGGACAGCCTTTGACAAGAAATCTTAAAATAAATACTCTTATGTTCTCATTTCCCCCCCTTAGTTGAACAAGCATATATATATATATATATACAAACTTATGTTTGAAGATACATATATTTTTATAGCTTGAGGGTATATTTATGTGGGCTGATATTTGTTTATGATTTGGCTTTGACACTATCTAAGCTCCAATGTATGTATATTGATATATATATATATATATTGTTATTGTTATTGTTATTCTTATTATTTTATACCTAAAACCGATACAGTGGCTGAATGTATTTGGATCTAGTCACCTTGTAATTCAGCAGGTTATTTACTGGCTTTGCTTGTTTTATATAAAATAAAATAAAAATGATTTTTCTCAGGGACATTAGTCTTATTCCCAGTTTCCCGCGTACAGACAGCCAAAACATCTAACCCAATAAGAAATGAGAAACAAAAACAAAAAAATAAAGGTCATTAGAAACTCCATAAAAGAAGAAGAAGAAGAAGAAGAAAACTATCATTTAAATCAGCTTGATAAACCAGTCTTTTAAAATATCATAAAGAAAAAAAAACTGCTGGGTTCAAGTGACTATATGTAAAAGAAAAAGAAAAAGAAAAAGAATAAAAAGAATAGAAAGGGTTATGTATGAGAATCAGATTTGTACTCCCATTAATTGGTTGTATATATATATAATCCTTTACATACTTTGTATCTTCTCTAATGGTATTAATTAATTAATGATATTCTAAAATATTGCAAAGGTAAATTGAATTACCTTTTGTTGTAGAATTTGGTAATATATTTATAAATAATGCATAAACTATTTACAAAATTACTTAGAGTTATTTGTTAATTAATTGGCTGTATTTTATATTATTATTGTTATTACTTTAAATTTTATTTTGGTTAAAAGAAGCTACACTTGCAAACCCAAAGGTTATTATCTAAAAAACTACTACTACTACTACTACTACTACTACTACTACTTATAGTTGGAATTAACAATGGTAACATATTTGTGTGTAAGACTATTTTATGTTTGAACATTTTGATTGTGTGGATCATTATGATTATCTGGCTTATTGAATGTTCCTTTTGTTTTCCAAGTAAGCTTTGGTAACCATGGGTACTAGTTTGATTGGTTGATCTGTATAATTGTATATATTTATGCGTGCTTTTGCTTCTCTCTCTCTCTCTCTCTTTCTGTGCGTGTGTGTAATTTACAATGGTCCCTTTATTATTATTAAATTACTTTTTGCTTGTGATTTTTATAGCAGATATATATTTCTTCATTTTCTTAAATATATATATATATATATATATATATATATATATATATTATGTATTTGGTAGATTTGTAACAGTCGAAATATATATAGACATATATGTTTTTGTTTTTGTATGGTAATGAGTTTGAGTCATATTTTACTTTGGGGACAAACAAAAAAGGAGGGGCGGGGGGGCTGTGAATAATTCATGACAAGGGAGCCCTTGAACATAAAAAAAACCATACAATAACATTGTCTAGTTACACATACTATGGTGTTTGTTGTCTTTGAGCATTTATACCTTTAAATGAGCATATATATGTTATATGTATATAAAAGTTTATAAATCAAGAATTTGTCTTTTTGTCTTTTTGTATTCTTTTTTTTTTATACCTGAAAATCAAATGGTAAGATTTCCTACTCCACTCGGATCAGTTACCCCCCACCCACCCCTCCACTGAGCTGTTAAATGCACTATACATATGCATGTCCACTCTTTATTACAAATTTGTGCTCTGTGCCTCATATTAATGAAAACAAAAATGATAATATATATATATATATATATGAAATAAAATAATAGTAGTAATATGAGTGTTACACAGTGCAATATCATCTTTAACAAACAAAGGTATTGAGTATAGATATACCTATTGTGTGTATAAAAGAAAGAGAGAAAGTGCCTAGAGCTATTATGGTTATTGTTTGCTGTCATTTTTTAATGCAATGGTACAATAGAGAGAAAAAATGATTATTATATATGTCTCTGTCGCCTTTTCTGATGAATATTGCACAATTTTTGTATTTATATATATTTATATTTATATCAATACTTCTTTACTTGATCCAAAAACAAACCCCTCCTTGTACAAAGAAAAAAAAATTAAGCGGAATAATATATATATGTGTGTGTATGTATGCATATATGTATCATATTTTATTACATTCTTTTATATTTAAAAAATAAGAATATAAAGAAAAAAGAAAACGAGACAAACTATATAACCTTTCTTTGCACGTTTTTTTATACTTTTATAAAATAGTTAAATAAAAACCAAAAACCAAAAAAAAAAAATGCAGTGCCAAAAAGCATAACACAAGGCTTATATATATATATATATATACATTTATTTAAAAGTAAAGGCTCTTGATTTGTTATAAATTTTATATAGTATAAATCAAACGGCTTTCTTATTTTTTCGGCTCAATTGTCCCGTAGATAGAGCGCAAATTTAATTACCAAAAATCTCATCCTTTTTTGTTTGGTGGTTGTTGTATTCACAAGTCTACCCTAACTGAGATAATGTGTGAGTGTGTGTGTGTGTAAGGTGTGTAAGGTGAGAAATTGAATGTAAAGGTGAATGTAAGTGTGAATGTAAATGTGAGTGTGAAAAATAACGCCAGTCATTTTATAATCAAAGTAACCATAGCAACAAGGCCGTATATTTAAGGTTAGTACATTGAATAAGATTCTAGGTAGATAGAGAGATAGAGAGATAGGTCTTTAAAGGTTTTATACCCCAACTACATAGTCAAGCTCTGTTAATTTTAGAATTGATTGCTCATATGAGCCTATTACTTTTTAGAGCAAAAATAATAAACATAGATAATAATTGTAATAGGGTGGGGCAAACTGATAAGCCAGTCCTATACAAACCAAACCAAACCAAACCAATTCCTTATTTATTTACTTTGCTTATGAATATCACAATAATGGCAGCAAAAGGAATATAATTTAGATAGCTAGATAGCTAGATATATTAAAGTATTAAAGTAATGTAGTGCGATAGAAAATAATAATAAGTTCCAAGAGAATCTCTATATAATGTTTCTTATATATTAAAGTCCTCTCTCTGTCTCTTTTACCTTGCAAAGTCATTTGAGTTAAAATATCCATGTATTTTCCCTCTACTATATATATATATATATATATAGTGATTCATAAAGTAGCATAAAGATATAATTGAGGATGGGAGGTTATTTATAATTGCAATTTGTATCTCTTATTATTTATTTATATATTTATTTTTTAAATATAAATAATATATTATTATTTTAGATAGCTAGGTAAGTAGGTAGGCTGGTGTCAAGCCTTATTTCGAACCAATTGAGATAAGAGAGTGCTTCTTTTGTGAAACATGTTACCTGCCATTAAGAGAGAAAGGGAGAGAGAAAACGGGATGAAGGGAAAGAATCAGTGTCCCGTATTCCAGAATCAAAGCACAAAGAAACAAGATATGTATACAAGGCCTAGCAACTGATGGATTACTATATTTTTCTTTTAGGTTTCTAGACAAATCTTTGTTATACATATAATAATACCTAATAATTTCCTTACTTCCTTACCTACCTACCTACCTACACATCTACTAAATTAGCTATCTATCTATCTATTTCTTTATTTATTTATTTATTTATTTATTTATTTTCCTATCTATAAAATTGCTTGAACATTAGCCAACCAAATTATTGTCTATTATTCTTTAAAGGGTAATGATGATTGCATTTTTCACACCACAAGTAATTGGACATACAAAAGCTTAATTATAATTATTACTTTTTTTTAAATAATAATAATAAATCAATTGGGTGCACAAAGAGATAACATCGTGCTGGCTGCATCTTATATTGAACACAAGAGTATCTACTAATATAAAAAAAAAAACTTAGTACTAGTGTGTGCGTGTGCGTGCTTGGATTTGATAGACAAAATAAACTGATTAGATATCATAGACTATAGAACAAAAGAGAAAAAGAAAAGAGATATACTTTAGCTTTTTTTTTCTTTAACTGTGAAAATACACAGCAGTTCTTTTGTATATAGCACTAATTGAAATTCATGTCTAAGTCTGTCACACTAAACCTCAAAAATGTTCCTCATTATTTTGTATTATTAGCGGTCAAATCGGCGCCACCCTTTTATATTATAATTATAATACTAAACAATCAAATAACAAGAAAGTACCTCATTGTTGATTGATTGATATAATGATATTCATTGGTTTTCTTTTTGCCAAGCCGGCCTGTACGTAACTCTATTCTATATAGATACATGCTTACATACATACTTACATACCCATTTACATATATATACATACAAAAGTCATAGGTTGACCAAATGGGGACTCTAATGATCGAACAGCAGCGATTTGATGGTACAGATCGCCTGATGGTAATGACTATGATTATACCTATGATTATAGTGATGATATCTAAATATATATTTCTATAGAAAGAAAAAAAGACTTGTTTTTCTACGAATATTTGACATTAAAATCTTCTTTTCTTTGAGTATTTACGGACCTCTTCTCATTTTGAAACAATTTTTTTTGTGATTATTGTGATTATGATTATGATGCCGATTATTTTATTTTCATGTAATGAACCAACTTGGGTTAGGCTGGTACACAGACTTTGTATTTTGTGTTTTGTACTTTGTACTTGTACTTGTATTTGAAGGATTTAGATAAGAGATTTTTTTCTTGGTTGATAGATTATTATTTCTTGCTTTTTTTTTGCTTTTGGTTGTGTGCACCGTGCGTGCGTTTTGTATTTGTATTTTATTATGATTAGGAGTTACATACCACAAAACAGCTTATCACCAGAAGAAGAAAAAGAAGGAAAAAAAAATAGTCAGTTGATAATTCAAAGAATATAGATAATAAAATCACTACAAAAACTGAGAAAAATATATATATATAAAAAAAGGGTACTCATGCATTACGGGGAAGGAATAATTCTAAATCCCAAATCCCAAAATGAGATTGTGAATATGATATAACTAGATAGAGTTCGTACCTCCACCATTAACATCCAAACAATCAAAGAAACATATATACACACACACACATATATATATAAGTTGAGACACTGTGTTCAAATGAAAGAATAACAAGAAGAGGTTGAGGAGGTAATCAAGGGTCCTTTATTTGAATCTATAGATACGATCTTTGTTCTTAATATATATATATATATATATATATTTAATATTACATTTATTACTATTACAGCTACAGTTATTATTATTACGAATGTTGTGATTTTTGATGGTTTGAAAGCATAGAGACTACAAAGATTCTCTAATATATATATATATATATATATATTCTATCAAGAGGCTGGTTGGATTACTACCTGGTTCAATGAATCCATATTAACTGAGCCATCTCTTGGCTGAGAATTGGGCCCAAACGCAAGCAGTACTGACTCTTTCTGAGTACCATAAGGTGGTGGAGGCTCCGAAAATACCGAAGTCACAGATGCCGATGCGCCCGCTAGTCCCCAGGGAAGTGTGTTTGCCTTTGGATATCTATAGACAGACTGGCCAAGATTCACACTGATCTCCGCCGTACCCCTGACATCGATGGTCGGAAACATGTCCCACTGGATACCATCGCACACCACGTCAAGCAAGGTCCCATTAAAGGTAAAGAACACCCTACCATGGCTTGCACTGTACCCAATTCCAATCACGTCACCATGCATGAATTCTGAGCCATACATTGAACCACCCATTGGAGAATATACGTACGAGTGAGGGTTTGTTTCGAACCGACCGGTATTTCCACACTGATTAATTGTTACTTATTTTCACACGCACACACACAAATACATAATGAGTATATATATATATATATATATATATATATATATATGAATTGGTTTGTTACCTGGAGATCTCCAGCCAGCATAAGGCTTTGTAGCTATTCCCACAGACACAAATGTTGTTGGACTGACTTTTGTTAGTGTAGCCTTTGGATTTACATTAATAAAACAAATGAACGAATGAATATTATTGTAATAATACTTAACCGGTTCTCTATCTCTATCTCTATCTCTATTTCTACCTCTCCACCTCTCTCTCTCTTTTAATTATTATCTATATTTATACTTATGAATATAAATATAGACAAGTGGCTTACCTCCCAGTAACAAACAGCTTGGTTGGTAGGAAGACCGATATTGGTCTGCAGCGAACTCTCTCCGCTAAAGAAACTCAGTTGAGTTCGGTTATTAACAGCATGGCCAGAGTCGGGCTCTTGTTTGAATTCATAGGCATACACTCCTCGGTGAAGAATAGAAACCAACTGAAGGGGTGACATTCCCTTGGACATGTAACCTGTCGGTTGATAATAATCTATTATTTTTATTTTGGTTGGTGTTAGTAGGTGTTAATATAGATATGTGTGTATGTATGTATGTATGTATGTATGCATTTATTTAAATATAAAAATTAAGGATTTATTGATTATCAGCCCCCAATTAATAAGAAGAAAAAAGAAGCCAAAGACATAGCCACAGCCACAGCCAGAACTAGTATCATATGATTCTTTATATAAGAGATCATTTACCATGAATAGAGTTGTAACGAGGCTGGTTGATCTGTTGGTATTCTTCTTCGTCAAGTGGCCACCTGTCTAGATCCTGGAAATGTCTCAAGAAAAATGGCAGTGGAATATGCATTCGAATGAAACAGAGCACGCCCAAGAGACACACGCAGAATATGATTGGGTAAATGATCCAAGGCAATTCAAATTCGCATTCTTGGTTGGGCATCTTTTCTTCTTTCCTTTCTTTTGGTCCAGAAACACAGTATATAAAAAAAAACTACAAAAGAAATAAAGAATAAGAATAACGATAATTATGATAGTAACGATGACAATAAATGTAGAATATATATATATATATATAAGAGTATATTTATTGTTGGCTTTTAATGGTCTATTATCATACTCCTTTATTTCTGGCTATCATCTTATCTCATCTCATTTCATTTCATTTCATTCTAGTTTATTTTTGTCGTTTGTTTGGTACCTTTTTTTTTTGAAACTGACATTTCTCCTTTTATGGTAATCCAAAGAAGATTTCAGTCATTTGCCCTGAATGATGTAGCAACAAAGGCTTGTTCTTTCATTTTTCAATTTTTTTTCCTACTCATAATAATAACCACAGCCATAATCCCTTTCTTTCTTATTCCTCTTTTTTCTTCTTCTTCTTTCCCCCCCTCCTTTATATATATATATATCTTTCTTTCTTTCTTTGTTGATTTCTTTGTTCTGGATCCATAATGACTTTGAACACCTGTTGCTTCTTATTCTCACTAAAAAAAGGCTCCATTTTGATCCTAACTATCGATGGTCTTTATGGACTCTTGTTTGCAATAATATCTCTGGTGCGTTTATCAGGTACACCAAAAAAAATTGAAATATAAAGATATACATACTTGTATATATATATATATATATGTGTGTGTGTGTATTGATACTCATATAGTTATATATACATTATTCGATACTCATCAATCATATTCATTTTTTTTTTTACTTCATTTGATCATTTCACATTATAGATTTCTCGATTACGCTTGGAGCAGCTGGAGTAGTATGGTTTGTCGCAATTATACATCTCATTTACTTTTTATTGGCGTGTACAGGAATCGTGATCATACTAAAGGTTAGAGAGACCAACAAAATTAAATAAAATTAAATAAAAAATAAAAAAAAATCATCATAATTATATTTTGCTCGTTCTATATTATTATTATTATTATTATTATTATTATTTCATTACAACCAAAGCCTCTCTTTTTTTTTTGTACCTTTTTCACACACACACACATGTCTGTCTGTCTGCCTGCCTGCCTGTCTGTCTGTGTTTGTTATTTATTTATTTATTTATTTTTTAATATATAATATTTTTATATTTTTCACAATGACCGCTAATACTCACACACACACACACACACACTTCACACACTTCACACACACACACACACACCGAAACACATGTATGAATACATGCATACATGCACACGCACACGCACACGCACACGCACATACACATACACATACACATACACGCACATAAATAAACACATTAGAACCTTTCAGTATTGCAACGGCTTTGTCTAGGATATCGGATCACAGCCGGTTCACTAGGCGTCATTCAATTGATCATGTTTGTGCTGGCTGGTGTGTATCGTCAAAAGACGATTTCGAGTTGTGCAGACCGCCAAGGTCGGACAGAAGAAGAAGAAGGTTGTGCGACCGCGATTCTGGTGGCCTACTTTCTTTTGGGCACATGTTTTGTGATCTGGACAAGTCTACAGATCTACTTTGGTTTGGTTATCCAGGCATACTTGCTAAAGACCGAGGGAAGACAGAGGTACTCGGCTCTAAAGGACCAGTTTATCCGTGATTGGGATGCTCAAATGGAAGCAACAAATAATGGCATTTCGCGTATGAATACCGTAAGGTCTGCCTACAGTGTAGTATAACAATATGGTATTGTAAACTAGAGCTAGATTAAATATATATATATATATAAATTGTATATTAAAAATGTACACCAACACACCAACACACTTGTAAAAATTATATCAAAACATATATATATATATAAAATAATGAACAATTTTTGAAATATTGTATTATATATTATTATGCGCTACAGGTATCTAACTACAACAAAATGAAGAATGTACGAAATTGAGGGAGTCAAGCGAAACAGAGCAAAAAAAGAAAGAAAGAAAGAAAGAGTGAAGGAGTGTGGATGATATATATATATATATATATATATAAAGAAAGCAATCCATAGTAAAAGAAAAGAAAAATGTACAAGGAGGATAAAACAGATAGATAGATAGAGATTTAGATAGATAGATAAGGTTAATAAAGATTGATAGACAGATAAATTGATAGATAAATTGATAGATAGATAGATAGATAGATAGATAGATAGATAGATGTAGATGGGGCACGCATACATGGTCGTAAGAGCATAATGAAGAAAGATGACAGGATAGGACAGAAGAAATCGAAAAGGTAATTTTTCTTTTTTTGGTTGGTTGGTTGGTCGATGATGTTGATGGCGATGATGGTACAGAGGGAAAGGGAAAAGTAGTATGGAATATGAATAAATGGTAAAGAAGAAGAAAATAAAAGGAAGGACAAAGGAGAAGTGAAATGTATTGAAGCAAGGTGAGGAGGAGGAAATGAAAAGAAATTACATGGGGTGTTCATCAATAAAGAGAAACTTGTTCATCTTTCGAGGATTGAAATATCGAAACCTTGGCTGGTTCTTGCCCGCACCTGGACTCATTGCATTGAATTGCTGAAACGGTTGCGGTAACTGCTGTTGTATCTGTGATTGAGGTTGAGGTTTGCTTCGTTGTAGTAGTGATGGTGATGGTGATGGTGATGGTGTTTGCTGTTCGGGTATATACATATTGAATTGTACTTGTGCTGGCGCATTCGGAGATACACTCTTCCTACGTTGTCCGAGCAAGCCAGAGAAGACTGATGAGAAATTTGGTTGAGGAAAGGAGAGGACAGAGAGCATCGAGCTAGATTCGGTGTTGGACATTTGCCGTGATCGTTTGCGAGGTGCCTGATCTTGGGGTGGTTTTATCTTGAGGTTTGCGAGGTAGTAGTCCGGAGCTGGTGCTGTAATCGGGCCAAGGTTACTGCTGTCGTCTTTTGTGGATGGTGACCGATAATCCTTTGATGAAGACCGAGAGTACAGTTTGTGGCGTCTGATTTCAACCTGAAGCCAGTCTGCAACTTGAATCCAGTTCTTGTTCATTGCATCGTATTCGCGGGTCTTCTTGAGGATCTCGAGTGCCTTGTTGAGTCCGTTTTCGTATTCGGCTCGGTCGATGTTCTGAAGAATCAGTTTCTGGTCGTCTGGAGATATGCAGGTGCGGTAGATATCCATCGCCATCGAGATGACCTCGGAGGCACGCCAGAGTTCGTCGCGATCGAATGCACATTGGGTGAGGGCTGAGCGGGTGCATGTGTTGAGGGCTCGCAATTGGGTTAATGAAGTGATGAGGCAGGTGTTGAGCGACTGGAGAGAGAGTCGGCTAGGACGTGGGTCGGTCACTTCGGGTAAGAACAGTTTGTGGAGTAGTATGCGGGTTGCGTTGTATTCGACCGTCACTCGGAGGCATGTCAGAAACAATTCTTCGTTGCCGTATTCAAATCCACTGTCGCACTTTAGATAATCTGGCAATGAGCTGTAATACGAGTTGAGCTTAGAGTCGTAGTTGTTCAGCTGCTCGACAGTCATATCAGCATCTTTTTCGTAGACAGCAAGGATGATCTCGGCCTGCATCTGCCACAGAAGAATGCACTTTTCGTGCGCGATGATGCTATTCTCGACCCCGTCGATGTCTTGCTCAAACACCCGTGGAAGCGACACCTGACCCGGCAGGCGTGGCTGTGGAGTGTTCTTTGGAGCACCGGCTGAATAGAGATAAAAGTCAATCGACCATGCAAACCACCAGAGCCGGGTGTCCATTTCTTTGTCGAATGCACGGTCGTCGTCAATGTCGACAGGGTCGGTGTTCATGCGTGGATAGATTTCGAGCTGATGGAGCATCGAGACTGCCATGCCGACATAGTGGTGGCGTCGGCTTGCCTCTGCGCGGGTACTCATCATCAAAAGGCCGACAATCATGTAGCGGTCAGGAACATCAAAGATCTGTGCCAGGACGTGTCGGGCACGATCAAAGTAAAACTCTTCTTGCTCTCGAATCTTGTCTTGGTCACCGATAAACTGTGAAAATTCGGGTTTGGGGTGATGGACGAGCATGTGGTTAAACATAAAAGAACAAATTGCGTTTACAATAAACGTGTCCTCGGGTGAGGATTGGCTTGTGTACCATTCCATAAATTCATCTTTCACAAGCACACTTGCACACCGTACCCAGCACAGGAAATAGGCATCAACACAGGCATCGGCAATTGCCCGTAATGTTGTGCCGCTTTTGTGTGTAGAGTGTGGATCCTGGCTCAGGCCAAGTAATGACACTGATGCGAAGAAGTTTGCTGGTTTGGTTTTTTGAGATTTGTTGCGGTAGATTACAGTTGTATGATCATTATTATTATTATTGTTATTACTTGTATTATTGTTCTTATTCTTGTAGCTATAATTGTTACTATTACTATTACTATTATTTGTGGTATTGTTACAGTTGGTCTTGCAGTTGATTCGAGAGTTGTGTTTATTGTTGTTCTCGTTTGAATCTTTTAGTGAGCTGTCGAGGGGATTGGGTAGACAGAGCTGAGAGAATGCGTCAATAAGTGACCGTAGATCGGAGACGTTGGTGACATTGGCTTCCATGTGAATACCGACGTCTGTGTATGAAAGGTTGAATTTGGCAAGAGCGTCGCTGACGACTTGCATGTCTGGAAGTGGTAGTGGTGATAGTGAGAAGTCTGTGTCGGTTTCCATAAACGAGAGCGGCGGTGAGGTTCTGAGGTTGGCGTCGAGTAGTAGTGGCGGTGGTGAGAGTGTGGGTGAATAGGCTGGGCAATCTGTTGGGCCAAATGAATAGTGTGATTGTCCACATGGAGATCCACAGGACGCATTTTCTGAGACCTCGTCTTTGACTCTGAGGGAAAAGTCTGGGAATCCTAATGTGTGGTAAGGAAATTTGTAATCATAATGATCTGCTGAGGGATAGGACCAGCCCGAACTGAGCATGGAGTCGTCTTCAGGATCAGCAGCATTGCCTGCTCGAATTTGCTTGTCTGAAAGACCGACGGTGGCAAACGGCATTAAGGAAAGAGTAATAGTAAAAGTAAGAGTTTGTGTGTGTGTGAGTGAGAGAGAGAGAGAGAGAGAAGCTGGCTTGAAGGAAAGGGACTTAAGAAAAATAAAAATTTAAAGAAGTGTTCGAGAGAGAGAGAGAGAAAGAGAGATGAAAAGAAGAAGAAGAAGCAAAAGAAGTGAATAAGAAAATATGAAAAATAAAATAAAATAAATAAATAAATAAAGTAAGAAGAGGAAGATGTTGGTGGGAACCGAAAGAACGAGCAAGATTAGAGATGGTCCTCAGCTTCATTCGATCTCCACAGTTACACGGTTTGAACTCTTTCGCCATTTCATTAAAAAGCCAGCTGCCAATCGATGATTTGTGGGTCAATGATATCAAGACCAGGCCCTTAAGGAATGATTTTATACAATATAAATAGATATATAAAATAAATAAAATAAGATTATTTCTATTTACACTCTAATGATATCTTTCACCCAAGACAAGGACGTTGCACTAATCCAAACGCCAATGAGATCTCAAGAAACCTTCTTTTGGTCTACACTCTCATGTGCTCTTTTAATGCCTCAGGCGCTGTGTTCCCGCCCTTGGTCTTTTTTGTCTTTTTTTTTTGATTCAGCCAAAGTAGCTAAATCACTTCTTATCATCCACGCGTGAGCAAAAAAAAAAAAAAAAAAAAAAACCCTGCTGGAAATCATTTCATTCTCAGCCCCCACCATCTGGCTCTCTTTCATTTTCATTTTTTTCTTAACTTCCTTTTCCAACCAAAAGATTTACGTTTGTTATCATTTTCTATCGTTATTTATCTATAACAACTTTTTCTTTTTGGTTTCTTTTTGTTTTATTTCTTTGGGCAAGATTTACAACGCCAGGAAGTAGGGTCCTCCAACAACTTCTTTATCTTTCCACACTCCTCCTTCAGTTCATGCCCGCAAGGCAATCGCAGTACTCTTGGGGTCAAGCATGAGCCACACACTTCAAAGCACCTACGGGTACAAGCGTGGCCACACGGCTGGAATACCTTGCGGCAGGGAAGTTGGCAACGAACCAGGTCATGCTCATATACATGGCATTTAAGTGGGCACTATTTTGTAGGAAAAAAAACATAATTAGGTACATTATATAATATATTTTATATTTGTATCCATACATGTATACAATATAGATACATAATACATATATTATACATATATTGTATATCTACACTTTACCTGGTGACCACAATCAAGCACAGTGCCACACGGCCTTGTACATCCACCCTCCTCAACATCCGAAAAGTCGACTGGCCACTGAACTTCTGTCAACTCGTTGTGACGAAGACATTTTAGGGCCAGTCTGACGCCAATGTTGCCCGCCTTCTTCTCTTCCAGATTATAAACGATCTCGTTCCACAGATCACTCTTCTCGCACAGTAGTTTTGCGTTACCTAGGATATACATTCCCTAATAAAGGTTCAATAAAACAGTGAAATAAAAATACAGCAAAACAAATATACACACACACACACACACAAATATATATAAATAAAAAGCTTACATGTTTCGCACGCGATAAACTGACACACACACGGTTTGCGATACTTAAAAATCCAATCATCCCCGCATTGTTACTTCTGACCAATGACAGGATGATGATTTTGTTTTCCTCTCCTTGATATCCATCCACACTACTGACTTGTACGAGCGAAGTATCAACCTCGGGTTTGCGTTCCTTCTTCAGGGCCTTCTTGATTGTCGTTCGCTGCCCAGAGTACATTGTGATGATTGTAATGTCGGCCGGAGAATAGCCTTGCATCAGCAAGTATGTCGACAGTTTAGCAGCCATCTCGGCCTCGTGCTCATTCGACTTTGAGGCCGTCTCCTCCATGTGGCTCTCGGGCTCGGTGTGACTCAGGAAGAAGAGCGATTTGTCCATTCCTCTGACCATAGGTAGCTTGACTACGTCCGGATGGTCCTGCAGAGGCGGGTCGAAATAGATAGGGTCAATCAATGTTCTAATCTCAGGGCGCATTCGGCGTTGGAATGACAGCCGAGAATAGGGCATATCATTCTTCACCAATCGTTCGAACAAGGACACGTCAAGGAAATGCTGTTTGGCCAGAGTATGTACAGCAGTCGATGGTCTTAGCTGCTCATGATCACTATATCAAACAAAGAAATTCAATTGTGTAAGCCAAAGCTAGAGGTTATTATTGTTATTATTAATATTATTAATATAAAATAATATAAAGCAAAGTAACGGAAAAAAAAGAGAGAGACTGAGCTGGTAACAAAACAAAACCTACATTGATGTAATCTTACCCAATTAGAATCAGATGCTGGAGAGACTGAGTAAGAGCGGTGACAATATGAGCCTCCAGCATTTCTGCCGCCTCTTCAACCACCATAACCTTTGGTTTCATTTCTTCAAGAAGGTCATGGTATTTAGCCTATAATGTTATATAGTATAATAATAATCGTAAGTATACCGACCGTTCAATTGGTTTCTTGATCGATTGAATTAGATTCTGCTTATCTCTTATTAATTTTATTTTTAGTTTTACAGAATATACAAAAATAGTATACTTACCGCAGCTGTACTAGTCAGTCCAACAACTCTGGCCTCACGGCAGATAAGCGCATCGTTTTTCACTTGCATCTTACGGATCTCCTTTGAGCACTCTTCGTATCGGACTATCAACGATCTAATTGTTTGACCCTGCTCTTGTTGCAATTGCTGGGCCCACTTCTTGTGTGCCTTTAGTCGAACAGCGAGTGGCCACATCGATACATCGTCGTCCTTCATCCACCGTTCAAGCACATTGTGCTGTTCATCATCCTGTTCTTTATCATCCTCGTCATACGATAAAGGTGCAGCTGAGTCATCAAAGAAATTGAACCGTGACGAGTCGAATCCTCTTGCGGCCGTCTTTTTGTAATTGATCACCTTGCGAGTCTCGTCTCGGTTGGTTTGGCGCCTAGAGAACGATTCGGACTGATTGCGATAAGCCACGCCAATGTTGATATACGGACTCTTGTCGGCCTTTAGGTCCTGCAGATCTTCTTTGAAATTCTGGGTGATCTCCTGCAGTTCTTCCTCTTCGATCAATTCATCCTCATCCTCGTCTTCATCAAACAAAAGTCCCTTTTGCTGCTCCAAGAAATCGGCCTTTTCGTCATCATCCAAGTTAAACGGCGCACCTGACTCATTTACGAATTCGATTGCGTCCTTGAGCCACACCTCTACAGGATTAACCGGTGGCACCTTTTCTTCTTCTCGATGGTTCGGGTTTGGATTCTGGTTTTGGTTTTGGTTGCGATTGCCTCCCCAGGCACTTGGGGCCGGAGTAGGAGCACCACGGGTTTTTGATATAGTGATGTCTGATCCAATTACCCAGTCATCATCTGAGTCCTCATCTGCACCACCTCCTCCCGCACTCGCTGCCGCAACAGCAGCAGTAGAAAGGGCATCATTCCTTGCCCCACGCTCACCCACCCGCTTCAGGGATTCTAACTGGCGTGGACGGAGAGCCTTTATCTTGCGAAGGTAATCGAGCGTCACGCAGGGTTCTTCGTACATGGTCACGATGATTTCTCTAATCTTCTTACTAATCTCGTCTCTTTTCCGGTAAACCCTTCCGAGTCCCCGTACGGCCTCTCGCTCCTTGCGCACTTCAAAAAGAATATGGTCTTTTAGTCGTTCTGACCGAGATCGCGCACCAATACGTATCACTCGTGGGTCAAAGTCCAGTACGTGTTCCAAAAACTGATCAAGAGCATGGTTGGTCTGGCAAATACAAACAATTGGTCCTAATCCTTGGTCAAAGTTCTTTAGTAACACCTTCATTCCGTATGTTCCCACGAAGGTTTTTCCCGTTCCAGGAGGACCTATAAATATAAATATAAATATATAGATATAGATATAGATAGATATTTGTAAAAAAAAAATATAAAGGTACCAATTAGCTCAACTCATTCATTTGTTTCTGCTTTCTTTTTTTTTCTTATAAATATGTGAATAAAGGAGGACTTCTTTTTCTTATTGAAATATACCTTGAATAATTGCAATGTTATTAGTAATCATGGTTTGCAAGGCATCCATTTGAGTACGATCCATTCCAGTATTTTTTTCTGGCCACTCCACGTCAGCCTTGACAAGATTCTTCTGTTGGTCTCGAGAATTGGTGGGTTTTCTGGGATCAATGTCATAAAATTGCTTTCTAGACGCATAATAAGGCAACCGAATGTCCTGAGAAATATCCACCAAATAAGAGGCCAGAGGAAGTTCATCGGCCTGAGTGTTTTTAAGGACCGAGAGTATGTGTCTATAGGCTTTTATAATATTAATATTTCAAATAATGATTTCAAAGAAGCAAAAAAAAAAAATTGGGTTTTCATTTATTTACTTTTATACATATATACATATCTAGTTTATTTTATTTTACCTTCAAAATATCCAGTAGGTGCTTCAATCTACAATAACGATATCGTATTCATATTATTATATATCAATAAAGGCACAGACACAGATATATAAACCACGCGCACAATTATTGATATATATATATATATATATGTCAGACCTACCATAACATAGGTATCTTGATCAGCTGAAGACGGGTCTCCAAATCCAAGCGGATCTCTTTCATTATCACACTCAAGTTTAACATTTATCATGTATTCAAACCGGCTTGATCCTCTCATTGGCTCGTCTCCTCTGTTGACAACAGTAGCAATCTTGATATCCGAAACAAAGTTATCTTTTGACAACAGGACCATGCTGCCTTCCATCAATCTCTTTGATTGAGGCCACTTGACTCGACAATAGTAAGGTAAACGAAAACTGATCCTATAGAGTGTCTGACGAGATCCAAACACGATGGCATTTAAACGGACCTAAACAAAGACAATTACGTAGAGAAAAGAAAAAGGTTATTATTGTTATTAAGATTATTTTGATATGGGTGTGTATGTATGTGTTCTTTTGTTTTTTAAAAAAAATAAAGTTGCTTTTTGAATTCACAAGGGGGATTAAGAAATATATATATATATTTACATGCTCATAAAGTCGGTAGTCTCTTGAAAGTGCAACTGTTTCAACCTGGTCGTCTGACATGGCCAATCCAAGCTTGTCTTTGGGTTTATCGGCTGTCAATCTATAAGACTGGACAGCCTTTTGTAGAGGGATCAAACAGTCTTGACGCATCAACTCAAAATGTGTATAGAGATATTCGTCGGTGCTCTCGTATGGTCCACGGACGTGGTTAACTGGTATATGGGGAATGCGTTCGTCACGACGACCGCGGTCGTTGCTTACTGGGACTTGTGGGGGTCCTTGCATGATTTCTGCTGGATCAGGAACGATTGGTTTGGAACGATATGAGGCAAAATCGACCTTTTCTACAAATATTGGTCGATCCGGAATCTCTGTGTTCAGCTTGAACACAACCTGGTCTGGATGGCTAAAGCGTTCTGGCGATCGTGTAGGTTCTACCCAGGCTTGAAATCCTGAGGAGTTGTTAAATGCAGAAGAAGATTGAGATGACGACGGTTGCGAGGAGGTGTTGAAGTTGGTGTTGGTGCTAAAGGGAGTGTTCCAGCTTGCTTGTGCTTCTGCCGCCCATCTCATCGAACAATCCTGGTTCTGGTTATATCCATATTCTACTTGTGGCTGTGCAGGAGAGACTTGGTACTCATTTGTGTCAAAGTTAATGTTTGCATTGACTGTAATTGGTCCATCTATTTGAGGTCTGTGGGCATTGCAAGTGAAACAGTAAATAACACTAATAATAGATAGTACGTGTACGTGTACGTGTACAGGTATCTATAAAGTAGCGTAATTCTACCTTGGGGAATGATCCCAACCTCTAGGAGGTCTCTGGCGAGAACTTTTCCTTGATGACATTGAGCAATTGCTGCCTTTTTAGACTATAGAAAAGAAGTTTTGGAAGTATATATACAGAGAAATTGTAAAGAGCAAGAAAATAGACTAACGACTAATACTAGTATAACTATATAAATATGTGTAGCTTGATAGTAGCTGTCACGATCTGTCTTCATTAATCATTGGAGCCAATCATCACTCTTTATTTACTTCAGGCTAACTTACATATAAGATAAATTTATTTTACAACCCTATCGCAATAACCTCAAAATGTACAAATGTTTGAATAAAGATTATGCATTATAGTAGGATATTATTATAATCAAATACAAAAAAAATAATTTAAAGCGTTTTATGAACATAAAGAGAATATAAGCTCGTCTATAGGGGAGAAAATATCAAAACTTAAATCATCTAGAAACGTTTTTAATATAGAATCATCTAAGCATTGGGTTGGTGGAGTATTTAAGATCTCGTCTTCATTAGTTGATTCGTCCCGACAATGAATTATGTAGTCTTGTGAGGTAGCGCTTAATTTCTCGGACGGAGACTTGCTTTCAGTTTTCTGGTATATAAGTTGAATGTCTGAAGTGCTTCGAAGAAAAGGTTTACAGACCGTAGACTGTGGTCGCCTTGTTTTTCGTTGTTGTGGTTTATATATATATCCAGGAAACTTTTTGCTGTGGTATAGTTTCTCTTCATCCGCTTTTCGCTCGTAATATTTACGGACTTCTTCCTTTTCATTTTTCCACATTTTCCCTGCCGTTCGTGAAATTTCTTTATTATGAATCGTAGAATTGCTTGATAGAATGCTAGGGTGTACGGCCTGCCTGTATAGCATGAATGCGTTCTTTGGTCTTCTTATTTTCACCGTACTGGATATTATACATTTTTGGCGCACTGGAGTAGATGAAATGCTTTCCGTAAGTATGTCACTTGGAGGCTGGTACGAATTCTTAAATTCGTTAACAAACATAAAAGATTCCATTGAAGTATGAAGTAGCTAATCCAAGTTATGATGTTTAAGTGTAAAAGGGACTTCAAACAAATCGAAGATGCCTTGACGGGGATCTTCGTTATATAACGAGGCCAAACAATGAAAACGAATTTAAACTTTATATATGTAAAATACCAAAATAAGAGCTTCTTTTGGTGCGACAATGGTCTAAACTTGTTTCTTTCTGAAAACTCATTCAGTCAGTTAACATTATTTCATTCTTGGATTAATAGTTATAAGAAAAATAAACGGAGAAAATGTATTATACATATATCATAATCTTATAGAAATGTAAATACATTGAGATATACTAAGAGATACAACACATATGCCTTGATTATTAGGTTTGTACAATTAAGCACCCAATTAGTTACCTTTTTAGGTATCAGGTATAACATGACACAGAAGAACGAAATGATAGCTAGGCATACATTAGCTTATATCAAATCTTGAGAAATCGACAGCGTGTTTCGATTAAGCAAAAACGAGTCAATATAAATTTCTTTATTTAATACTGCTGTACAATACAAATGCTTTGTTTTTGTGGTTTGGGCTATAGAGGGAGTCTTCTTTGATTTTCATGAAGCGAGTATAATAATAGAAAATAATAAACAAGAACTATGTTATAAAAACACGAAACTTTTTTAACTACTTCTTACAAAGAAATACTAGCTCCTAGCCTTTTTGTGTTTTCAATAAATATATTAGAATAAGGGTATTAATTAATCTATATATATGAAATTTCTTTTTCTCTCAAATTTTTCATGCAGAAAATGTATTTTTATTCCAATCTATTAAAGGATGAGAAGATATTTACGTAAGATCTTACAGATAAACACCGTATAGGAAAACACGTTGGAAGATATAGCTTTTACTAATGTAATAATACTTTAATACATTGGAACTATCTGACAGGTGGGTATCCTTAATTTCACATTATATTCAAACCTTCTATAGAAGTACATTGGTCTATGTTTAAAGCATATATTTTTCTTACGTTTTTAAGTCCAAAAAATATAACAAGCGTATAATAATAGTGAAAATTTTGGCTTTAATATATAATACATATAAAATCAAATTATATATGTATAGAAGCACATATAGCTACAAGTTTAAATGGATTATATCTATAACTGAATATTTGAAAAATAGGAATATCTTTTTTAAGTTAGCCAAAAATATAAATCGGGTGATTATAAGGGAATATATAATATTATACGGTAGCTTTTATAAATTCTGAACGATTTAGAGACAATAGATGTGCTATTAAGTTAAAAATTGGTTATTAAAACCCTTGAATTGACAATATAATGTGAAGGGATCGAATTGGAAAACTAATAGTTAAAAAATGTATGTGAATAATCTCTATCTTTTAAAGCATATATAGTACTTTAGTGAGGTATTTAAAGGTTTAAAGTGATACATTTAGAATTATTCAATTAAAACGATTTTTGATGAAGGGAATGAGTGGGATTTACACATGATGTTTTTGTTGAGTTTTTAAATCAATCTTTTCAAAGTGGAAATTCTCATTCGACCTTCCCTGGGTTTAATGTACAATTTGGTTTTAAAGAATATAGCTGATAGATACTTTGTACTATACACTATAGAAAATAAGTGGCTATTCCGATGGTGATAAAGTACAATCTTACACAGTAAAAATTAAATTCCAAGGTTCGAACTTTTTGATATAATTTATTAAGTGTTATATTTTGAAAATTCTAAAAGTGTGGTACCAAATGTTAAAAGTAATATTTTAGTGTTTATAGGAAGCATGTAGAGTATCATAGCAGATGATATGTATTTTCCTCTCCCTATTATGAAAAACTTAAGATGATTGCTTCACATTGTTTTAAAGTTAAAGTCTAGTTTAGTTAGATATTGATCTTTATCTTTTAGATACTAATGTAATATGGTAATGTTGGGAAATGTTATATCCGTACATTTGCTGGTGTAAGTGGTCCTATTATACTTAATGGTCATAATAATAGGTAGAATATAAAACATATACATTATACACTAAAGAAACTTAAGTGTATACTTACTCGCCATCCATCCAGATCGAAATGTTTTGAATCTAAATTAGCTAAATTTTGGAATTTTGTTATTACAACCTTTTCTAACATTCATTCATCTTTCAATATTTGACAAGAGAAAAGGACAAATTTAAATAAAAGCTTTTTTTTACAAAATTCATATTATGTATATTAAGTTACTAACACAATTTTGTTGAGCCTCATAAATCTTTCTATTTTATGTTGAATCTTGAAATATTGACAAGCTAATTATTGTTAACTCGGACATTGGCCATTTATTGCTATATGCTAAGTAGCCAATCCTGGCTTAGTATATGCAGTTTTACTTTATATTTTTGACCGATCAACAAATGCATAAAGAAAATCGATATTTTCTATTAAAAACTTTTTAACATATTGAAATACTTTCGTTCACGTTATGGTATATCTAAATTATATTGTAAATTACTTCAACTGTCTTCAAGGTATATTTTACTTGACTTAATAGCTTGATATTTTGGCCGTGTCTTGTTAAAGTATAAAAATTTCTCTTATATGTCAAAGCTGAAAACAGTTTTAGACTTTTATCTATACCAAATGAGTGATGCATATATAATGGTTATATATATAGATATTAGAATATCGTATTTTAAGATCAATATCTCTATAGAGAAAAAGAAGACACCGTAATCCAATGGCCTTGGAATTAAGAGTACTTCAAGAATAGCTGAATAGATAGATAGATTTAATAATGAATTTTATATGATCGAAAGTTCAAGATTAAATCTGTTGTGAGTTGGTATGTAGGATATGATTTTGAGGGTAAACATATCCCCTTCTTTTTTTTTCTCAGTAAATTCAATGTTAAACGGAGTGAAGGCGGAGTAAGAAAATCAAATAGGCCAAAAAAGAGGAAAAGGGGATTTTCTTTTATTTTTTTTATTTTATTTTTTTTATGTGGTAGATTTGTGTTGAGAAAGAAATACAGAAAAAGAAAGAGAGAAAAAAAAAGGGGGGGGAGAGGGACGGTGATTTTGTGTTAATGTGAATTCTTATCCGTCATTTTTATTTTTATTTTATTTTATTTTATTTTTGAAATAAAATAATATATATATATAAATTGTATAGTCCCCCCCCACCTACCGCCGCCCCTCTTCAGGCAGATGATAAGCCGTATGCCAGGAGTGTCCTTCATCTCTCGCGATTCTTCCCTTCTTTCATCGGGTCAATACTCATCTCAAGAACAGTCTCCAGCTCTTTCTCGTCACATATCGCTTGGTGATCTCTCCAGCCTTCCTTCATCCATCTCTTGGGCAAGCCGTGCTACCCACTCCCATTCAATTTCTGGCCGCTCGATTCCCAGCCCTGGGTCCAAACGCACCTCATCCACACGAACCCATCGTATAAACCTACCCAAGCAAAGCGAGGCAGCACAACAACCCCCGTCTATCCGTCCTCATTTCTCCATGTTTGGCGGCCATGACAGCAACACAGACGACCTCTCCACTCGCCATGTGGACACCTACGATATCAGTCCTCTCCAGACCTTCTGGCAATCCCTTCCGGGATCAAAACATTTCGCCCTCTCAGACAATTTCAAGTTTATCATCAACATCTGCATGTGGTACATATCATCCTCTCTGACGAATAACATTGGCAAGCAAATCCTTACATCCTTCAAGTACCCCGTAACCCTCACCTTTATCCAATTTGCCCTGGTTGCCATGTGGTGTTTCTTGGTGGCCAACCTCGCCAGCACAACCCACATCCGATCACCCACCCAAGAGATCGTCAGGACCATCACCCCCTTGGCTGTCTTTTTGATCGTTGGCCATGTATTCTCAAGTATCGCGATCAGCCGAGTACCCGTCAGTCTGGTACACACCATCAAGGCCCTTGCGCCCCTCTTCACAGTCCTCTTTTATCGCTTCATTTTCCAGGTCCACTACACACCAAATGTCTACATCTCGCTCTTACCCCTCACCTTTGGCGTCATCCTGGCATGTTCTTTCACATACTCTAACAGCGTGGTTGGTTTGTCGTGCGCACTTGGATCGTGCTTTGTGTTTGTGACCCAGAATATATTTAGCAAGAAGTTGTTGTTCAAGGAAGCCAAGATGGGAGACCGGAACCCAAACAAACTCGACAAGATCAACGTGCTGTTCTACTCGTCCTTTATTTCATGTGTGTTGATGATACCACTCTGGCTGTACTCTGACGGCTCGAGTCTGATGGCCTTTTCGGTCGGCAACGAAGGGTCGCTCACCAAGACCCAGCTTGTGGTCTCTCTGTTTCTCAACGGAACGATGAACTTTGGACAGAACTGGTTTGCATTCACTACGCTCAGCATGACCTCGCCCGTCACTTACTCGATTTTCTCTCTGTTGAAGCGGATCTTTGTTATTGTGATGAGTATCGTTTGGTTCGGACAGCAGGTCACGATTACCCAGTCGCTTGGGATCATGATGACTTTTATTGGTTTGTGGATGTATCAAAAGGCCAAAAGAGACGTTGATCGTGGAGAGACCAAGATCCGAGAAAAGTCGCTCGATGGGCTGCCGACAGAGGAGATCCCACTCGAAGACCTACCAAGGCACCGGATGGAGGGCTTTACCTTGCCAGTAAACCAAGCCAAGAAATGGGCCTCTACTCTGATACCCCAGACCACCAGAGATGAAAAAATTCTGTAATTTATTTATATAGTCCATTTCTTTTTTCTTCTCTCTTCGTTTCATTATTTTTTTTTATTATAGTTGTTGTTCTTCTTCTTCTTCATCTTCTTTTTACCTTTTTACTTCTTTACTTTTTTTTTGATAGCTTTGTTCAGTAGACATTTCCTCCCTTTTTTTTTCTTTCTTTCGTTTATTATTTTTGCTGGTTCTTTTTTCTTTTATATATGTAGAAATAATATATACAGTTTATTTTCTTATTATTAATTATTAATATTATTTAAAAGGAAAAAAGAAATGGGGACAAGACTAGAGATAACAATCGAGTGACCCACATTCTCTCTCTCTGTGTCTGTGTGTGCGTCTGTGTTTTTTTTTTGTATAACATCTTTATCTTGAACAATTCATATCTCTCTTTTATTTTATATAGATATACATCTGATACTCTAGTGTATATAAAATTTGTGTAATTTCAATCTACATCCTGTCAATTCACAACCTATTTTATTTCCATTTCATTCCAATTTTCCCTCCCTAGAAACCTGTAAAATAAAAATAAAGTTTCCAAAACATAATATGATTGGACAAATATAGAGAATTCCTTCAAAGTAATCAAGTTTGTCAGTGTTTTAACATTTGCCTATACTCTAAAGAAGTTGCATTACTTTAGAACATTCATTCATCTTTTATATAAATAAATTGAGGTAAAGATGTGTATGTGCTTGCATAATTGCTATTGATGTTCTCTATTATTGTTTTTACTGTCCTGCCGATTATCATCATTATAGTTATAATCATGCACATAACGTACATGACGATAGAGAAAACAAACATAACCTATACTCAAATAACCTTGTAAGAATAATAATAATTAAGATTAAAATAATAAATCCACGACTTTCGGGTCTATAGATTGGCCGGTTTGAATACCCTATTATATATATATATATATATTCTGGTAACAAAGGTTGTCATTATGTTTTTTTTTTGAAGAAGCGGCCCCCACCAGTCACCGAGTTGAAACGTTTATTCTCAATCAAGCATAACCTAATGGGACCCAAGAAACCTGAAATTGAATGGATTGACCTCAACAAAGTCAGGCCATTCCAGTCTTCAATCGAAACAAAGGAAGCCCACGATTGTCTTCGCAGACTGGCTAGAAACTCTCTAAAGTCTGGCCCATTCAACATTGTCAAGGACAAGGTTGCGCCTCACATTGCAGCCAGTAATGATCCTCATGACTTTCTAAGCTATGCTCCGTAAGTATTATTACCAAGCAAAATTTTCTTTTCTTTTCTTTCTTTTATTAATATATTTGTATATACATATAGATATTGGTGGCCTGTAAGTTTCTTTTTTTCGTGGTTCAATTGTATCAACAGCTCACACTTAAAATTCAATCCATAAACACAGGTAGAAAAGACCACAACACTTTCTGATGGTACTACACACACTCAAGTAGATTATGTGCGTAAAGACGGGAAAAGAAATCCAGGTGAGATTAAATAGATTGATTGGGGGGTGAGAAGAAGGAGAAGGAGCTCAATAAAAGAAAAAAGAAAAAAGAAAGAGAGAGATGCTATACTCCAACACATTGTCATACTTTCTATATTATCTTTTTGGAAGACACAAAGCTGGTTCAAGATCAGTCTCAATTGGAAGCATTTGCAGAGAACTTGGCTCACCTGTGCCTTGGTTATCGTGTGTTTGGTGATGAATCCTATGCACAACATGCTGTTTTTCTCCTGAACGAATTCTTTGTAAATCCAAACACTCGTATGAATCCTAACGTAAATTATGGACAGGTTGTCCGAGGATCATCGAATAAGACTCGCATCGGTCGTTACACTGGTCTGATAAGCACTCGCAGGTACATGTGGAGTAAATTTCTACTCTTTATTGGTCAAAACAAACAATATATATATTTTGATATCTAATACTTGTAACACAATAAATAAAAACAATATATATATATTATAGTCTTGCTAGAGTAGCGAATGTACTCCCTTCACTAGATGATTACTCGGGATATAAACCAATTGAAGAATCCGTCAATCGATGGTTTTCCGTTTATCTAACCTGGATGAAGACCAGCCCGGTAGCACACGGAGCCACGACATCCAAGAACAACCACCACAGCTGGTACATTGCCCAGGTCGTCGCCATCCAGATTCTTCTGGACCGAGGACATTGTAAAGCCAAACGAACGCTCGAGACGTTTTTCAAGTCAATCGTGCCAAAGCAGATTAATGCCAGTAGTGGAGACCAGCCCTTGGAGAGCAACCGAGCCCTGCCTTTCCATTATCTGGTTTTCAACATCAAGGCCATCTTGTTCTTGGCCCAGGCAGGCCGGTCAATCGGACTAGATTTCTATCCTCAGAACAACCGCTTGATTGAACTGGCCATCAATTACATCGCCGGCTTTGGAGACAGCACGACCACAGCGGCCGACAATGCAAAGACCACGGACCTCACAGATGCTGTACGAGTAATGCAGATCGCGTCGAATGTCTGTGGAGATACCTATGGAGCCTACCATAACTTTGTTGAGACCGCAAAGTCTTGTCAGTTCAGTGAGAACATCAGTGGCCCCAAAAATGCAATTCATCCTTTGTGGTGTTATGTAAACACTGATCAATAGATATGATCAGTATTTGTATTTCTTTTTTTTTTAACATAAAAATATAATCCCTCCATAAGGTGTGTGTATAAGAGACAAAGATATTTAGTAACTATCATCAAAATTGTACAAAACATACTTGTGGTTTTGACCTTTACATTTATAATAATCAATCTTATTATTATTAAATGATCTGTATTAACTAGCCTAGTTTAGGTGTTATGTATCTGTTTCAAATATAAATTCAATAAAAAAAAATTACAAAAAAAAACTTATTTATTCTTATTCTATATATATATACTTCTTGGTGACTTGAGTATGTACTAATAAATGCGTTTAAAGAAGTATATTTGAAATATGTTTTTTTTTAAAGAAAACAAAAATTAATTAATTAGCTAATTAATAATCGCAAGAGAAAAAAAAGTGTGACGTGGCTTTAGAGACCAACACTTGTAACTTTTAACCACAAATCACTACAAAATATGTATAAAACTATATATATATATATAAAGCTTAACCATTTTTATTTTACATGTATATATAATTTATATTAATTTTATAAAACTGTATTTTCATTATCAAATTATTTATTTATTTATTTATTTTTCTTATATATACATATAAAGATACATCTACCTACCTACCTACCTACCTACCTACCTATATATCTATATATCTCTTCTGTTCCTTTTCATTATTTCTTTCATATTTGTGCTATGCCAAATGAGAATTCTTCCCGCGTTATATTCCTCATTGACACTCGTGATCCCTTGATCGATGCTTCGAAAATCAAACAGATCGCCTTGCAGATCCTCTTGTACTTTTACGATTGTGTAGACAAGGAAGTGACATGGGGATACCGTTTCTTCAATTCCGAATCTGCAGCTGTTGACGCTGCAAAATATCCTCTTTATTCATTCACGCCAGAACACATCAATGCCTTTAAAGCAAAGTGTTCTCAGAGACTACGCCAAGATTCCAAATCCCCAGTTTCTTCCACTTCCACTTCTTCTTTTCCTTTTTCCTCATTTTCTGCTGCCGCTAGTGCTAATAGTAGTGTCTTTTCTTTTATGACCAACACAAATATGAATATGAATACGAATATGAATACGAATTCTAGTAGCATTAATTTTGTTGGCAACAAACGTCAAACCACATCATACTCTGTTCTCAAAGAAACGATGATGCAAATCCTGGCAGAGTTTCAGTGGGCCGGCACTGACTCGTACCTGTCAACGATCAAGAGCCGCCAAAAGTCAAAAGCGGTCTGCTTCCGGTCCAATAAACCTGGGCAGGAGGGAGTTAATATCAAAAACCACGTGTACATGATCACCAATTGTCCAGATACCTATGACAGCATGCTTCGGTATGTTGGATACACCAACCTTGAAGACCCAGACGCCACAGACGATCAAAAGATAGAACATCTAGCACGGTCGATTCATTTTATGGCCCAGGATGTACAAAAGTCTCTGTTACAGACGTACATCAAACGGCAGATATCTTTCAACTGGATTAACACTTTAGAAAAGCCAAATGAAACAGAACAGGTAATGCATGTATCTATATATATTAAAGAAATTAAATAAAATGAAAAAGAAGAAGAGGTGTTAATAACTCAATCTTTTTTCATTTTGGGATTGTATATAAATAAATAAATATAAATCTTGCACTTCCTTTCAACAATATCAAAAACACCAACCAACCAACAAACAAACTAACTGATTAACTAAATAATATCAATAGAATAAAAGCTTTCAAAAGCTTATTTCTCATGGCCTAAGCAAATTTCTTAGTCTGTTTGGCGGACACATGATTCCTTATTACCTTCCACTCGTAAATCATACCAAATACGGCTGTTCGTTTACCACCATATTCTCTTCTTATTGCTCGTCTGAAATCGATACTGTTGTCAACAAGAACAGCGAGACCATGATCACAAACCCGGCCCATTCGGTCGAAGCATACCTAACCCACATCAAAATAGAACATCAAAAGGCCAACACATCCTTTTGGGAGGGTGAGTTTTATCTTGGCCATGATGCATACTTTTTGTCCGAGAGGCAAGGAGCACGTAAGGAGTATCAAGTAAGGCTGAAACCTTTCTTTCGGTGAGTGGCATCGTCCAACTCTCATATATTGTTAATACTATATAGACATAGACATAGACATAGATATAGATATAGATATAGATATATGTATATAATTGGAATTAACAAAGAAAAAAAAACAACCAAACCAAACATCTGCACCTACACCTACACTTCCATTTTAACAAATATTAATAATAATTAATAATAGTACGACTCGAGAACTGCCCTTGGAAGAACGCAACTTCTCTACGTCTATCAACGATCTATTTTCTCGAGTCAATGTGTTCCATACCGTTGCCCTGATCCACAATACCGAAGTTCGGGCAGAGTGGTTTGAGAACGACGAGTCCGAGTCCGAGTCCAAGTCCAAGTCCAAGTCCAAGTCCAATCCAGATTCCGAGTCCGATTCCGGCGGCCTTAGTCCGGGCCATAGTCCAGCCAAACGGGTTGAGTTTGTCATGACATCCAAAGAGCCTGTTCCGGAAACCTTTATGGACCTCATTGATTCTCTGATCGCTTCTCACCAGGTGATCCTTGTTGACCTGCAGGCCCGGCGTGCGTCCCGGAGCACCGGCCCACACCCTCACTCGCAGGCTCTTCTGCAGCCCCTGACGTCCGGGTTTATGAACGTGATTCTGTTGACAAAGCCGGTCGGAGCCGACGAGCTCCAGAGCCTCGAGTCCGGCGCACGGTTTCCCAAAACCCACCCGCCCGAGACAACTCAACTGGACATCCCGGCCCTACTAGAGACCGCGCCGTATTCCATCAGAGTCGTCAATCACTACAGGCGGTCCAAAGCACCTTTGGTGCCGATCGTCTTGAATGAATCACCAAATGTGCTGGAGCTTCTCAAGGCACACAAAGAAAAGTGGGTATGCTGCCGTTATGTAAACCTGGTTGCATTAATTTGCATTTTACTTGCCATTATTTGATTATTATTTAAAAAGAATCATTTATTTATCTATTTATTTATTTATTTATCCATTAATTTGTTTTGGTGGCTGTTATATTTATGTTTATAGGAAAAAGGCAGAAGAAGAAGCAAGATCACAACAAAAAGTAAAATCAAAACCAACAAATACAAACAAGAAAACGGTTGATACTCCAATTGCTAGTCTTCCAAGAGACGAAGATGAATTTATAATCACAGTCAAGAAACTATACCTAGAAGCTCTTTACACCGGAAAGGTATATAAATATTAAATATTAAATACAAAACTAACATATTTATGTAATATTTCCAATAGTGGACTCACCTTGGAATGATGAAGAATCTGGCTTCTTGTGTCAGTTCTGCTAGAAACTATTGTGTGGAAAGTATCTCTTTTATATATAAACATTAATATTAATATTAATATTAATATCTATTTATTATTATAGACTTTGGACATAATTACTTTACTTAGTATATGGACCAAGAGTTGGATAGATGTAGATAATCATCATCGAGAAATCGAGGACCAATTGAATGATGTTCAAGACTGTGTTGATTTGGAAGAATCTCGGTACATAAGCGTATGGGAAGAAGAACAATTGATGAATGCCAATAGTTCTAGAAGAGAAGTTTTGTTAAAGCTGTTGAAAATGAGAGAGTAAGTTTCCAAAAGAAGAAGAAAAATCAATTCTATCAACACTGATTAATTAATTTAATTGATTGAATTTTTTCATAGAACAAAATTACAAATCACTCTTTACCTTACAATTCTATCCTTAAAAAAAGAAATGCGATCAAATGAACATGGCAAGAGACAAAAGAGACATAATGAAGATGACGACGGTATCACGAACTGGAAACCGATGGATCGGTACAGCACACTTCCGGAAGAACTTGTAGATATATTCCTGGACAGAATCCAAATCTGGGAAGTGGCTTCGTCTATCCGCGACGAACTTGTAGAAATAAATGCAGAAAGAGAAGGGTCAAAGACACAGAGTCCTATTGATTCAGCAGATATCTCATTGCGAACATTTGTAAAGAACGTAGCGAAATGGTAAATAATGCTTTTCTTTTTATTTTATTTTTGGGAACTATACTCATATTTGTTGTATAGCTTTTCGGACGCACTTCCTGATGTTGTGAGATCGTACCGAGAAAAGATTGATGATGATGATGATCACGAAGTACATGTATGTAATAGTAATTATAACATGTGTACTTTGAAAATTCCAATGAAAAATAATTAATTGATTTTTTCTTTTAGAGCTCACAGACATCAGACACAAAATCATCAAAATCATCATGGTCATATTCGAATCCTAAAAAGATGAGAAAGACTTCAAGTATGAGCAAACCTTCTCGGACAAGAAGCTCTAATTCAGTCACTTCATCATCGTCTACCGCAACTGCTGGCGCAACCGCATCTACTTCTTCATCCATATCCACCTTAACTTCGACATCCACATCCACAAACACAACCTCAACCAATCGTGCGACTCGTGTACCGGACCTGTCATTCATGAGGCGTGAGGTTGATCTTGTACAAAAGCCACGAAAGGAAGTTGTGCGGCGTCCTGGTGAGGCATCAAGAGTAATTGATGCAAAGGTTGAACGGTCAAAGGTAGATGGGAAACCGACGATCAAGAGAGTCGGAAGTTTCACAACCAGTGCAAGATCAACCAAACGTAAGTAGAATAATCAATTATATAGACAAACAGATGATTGATTGATTGATTGATTTTTTTTTCTTATTCTGGTAGCTACAGCTCCTGATGATCTCACCCAGTATAGTCAAAAGGTTCAGTTGCGACGTCCTCTATCACCAACAACTCCTATAACACGCATGAGTCGCCAGTTTGGCTTTGATTTTAATATTGGAGATGAATAATATAAATATATAAATATAAATGCATATACATATATGTACATACAAATATACATACATAAATACATAAATACATAAATACATAAATACATAAATACATACTATATGAGTTGCTTCTTAATCTGCTAAATACATGTACAGGATTGAATTGTATTTGTAGGAATCACTTCTTTTGCACCAACCAAGGGTGCCTTCTGATGAGGACATGTCTTGGATATTAGAATAAATTAATAAAAATTGGGAGAAAACAGTCTTTATTTCTTTATATTTATATTTCTTCAACCGTGTTTTAAGGAGAGAAGAAAAAGAAAGCCTGTTTACATTATCAATTCACTCTCATGATAAAAATTAAAAGGATGGGTTTTACAATAATACATGGCTGACATTTTTTTGAGATCATATTGATCTTCATCCTTTTTGTCAATAAAATATTCTTCAACAGATTTGAATCGAAATATCAAGACACCATATTGAAGATCTCTTTTCCAGAATCTTTTGAGTTTATAACCCATTTTAGATCGTTTCATGTCCTTTCGCAGCGTTTCCTTTCCTCTTCTTCGTTTAAAGTCTTGAAGGTATCTGTGTGCAAATTCAATGTCACGTCTTCCAAGTTTCCATGCCAATAGTCTAGATTTTCTGTTTGTTTTGTCAACGCACAAATGGTGCCAGTTCAATTGAGGTGCTTGTCCTTGATCAATGCTATTATTCCCCATTTGTTCAATGACAATATGCTTAGGAAGAGTACTGCGATGACGAAACTTAGTAATTTGGGTACCGTATGTTATTAGCACTTTTAGTTGTGAAAAAGACATATCCAAAAGTACTTGTCCGGTTTCATTATTTTCCGGAATATGATAACGGACTTCCCTCAATTCCATATATTTCAGCTGTCCACAACGGAAAGATATGTAGTTAAAAACAGGAGTCAATAGATATGTATTGATTATTACTAGCTTTCGTAGCGGGTGTGGTAAGTGTATAGACTGTGGGTACTCGGGGTAAGAAATACATGAATCCTTTATGTACAATAATTGCAAGACGGGACAATGATCCAAAATCTTCTCTATGCATATATAACTACCGATTTTGATGGACAATTCAGTTAACTTGTTGCAATGTACGAGAAATCTTCTGTCTGGAGGTATAAAATTATTGACAATGCTTCCGTAGTTGATATGCAAAATCTCCACAGATTCAGAAAAATATTTGATCCACGTGTTTAAATCATTCATTTCTGGTTCCACAATATCAAAAATAATGTTAACCTGGTTGATCTTTACATTAAAGCGTTGCAGAGTGTCACACAATAAATGAAGTGCAAAGTATTTATTTTTTTGACTTCCATGTGTATTTTTTGTAGACAAGGAAAGAATTGCTTGGCGGATAACAGTAATTGAAGTTGACTCTGATATTTCTGCTGGTCATAGTAAGATGGTGGATTGACGTTGTATGGTTTACCATATGAGCTTAAATAGCAAGTGACTATATTGGGATACTTGTGTGCAGAGTAGAATATCCACAATGAGCTAATATGAGGAGAATTGAAATCGATCTTGGTAACATTGTGTGCTGGTTCAACGTTTCTTATTTTTTCGATTTCTTTTTCGGATATTGGTTTAAATTTAGCTTGTATCTTGATATATTGTAGGCGTGGAAAGTAGCAGTGAAGTGATTCAAAGTTGGCGAGGGAAAAATTGGGTTTTCGCATAATACTATGTAAGCTTTTGATCGTGAGGTGAATAAGACAAGGCAATACTGACAGTTCTTCGAGAAGTTCATCCATCACGTTTTCGCCATCCTTAACATCTAATTTCAGGTGTGATAATGTTTTCCAAAGACTCCAATTTATTATGTCAGTAAGCTCGTATGGTTCAGATACCGAACAAGAGAAATACTTTATTCTGGAATATGTTTGCTGCAATACTGGAATATATGCAAATATATTTTCATCTAAATGGATATCTAACGCCCACGTTCGATGTGCATTCTTTTGATAGTCTTGTCTAAGATACAATTTGTCGATGAAGTGTTTTGAATTCCAGAAGTAAATATTAACTCTAGCCCAATAAGCGTTTAGAAATGGTTCTGTCCACTGTTTGCAGACTAAGGCACAGCCAAGCTGGTCATCTTTATTGACATATGTCGCCAGATATGTGAGAACATTGGGTGGTAGTATTTTTGCCATTGTAGAATAGAGATAACGAGAGAAAGATGTATCATTAAATATCCATCAATCAAACCAATTGATGTCTAATTGATTGTTTGACATGAAACGATGAGATTTTAGTGTGACTTGTAGAACCCGAGTATTGGTCACCAAACCTTATTCTTTATTTGAAAGTCGGGACTTGTCTTCCGAAAGCAATTAATTGTTGCACATTGTTTTTGACTTCAAAAAAAAAGAACCTAGATGCGAATTGGTTTGAAAGCAGCCTTATTCCTATTGGACAATATTACACTCTCTGGAAAGATACTAAATAAAGCTTTTGATAACAAAGTGTTTCATTTTGAATACATAGAAAACTATTTTGCCGATTTTATTAAAAAGGAACTCCTTTGAATTGACTGGTGTACACCTATTGCTTGAGACTGTAAGCTACACACTAAAACGTAGCACTTTACAAATTTATATAGTGATTAACATGAAAGGCTTGACTTTGAACCTCATAATTATACCCACTAGCCCCCATACACAGACACACACAGAAATGTTAAATGTATCAATATAATACAAATATATATTTTAAATTTTTAAATTGTATTTTAGTAATCGTCTATAATTTATATACATACAGTCTAGACAAAAGGTTATAGTAATTGTTCAGGATCTAATATTTGTACAGTGTCGTGTAAGATAAATAAGTTTCCAACAAGTCTACGGTTACTTGATAAAGTAGAGGTTGTATCGTATATCAATGCCCCAATTGAGTTTTTACAGCACCTGGCTCCAAAAACTCTGTACACAAGTCTGTCGGCTTCATTTTCCTCCATAATGACAGGAGCCGATGGGTTAAAGACCGCAATCTGAATTTGTTCCATTGTCCAAGAAGTTGGATAGCAGACTTGTAGTACTTTGCAGCTCTTTTTCCGAGCCCTGTTCTTAACCGACAAGTCTAATTCTAATTCAAGAAAATAGTCGAGATCAGTTGATGTCTTTTGAACCAGAAATTCCTTTTTCATGTCAGAAAACATGTGTTCTCCATGCCATCTACACGCAACAATGCCGGTCTTTTGTTGTGGAGCTCTGACCAGTGGCGTACAATCGAGTACAGCTGGTTGGAGTTTATGTTCTGAGGTAGAAGTAGGACTGGGCTCAGGCTTAGATTGATCTGCGCAATTAGGCAAATTTTGTTCTTGTTCTTGTATCCTGATGTCTGTGGTCAGTTCATTAGTTTTAGTTATAGTAGTAGTGACAGTGGTTTTGGCGGCAAGGGTAGGTATGGTTTCAGCCGTTTTTGTTTCAATTAAGTATGTATCTTGTGGGTTGGATGTATTTTTTTGCACGTTATTTCGCAGCCTTTTGGTCGGGATTGTGATCTTGGCAAGTGGTTTATCTGTCAGGGCCAAACTATTAAGATTGCTAAGATTTTTGACAGATATGCCTTCATCCAAAGTGTTTTCTGTAGTAGTAATACTGCTATCTACAACTATTGGATTGCTTTGATCAAATCCAGAGTCTAAAATAGATTGGGCTTCTTGAATCAAAATAGGATCGTGTTTATACTCGCCAGATTTTGGTTCTCGATGGTCTACAGGATGCTTTTCTGTTTCATCCTTTGTTATTTTGGTTGTTGGTGGCGGTAATGGAAGTTCTTTTGTAACTACAGTATCAACCGTTGATGATGATGCCAATTCTTGTTCTTTTGTTTCTTTTGAAGAAAGAGCATTGTCAATCTCAATTCGGTTAATCATGAATTCGCTGAGACTGTTCATTGCTGCCTTGAATCCGTATGTTTCTACTTTACAAGATTTAGCAACCCATTTTGAAAGTCCAGCTTGATGCTCTTCTTCTCGAAAACGTTCTTGTAGTAGAATAATAGTACCTAAAATAGCACAAAAATTAATATTAGATACAATTTTTGCTCTTATAATTATGGTTAAATACAAAAACCAGAATAGTTCCCCCAATCGTGAAAAATCAATGGTAACTATTATACAATAAAGCAAGTCAGAGATTTATATACTTGAATATGGTGCCAGTACATGTATCTGATCCTAGCTTACTTTTTGGTGGCGAATACATCGACCTAGAGCCTGATTGATGGCTATTAATTTATTAAATAATTTATTAGCATCAAGAGTTATACACACATACAAATATATGTCTCACCTCTGTAAACCTGTGCTGCATGCCTGTAATTTACGAATGAAATCAATAAAAATAAAAATCAAAGGCTTAGCACTCACCACTGTGATCCATTGAAGGGATCAACTACAGGTTTCAATTTCAAGTCATTGCATGCTGGTTTTTTTTTTTGAAATTTACTTGAATAAAATTTAAAAGAAATTGAATAAAAACAACACAAAATAATATTTATATACATTCCCGTTAGATAAATTACAGTAGAATCTCTTAATTTCTAATTCCAAATAAACTATTAAAAATTGACTTTTTTACACTATATCTTGCAAGAAGCATCAGCCGGATAAGATTAGATTCTCATTTTATTATGAAGAATTATATACATATATGCATGTATATTAAAACCAAAATAAAGTCTAATACAGGTGTGGCAATTTTGAGGTTTAATCAAAACTTTGATTCTATTTGGCATAATTAGTACAAGAGTCTAAAAAGCTTTTGGATTTCCCAGCAATTTTTTATCAGGTCATGGAGGAACTCAGTATAACAGCTAGCACAATGTTCTTGGAATCTTAAGATTGTATCATGCCCAACATTCAACTTTATATACCAAGAGGCTATGCAAAAAAAAAGACGACAAAGAAAAAAAAGAAACAAAAATTGATTTCAGAGAAAAGTAACCCGTCTTCAACCTTTCCTTTTCTTCCGTTATCCCCTCCAATCCTCATTATTATCTTTGGCACTTTGATCGAGCTCAGTTAAAGTTTCTAAAACAAAAAAGCAAATAAAAAGATAGAGAAAGAGAGAAATTTAATCTTTATTGTTTGAGTTATAGACTTGTATTTAAAATTAAATATATATATATACAAAATATTTTTAATAGGCCAAAACAAAAAACAAAAAAAACCCCCAAAGAATAACAGTAAAGTATATCAATTTAATACCAAGTAATATTTTTTGTGCTTTTATTAAACTCTTGATTTTAATTTTTTTAATTTTTTTAATTGGGGGTACTCAACCAAAATCTTCAAAAATACCCGAATTTAGAGATCAGCCAATGATATTGCTTTATAGTTGAGTCCACTAATTGTCCTTCGTCGATATAAGAATTTTAGTCTAATAGTATTTTAGTCTGAGCCTAAAACTTCTTTAACGATTTTAGCTGAGTACCCCTATTTTTTAAGTTTTCAATTTTTTTTTAAATTTCTAGCTTTTTTTTATTAGGGGTACTCAGCTAGAATTTTCAAGTGAATTCTAAGTTCAGACTACAATACTATTGGACTGAAATTATTTTACCATTAAATAATAATTGGTGTGCTCAGCTATAAAGAAATATTATTGGCTGATCACCAAAACTTGAATTTCTTATAAGGTTCTGGCTGAGTACCCCTAATTTTTTCTAGTCTTTTTAGCTTTTTTTTTTTAATTTAAAGAAATTTTTCCAAATATATAAATAAAATAAAATAAAAATATACTTCCTTGGTGACTTGTGTAGGTCTCTAAATACATTTAAAGAAGCCCATTTTGAATAAGTTAAAATAAATATATATATATATAATATAATAAAATTAGAATAAAGTAAAAAAAAAAAATACGTGACGCGGCTTTAAGAACAAAACATTATAATAGCCATGGTTACTACAAAATGTATAGTAATAAATAAATAGAACAAATATAAATTATAAGTATCTATATCTATATAATATACACTCCACAGTATAGACTCTAAACTCTACATTCTATACACACAAACATACTTATAGTCAGATACATACAATATATATATATATTTATATTTGTTAACTAAAGAAGTAGAACAAAAAAAAACAAAGCCTAAAAAAAAAGAAAGTCAAAAAGCTCTGTCTTTTTTTTTTTTATTTTTTTACTTCTTCTTTCTAATATTATCTTTTAAGAAAAAGAAAAAGAAAAAGAAAATTAACACCTTGTAATTCCAAGCTAAATGTCGAATGAGAATTCTTCCCGCGTCGTATTTCTCATCGACACTCATGATCCCTTGATCGATGCTTACAAAATCAAGCAGATCGCACTGCAGATCCTATTGTACTTTTATGACCGTGTGGACAAGAAAGTAACCTGGGGATACCGCTTCTTCAGTTCTGAATCGGCGGCCACCGAACCCACCGAGTATTCTTTGTATTCATTTATGCCAGACAATATCAGAGCCTTTCAGGAAAAGTGTACTGAAGAACTACGACAAGAAACAAAACCCCCAGTGCCTTTCTCTCCTTCTTCGCCTTCTGCCTCTACTTCTACCGCTGCTGCTGCTACTGATGATATCAGTAACAACCGCCAAACAACGTCATATTCTGTACTCCAGCAAACAATGATACAAATCCTGAAAGAGTTTCAATGGGCAAGTGGCAGCACTGGCTCGCATCTGTCTACAATCAACGGATACCAAAAGGCTAACCCGACTTGCTTCCGGTCCAATAAACCCGGACAAAATGGAGGCTATATTAAAAACCATGTGTACATGATCACCAAATGTCCTGATACTTATGAAAGCATGCTTCGGTATGTTGGATATACCAACCTTGAGAACCTAGACACCACAGACGACCAGAAGATAAGACATCTAGCACACTCGATTCATTCTATGGCTCAAGATCTACAGAAATCCTTGTTGAGAAGCTACATCAAACGACAGATATCCTTCAACTGGATCAATACCTGTGAAGGAAATGTGAATGATCTAAAATACAAGGTATGATATATATATATATATATAGTTATGTAAAAACCAGAAAAGCATTCCATCCCTTGCCTACTCCTATCCCTCCCTCTATGTAACTGTTATACCTGTATCTGTATATAAATTTAAAATAAATCAATAAATATATGTATATAAAAGAAAAAATCCTTAATTCCTTGTTTTTTTTTAATAGAGCTTTCAAAAGCAGATTTCTAATGGCATGAACAAGTTTCTCAATCTGTTTGGTGGACACATGATTCCTTATTACATTGGACTCGCAAATCATGCGAAATACGGGTGTTCGTTTGCTACCCTATTTTCTTCCTACCACTCATCTTACTTCCAAACCAATGCCGCTGTCAAACAAAACGCAGTAAAGGCGACTACCGAGGGCCACACATTGGAAGCCTACACTGCTTGTATGCAAAACGGGATCAAACGAGAACGTGGGTTTTGGGAAGGCGGTCTTCGTCTTGGGTACCGATCTGAAAATTTTCCAGACCGAGACTTGAATGAGGTTTACAGAATAAAGCTAAAATCATTTTTCCGGTAAGTCTTACAATCCAATATTACATTGATCTTTTATATTTAATTTTTCTCTTTATGGTTTGAGTTTAGAACAACGCATGAATTATCTTTGGAGAAACGGACGATATCATCTTCTATCAAAGATATCTTTGCACGTGTGTCGACCTTGGATACAATAGCCATGATCCGTAACTCAGACATTCAGAAACACTGGTTCAGGGATAGGTTTGAAGAAGACAAGCGGCTAGAATTCACAGTGACCTCAACAGACCACGATCCAGCCGGGTTTATGGACCTTGTTGATTCATTGCTGTCCACTCATCAGGCACTTGTTGTCGATCTACAGACCCACAGAGCATTTCGAAATAATGGGAAAAACACACCGTCTTTGCAAGCACTTGTCAAGCCATTAGCTCTTGGGCACATGAATGTGGTACTCTTGACAAGGCCGATTAAAGAAGAAGAACTGTTGAGATTGGATTCAATATCGCGTTTATCTAATAATGATGACGATAATAACGGTGACGACAACGACAATGATGATGATGATGATGATAAAAGTTATAATACCCACAAACCAGGCTTGGTCCAACTTGATTTTGGATCACTTCTTGAGTTGGAACCTCTTTCCATGATATCAATAGACAAATACTGTCAAGGTGGATCGAATTTGCCGAGAATAATCTTACACCGGTCAGGAGAAGTGGACGAACTTTTGATGAGACATAAAGAAAGGCATGTATCTACATATATATGTGTATATGGTTGTATTGTAGAGAGGCAACATTATCTCTTCCTCTCTCTCTATATATATATATGTATCTCATTATATGTACATATATATATATATATATATATATATATATGTGTGTGTGTGTGTGTGTGTATGGGTGTATTGATATTTGTAGGAAAAGAACTCAAGAAGATCTAAAAACCGACAACACCTCCAAAAAGAAGGAAATCCGAATAATACCAGTAACCGATAAACCACTGGAATCGCTTCCAAAAAATAAGGGCGAATTGTTTAGTGTGGTGAGGACACTTTATCTTGAAGCTCTCTACCTTGGAAAGGTAAATGATTACTTGCTTGTTTTCTGGATAATTACTTTTTAGATCAAATGCACACATATATAACTATACATGTGCATGAGCCTAGATAATAATTTAATTGTTTTTTTTTTGGTAGTGGACTCATCGTGGACTAATGAAAAGTCTAATTGCATGTGTTAATGCGGCTACTGATTTTACTGATGTAAGTTTTTTTTTCTGTCTTGAATATATATCTAAATATAAAAGAATAATTGTACTTGTGAATTTATCTTTTTTCTTTATACTCTTTTCAGGTGTCGGATATTATTAATCTGCTCAGTTTGTGGACAAAGGGATGGGTGGACATTGACATTCACCACAAAGAGATTTCAAAGTACCTGAATCGCAAAAGAGTCAACATCAGTTACAATGAGACTCGATACATAAAGATCTGGAAACGAGCCCAGCTATCAAATACAACTTCTTCTCAAAAGGCAACACTATTAAAATGGTTAAAGATGAGAGAGTAAGTACTAGCAATAAGCACAAAGATATATAATTAATCACATTCTCTCTTGTGTTTTGTAGAACAAAATTGCAGATAATCCTTTACTTGACAATAATTTCTTTAAGAAAATTATCAAAATCAAAGGATCTTGTGAATACTGACAAGAAAGACCAATTTAAAAACCAAAACCAAAAAGAAGACGAAGAAGAAATAGACGGTGTACAGAACTGGAGACCGATGGATCGTTACAGCAAAATACCTGAAGAACTTGTAGATATATTTTTCGATAGAATCCAGATATGGGAGATAACATCTTCAATATGTAACGATTTGGAAGCTATCAATTCAGAAAGAGAAGGATGTACACCAATAATGCGAATAGATCCGGCTGATATACATCTAACCAAATTCGTAGAAGATGTTGCGGGTTGGTAAGTACCGATATTCTTTCTTTCTTTTTCTCTTTCTAACAAATAGTAAAAAAAAAAACACCAACCAAAAGGCTTGCTTTGGTGAACAAAATTATTTTCTTTTCTGCTCTAAAGACTATGTTTCTTACAAAACAAATTATGATTTTATAGTTTCTCGGCAACCTTGCCAAACATTGTAAAAAATTATCGAGAAAAAATCAGTGACAATGGAAAACAAAATGTAAGGAAAGCTTTTCCTATATTCTTCTTCAAAAAAAGTTCTTTATATGTTTTTTTTTTGATACTCACTATTTTCTTTCTTTCTTTTTTAATAGAAACGACTAGAAGCATCCCAGCAATTTTCTATATGTACAAAGATTACCAACCCATCGACAACTGTAAATACCAAAGGTGGATGGTTAAATTATGAAGGAAAACCATTTGATTATCATTCTGTATCAGTAAGTAAATTAACAATAATTATACTAGTCGTAGTAGTAAAATCAGTAGAAGTAGAAGTAGAAGTGGTGGTAAAAGTAAAAGTAGAAATAGCAATCAAAATAGTAATCGTAGTTATAATCATAAGAAATAATTATAATTACAATAATAATAATTATTATAATAACTATAATTATAATTATAATATTAATAATAAAAGATCAATTTTTCAATATATTCATATGTTCTCGTTTCTTTACTTGTTTGTTTCATTCATTCTCTGTTTCTTTCTCTTTTTGCTTTGATTGCTTGTGTATATATTTGTATATTGAAACAACTATTATCATCATTATCATTATTATTATTATTATCATTATTGTTTCTTTCTTTTTATTATGTAGAGCTTAGAAAGAAGATTGGAGAGAGCACGGATAGAAGACATGGAGGATAGGGCAGAATCTCCTAGGCTTCCAAAGATGGCAAGGGTCGATAGTGCTATCTTGGCAGATCGACTCTTTCAGGATGAAATGATAATCGACCGGAATTTTCCAAAGTTTGGTGAAAATTGTGAAATTTGATACAAACAAAGATAAATTGAAACAAAACCTTGGATAGAATTGAACAAAAAAAAATTAACTTTTCTTCTTCTTTTTCTTTATGTATATTTCTTTTATATTATTTATACCAGAGAGAGTGTTCAAGTATGGCAAATTCGACAAGTATAGTAGTGGGTAGTTAGCCATAACACTCTCTAATAAATGCATAATTGCTTTTTATATGTACTCCTTTCTTTTTGTATATATTTCTTTTCTGTTTGCTTTACTTTGTATATATATATATATTGGTCGCTTTTCTTGAGACTGAATAACAGCAACAGTCAAAGCTCGATATAGAGTTCTTTTTTTTAAAATTTTGGAACCATTTAATTTTTATTATTAAGCATGAAGTTTTTAGACAAAAAGTCAACATAAACAGGTTTTAATCGATAGAACGTTCAAGATCTGCAAGACGTCCAAAATTCTCCAGCCCAAAAACAGCTCCAAATCACCATTCTGCCTTTTCCTTACTTGGCGGTTCCTGGGGATACATGTCTTTTACATATATTTCGCCTGTTTGACAGCTTGGGTGCGCCCATAATTATCTTCCACTATCAACATCTTTGAACATAATCAAGAAAAGAGAAGAAGGTAAAAAAAAAAACAATTAACCAAACATATTATTAGTATTATTATTAATAATAATAGACATATGAAAAAGAACAAAAAAACTTATCGTAGACTTAAAGTCTAATAAAGGCATTTAATATTCCGAGATCACTGTTTTACATTTTCTGCTATGAGTTCTATTACGAAAAACGAGCCACACTCTAAGATTTTACATTTTTCCATGCTTAAATTGTTTACAAAGTCCTTCTTTCCTTGGGCTTTCTAACAGTAAACTCCATATAGGACATCAAAGAAAAAGAGACAGAAATATAAATATGATATCAAAGACATATGAGGGAAATTTTATTATTCGAGGATTTTTATAAAGGAAATATAAGTTAAATTAAATATAATATAATATAAGATGGACAAGTTCATGCTACTTCAGTCCAGTCCAGTCGGTTCCAGTCAAGTCCAGTCGGTTTTTTTTTGGTCCATTTGATATTTCTTTTGATCTTTTTTTTTGTCCGTTTTTTTTTTTCTTCTTTTTGTCCAGTCAATATAATCTAAGAGTGATAGGAGGAGGAGGATTTTGGTATTGAAAAATAATAAAGGGGATAATTTGGACTTTTTGTTTTTTTTCTTGTTTTTTTGATTCTTTTTTTGATTCTTTTTTTTTTGTCCAGTCAATTTCACGGAATAGTAATAAGAGGATGATTTTGATATTGAAGAGAATAAAAAAGATAATTTGGACTTTTTTTTTTTTTTTTTTGCTTTTTTTTTGTCCAAACACAGCACACATAATAAAGGGGATAATTTGGACTTTTTGATTTTTTTTTTTGATTTTTTTTTAATTTTTTTTTGTCCGAACACAGCACACATAGTAAAGGGGATAATTTGGACTTTTTGATTTTGATTTTTTTTTTATTTTTTTTTTATTCTTTTTTTTTGGTTTTTTTTGTCCAGTCAATTTCATGGAATAGTAATAAAAGGATGGGTTTTGATATTGAAAAGTATAAGAGAAGGGGGTTTTGGTATTGCTCTTTTTGCTCTTTCTGTTTTTTTGAGCTTCTTTTTTTGAGCATTTTTTTTTGTTTTTTGTTTTTGATCAAAGACTTCATTTGCTTTGTATGTATATGTGTAAAAAGGGATTTCATACCTTGTCCTAATCCAGAGTCTTGTTCCAGTTCGCAGTTTTGCTTCAATCCAGGTCCAGGTTCCAATGCAGAGTTCTTCCGGTTTGTTCATCTTTTTGCTTTTTTTTTTTTTTGTTTTTTTTTGTTTTTTTTTTTTGCTTTTTTTTTTTGCTTTTTTTTTGCTTTTTTTTTGCTTTTTTTTTGAGAGAGAGAGAGGAGGGCTTAGTATAGGCCTCAGGGTCGGATTTCTTTTGATCCTTTTGGAGTGGAGGACTTAATGTGCCTGATCATTTCTGATAGGTTTTGGTCTACGCCTCGGTTTTTGGATTTGATCCTTTTGGATTGGAGGACTTAGTATATGCCTCGAGTTCGGATTTCTTTTGATCCTTTTGGAGAGGAGGACTTAGTATAGGCCTCGGATTTGGTTTTTGGTTTTTCTTTTGGAACTTGCTTTTGGAATTTTGCATTGGACCCCTTCTTGGAAATCGACTTGGCCTTGAGACTTGGAGGTACAGCCCAGATTTTGGACTTTGATAGAAATGCGCCTTTACTTTTGTATGTATATATGTATGTATATAAGTGTGTATGTGTATGTGTATGTGTATGTGTATGTGTATGTGTATGTGTATGTGTATGTGTATGTGTATGTGTATGTGTATGTGTATGTGTATGTGTATGTGTATGTGTATGTGTATGTGTGTGTATGTGTGTGTGTGTGTATGTATGTATACTTCTCTACTTGTGTACTTCTCTACTTGTGTACTTCTCTACTTGTTTATATATATTTATGTGCTAGGACTAGTACTAGAACAGTGCTTGGACAGTGCTTGGACATTTGGACTTGGACTTGGACTTGGACTTGGACTTGGACTTGGACTTGGACTTGGACTTGGACAAGACTTGGAATTGGACTTGAACATATAAGCAAACCGTGGCTTGACCATTTCAGGGATTCTGCTAGTCTATGAGTTTTTACTTGAGATAGAGAGATAATTGTGAATATATTTTTTTCTTTTTTTTTGTATTCTTTTTTGTATCTTTTTTTTGTATCTTTTTTTTTGTATTCCTCTTGATTGACTTGGTTCTTGCTGCTGTCATTCTTGCACAGGATTCAGGCTTCGGAATTTGCCGCATTATTGGAGTTGATAAGGCTGAATATGGCTTAAAAAGATAAAGAAAAAAATGAGTGAGAAAGCGAAAAACGTATTTACATATGAGGCAGGTTTGAATGACCAAAATAACATACCTTAATTGATAGAATTTGTTTTGTAAGTAAAGGAACTTGTCTTGGAATAGGTAACATCATCTGAAGAGACGGGCTCGGGACTGCAAAATGTTCTTTGATGACCGGGCGGAATGGACCTTGATCACCAGTAGGAGGTATGCGAGACCACCGACAGTAAACAACCAAGCTTCTAGCAGAAACAATGTGCCAACTTGCAGCGATGGGGTCAACCGCAAAAGGGTTTGACCACCGAATGGCAGAGGAGCTACCAGATCCTGGCTTACCACACCAAGAACCCTAAATATATACAGGCATACAATGCAATGTACAATATTTTGAGGGGAGAAAAGGTACTACTAGCGTACCGAGCAGCTTTACCTTTTGGTAAAGTCCAACGCTCACAAGCTATCTCTGGTATCCTCTAAAGGGTTGTAGTATTGCGAGCCCTGTCACAGGGCGGCCCTGAGAAGATGAAAAAATATCATATAATTAGTACCGAGACATATTGTGTATAAATAGTACTTATCTTCTGGATAAACGGACTAATGGTTGATATTATCTCTGACAAAGAAATCCAGAGACAAAAACAACCCTCGAAAAATTGCCTTATTGCTTGCTTTGTGGTTCACATTGCTTTTGCCTTGAGCTCTGTTGTTTACTACTGACGGCCTCTACTTGTTCCTGCTGGTGTTCTCGGTCCATAATATAAATCTGGTCATCCCAAATACCTTTTTGCAGTTCTGAGCCAATAGTCTTGAATGATGATGATGAATTTATTCTTGTTGTGCCCATATCCTAGTCGAGACTCTTTGTGTGCGTTTCGGCCAACCCAGCGAGATGGCGAGACTCTAGGTTAGCCTACTTGATTTTAACCTTTTGTACTTGAAGGCTTGAAGACTTGAAGACTTGATTCCATTCTTTTAATGTTTCTCTGTGCTGTTTGTTTTGACTTCCATGTTCAGCTTTGCTTTTCTGATTTTGTTTCGAGAATATTGTTTTGGTACTGGACTGAACTCTCTATGAGTTTCCATGAATACGGCTTGTAAGCACTTGTCTCGACTTGGTTTGGATAGGTTTGTCGAATGTAACCTTGCTTCTCCTTCACAACTGAAAGTGTGCGTAAATGCCCTTCGACTCGGGTCTTATTTTCTTGAGTGTACGCATTTCCAGTTGCTAACTGTAATCTGCTTTTTTTTGGTGATAATTTCTAGCTCACCCTGCTTGGTCTGGTTCATTTACCAGACCATATTAATCAGAGTCCTCCTCAAATGAGGGTGGCTAGGACTCTGACCACAGGTTTTGCGTGATGCTTGAGATCATCGGCGAATTCCACGCTATCTCTTCAGTGACATTTTTTTGTATGGTCAGTTTATCTTGATTCGACTGACAACGTCACTGATACCTAATCGATCAGTCTTAAAAACGCATCCTTTTGCGCAGATTAATTTTGGTTTTGCCATCTCAAAATAGCTGCGACTGTCTGGACATGCATTTGTACGCATCATTTGAGTCCAGACATAAGGACTAGTAGCAATCATAATGACTGATATACCGTCATGTCTGTGAGGGAAACCCTCGCCAATCTTGGTAGGAACCCGATGTTCTTGGCTCGTTTTCCCGAAACCTCTTGGGATTGTCTACCCCCCAGCAATAGATTTTCCACAATCTATGGTGTAGCAAACTCAAAGTCCAAAAAGACTTGTCCGAGCCTACCAGTGAATCTTCGAGAACTCACCAGAAAAAAGGAGGGGACTGACGATAGCCTTCCAAGGACCCCAAGAAAGAATCCGGCAAGGAAGCAAAACCCATTCGGCCAGACATGACTACATAATGAACACCGTGCCCCACAGTATTCATTCTCCCTGGCTTAAGCACAAAACTCAAGCTACAAAGACCCAGAACCCAGGTACAGAACAGGCCAGCAACCTAGCCAACCGCGATTTCCAGAATGAGATCAGAACGATACCAGAACGATACCAGAAATCTAGTCAACCAGACCAGACCAGCCAACAGGACCACCGTGGCCCAAAAACAACCCAGAATCAAGGACTCTGGAAGCCCTACTCGTACAGAAACCACCACTCACAGATCTCGGCCTCAGACCTGAGAGGAAGTCAACAAGAACCCTACGAACAAAAGGTTCAAGCCAACCCTACAGCAGTGCAAGCACCACCCTCGAATGTATACGAACGGCAAATACCAGAGGCAAACAGGATTGAAAACCAGTCTAGTACCACCACAAGTTACACTCATATGTAGACCTCCACAATCCACCTTCTCTTTCTACTGTCTATGCCAAGCCAAGACTCAGAACCAAGCTAACAGGCGGAGCATGGTGTCGGTCCCAGAGGGAAACGATAATCCAGTCCTTTGAATTTGAAAGCAGTAGGAACCGAACGTAAAAGAGGCTACCCTTACAGTTTAACCAAGAGACCCAACGTGAATCACCACGCAGATAGTCCCAAGGAAAAGTACTGTGAAAGGTCCGGGAACTCCAGTATCACCATAAAGCTTACCAGAAGCTTCAGGATCAACCTTTCGTTCCGACCGCGTCGGCTTGGCTCCAGGGCCAACCGACCGACAAGATGTCCGCTTGGTGAAGCGTACAGGGCAGCAAAAATTTGTCCAAGTTTTCGGAATCATCAGCTTCGCAGGTTCTTTCACTACACCTCAGACCCAATGGTCAAGGTGAGCTCGGGCACCGCTAACAAACAATCTTACTCCTTGTTGACTGTTGGGGCGCCTTTGAATCGGAGCGCATACTTCAATAGGTTCATTGGAACCTCTTTTCCTCCCTTGCTCGAAGACTTTGCCGGCTTTGACGCAGGATTGCGAGCTGGGAATGGCTGGATCTGAGGTTCTCCGATCTCTTTACCGATGGGTTCGATAACTAGATCGGCCTTCTCATCACCGCCGGAAGTCTTCACTTTCTTGCCGCGAGATGCAGAAGGAAGATCTGACTTGAATTCCTTGATACTCTCCTCCTTTTTGCTGCTGGGTGCAGCAACAGGAACAGAGACCTGGGCAGCTGGGGTAGCAGTTGACCCCTGTGTCTTGGCCTTTTTCTTTGGGGCCTTTCCCTTGTCACAACTGGCTGTTGTAACTGGTTCAGGCACTTCGGAAGCAAGGCTTGACACAAGCTTTGCCCGCTCGGTGCGAAGGCCAAAAAGTGACTTGGGCAGCTGTGAAGGGAGATCACAAGAGGCCGAAGCCACCTTGCTTTCTGGCCCTTCGATTGCGGCCTTTGCTTCCTCAATGGCCTTTTGACTGGCAGGTCGAGGAAGTTTCGAGCTCTTCTCTTTTGGTCGGGGGACCGCCATTGAAGGCTCTTTGCTACCTTTGACCTCGTCGGCACCTACCTTTTGTCTAGGCTTTGGTGCATCGTACTTCTTCAGAGAGGATGGTCCAGATAGCACTATTTTTTCTGTGTCGTCTTCCATCTTGTCGTCTGCAGCCTGCTGCGGTACGCAGGCTGGAAGATCGTTCGTATCACAATCCATGTTTGCAGACTGGGAGACGTACTGCAAATCGGTAACCGTTGGATTGTAGGTGTGGGCCATGAGCTTTTCGCCACAATTAGCATCAAGCACCATCACCTCAGCAACATCATCAATCTCCATGGGAATTTCAACTTCCATGACTTCACTCCAAGCCAGGTCGTCGTCAATCTCCATCGGTGTGGGAAGTCCTGTGGAGAGACATTCACCAAAAAATCCATTGGCCGATTGCCAAGACGATAGAGCGAACGCCTCATTGAGGCCTTCCACTGTCCCAAACTTTGGCTTTGGAACCACGAAGTCAGCATTATCCAAACCCGATGGGGTCTGAACGGACTCTTGTCTTTGGACAGGAGTCTCTTCAGCTGACTTGGGAACCAAGCCGCACTCTGGTTCAGCGACTTCAGTCAATGAATCGCGATGAGCTTTGTTGGCAGAGTCGTTGAGCTCCTCTTCCAACATCGCGTCAATAAATCTAGCAGAGAGTCTTGGCTTTGCAAAACCCTCTGAGAAAAATCTGTCACAGATGAATCTGAGTCGTACGCTGACCTCAGATTCATCGCATTCGTCTACAAGCTCACTCGACACACCCCCGTCGAGGTCTGCGTGGGTTTCCCCACAGGTACCAGCCACGCCGTTAACTGGGAACACCATTGTAGCGATGCCACGTCCCAACTTGTGCAAAGGAAGGAGGTGAGGGACATATCCCCGAAGCCCTGCTCCAAAGAACACGCTCGACTTTCCTACACAAACAACGTCTTCCGCCTCCGAAGAGGAATCATCGACGAACATATGCTCTGGGATACCTCCGTGGCGCTTACTCAACAAGCTACCTGAGGGTTCTCCCGTTGTTTGCGAACCAGTAGACCACAAAGAGCCTAGCCAGTTTGACAGCATGCCAAGGATTGTCTGAGGCATCACATTTTTGTGAGCTTCGACTTGATTTTCGCCGTCTGGTCTTACAACAACAAATGGGGTTGCACCCACTCCCGCCATGGAGGGGCGTCTTCTCTTAGCAGATTTGGCCATGCAGAATGCAGAGGGCATAGGAGAAGCCTCCCATAGCATCACAGGGATGAATAGGAGCGCTGGGGCAATCAGGTAAGCGAGCGCAAAGGCTGCGTAGATAGCGTTATATACTTTGGAATTCATTGAGAGTAATGATGTATAAACAAAGTGCGAAAGAAAAAAAAACAGGGGAGGTGGGAATAACTGAGGTACATATATGTTTTTTGTTTTTTGATGGTAGTCGCGCTGACATCACACTCCAAGCTATCAATATATTTGTTTATACGCCTTTATCAAATTGACACACATAGGTATGGGTAGATAAGAATTGTCTCCCCCCAAACAACTACCAGGCAGCCTGTATATTTTCACATGATGATTAATACAGGTACCGCACGTCCTCTGAGGATTACCACACACACAAAAAGAACAACCAACCGGTTCATGTATATTTAACGCTTCTTCACTGTGATAAGTTTCTATAGATTCGTATCAGCACCAAGTCCAAGTACCAAGAGGTCTGTACTTTACTGTTGTAAAAGGGCTTCACTATATGTTTAATACGTTCTTCTTGAATATGTTATTTTATTCTATTTTATTCTATTCCATTTTACTTTATTTTATTTATATTGTGTTGATTAAACTCCCGAAATAAAATAAAATGAAATGAAATGAAAATTTTCTTCTGTTGGAACAAGAAGTGCACAGACCAGCTTAGAGTAACCTGAAAATTGCCGTTATTGAAGCTTGTACTCTGTCTTTAGAGTTGTTACTACAACCGATCAAAACCAAAGTCTTTCTTTACTTCTTTACTTCTTTACTTCTTTACTTCTTTACTTTGATTTATTCTCTTTTGATTTACTTTACAAGAAAGTTGGTTTTTGTTATCTAATGACTGTTTCTTATTGGCTGTCCCTTCCGTTGTATAACAGTTACACGATTACAGGTTAATATAAATTATAACCAATAGAAAGAGAAAACATGTACCAAAGTAGTAAAAAGTCATATTGACTATCGGATGCTTTCCCTCTTCCTTGTTATATTCAATACACATATAAATATTAACAGCTCTTATGAGACCGTTTTTTGTCACCAAAATGACAGACCACTTATAAAACACCCCAAACTGTAACTGCAGTTTAATATTAAACCAAGGCAATTTTTTTGTTGTTGGACGGACTGCTGTATAAAGTGTATCAGCCAATCGTAACATAGTGATGTTATAGGAGATAGAGGAACTAAACTGTAATAAATTCTACTGACTATTTATTGCTAACATGTATAGAGATTTTGATGACTGGCAGTGGACGCTTTCGTAGTCGAGTAAGCTGACCCTTGCTACTTTATAGTAAATTCTCGTTGGCAAGATTGGAACCTCCGTTATTCACGAATGAGATTTAGGGGCGAGGGAAATATAACGGGTGTCATATATCTTACCACCATTTTCACACTTCATTTGTATCAAGTCAGGTTTAGATCCTGAAGAAGATCGAGCCATGTAATACAGGTACAAAGAACCCGGTGCTATCATTCTTTTAAAAAATAAATATAAAACAAAATATCTAATCTGCTCAGAGATATTACAAAGCTGTTTTGAACATAGATGATAATGACAGTACCTCGGAATATATACTGCTTACAAGGAGTATCCAATATTTTTCTTTTTATTTTTCTGAAAAAGGGATTCACGGAAGAGTCTCTTGATCATTCAAGCTAAGCATGTTAAGGATTTCGTAATATAGGCCTGGAGCAATAAAATAATATAGCTCGAAATTTTTAAATTAACAATATTGCATTAAATGGATTTGCCCTTTTTATCAATGTTTAAAGTCATATCAGATACAAATTATTGTTTTCTTGAATCTCTTGTATGTCTCTTTAGAGAAAGCTACTATTTCATTAGCAGTGTCTTAATACCTATGTCCTAGCTGTATAAAGTTGTTGTGCCGAGATATAAATTATAAAAATCTTAATTGCCAACAATGAAAATGATCATTTTGATCAAATTGGCAAATTCTACACCGAAAATCAGCTGTAAATCACTACTCATAAAGCTAATAGGCTCTATAACTATAAGCAATCTGGTTAGACACATTAAGATCCACCTTATCAACATTTTCTGATATCGATTGCTCAAATATCGACCAAAACATCCCACATTTTCACTTTATAAAATCTTGATCCACTGTAAATTGGGCTATTTGCACCAAAAAAGTCCATTTTCGATACCCACTTTTACTCACAGGACAACTGAAAAAAAGTTTGGAAAATTTTCTTTTTTTACTATTAAGTAAAGTTGTGTAAAACGTAAATACAGGTCTGCTAATACTTGTCTGAACAGAAGCACGCGCGAACTCGGGGAGATATCAACTACTCTAAAAATGACTAAATTTGTTAAGGAAGTATAAAAAAGGCAAATAATCTATCTACACCGCAGGGCTAAATAAATCACTGAGTTGGTATCTTTGTAATACATATATAAATCACCAGAGTAGCATACATATACTAAATTGTCTTGTATAAGACCAAGCATTAGGTCTTCTTAAGCCTTAATATTATTCTAGCTACGTAAAGAGCTCCTTATAAAAAATTAGAGATGTATGCCCTAAAGAAATATTGATATGAAACATGCCCGCATGATAAAAATAACCCGAATGTTAATATTAATGGGGTTTCTTTTCGATTGAAACGTCTTGACGTTTTGATCAATATTTGAGTAATCAATGTCAGAAAATCTTTAGATAGTGGGTCCTAATGTGCCTCATCAGATTACGTACAAACTTGAAGAGCCTTTGGTTAAACGATTTGGATATATAGCTGATTTTCTTTATTTAATTTCGCATTTTGATCAAAATGATCCTTTTTATTTAGCAATTTTTTTCTTTCATTTCAACTATAAATTCAACAACCTTCAAACTAAATAATAGTTATCTGTTTAAATCAAGTATGTTCTTTTAGTAATGATTTCGTCAAGTGAAGGTAGGTAGATAAGCTAGGATGCGGAGAGTTGGTGAAACTTTTAGTCTTGATCGATTTGGTGGGATGTATAGAGTCTATGATGATTATTCAAAGCAATATTACTCATCAGTAATAATCCTTGGGGCTTGAATATACTAAATAATAATAATAATAATAATAAAACATTACAGCAGATATGACCATCTTTGTGGTATATTATTGTCAAGCTGTATGTATAAAAGTATATAATCGATATGGTACTTTCTATACTTATTTAAAGCTATTATTCTGCCTTGTATTAGAAAGGACATTCATTTGTAGTAGTGTGATAAGAAATTGCTACAAGTACACACCCCCTCTATCACATTGAAACTTGGCCGTAATATATCGGGTAACTGGTTCTGGGTATAAGCGTGTTAATGAACCGGGTTGTTAATAGGCTTTATTTCCTTTCGTGAACCTGGTTCGCACCACAATTCATTATTACCATAGTAAAATTCATTTCAGAACAGCCGTCATATAAGCAAATTATTCTTTTTTTTTGCTTAAAGAATTTAGCAATTTTAGCTTTAAATACATAACCGTTACAAAACGTACCTTTATCAATAATGTCAGACAAAAAATTAATTTTATTGGCTGATTTCATTTAATTTTTTGTTTCAATCGTTTCGATATCTTTAGACCAGCCATCACCTTAGAGTTTAAACAACACGTGATTGCTTACATCATTCCTGCTTGCATCATTCTTGCTTGCGTCAGCCAACAGATGTTTTGCTAATATAATTGTGAGGTGTTGATTGTAATGGCCCTGCAATAGCTTCAAATACACATTTACATTGCACGATGGTATGTATAAAAAAGAAAGTCTGTAATTTGTTTAATTAATCAAAACTAACGTTCATGTTCTGAATGTATATAAAAGAAACGCGTTGTGTCATAGCTAAGAGGCATTAAGACCTCTAAGAGGCAATCTAGGCTAATAGACCCACGTCAAGATTCCGTGAAGTACAGTTGACCTTGCTATGATACGACGCGATAAATATTCAAGTCCATCATCTGAAGTAAGTTTTATTTTTGTACAGGCTTTTTGAAATGCACCGCCTAATTCTAATTGCTTTATTTCTTTGAATCTGATTTTTTCTGTATGATACGCTTAGGTTCCGTAATGTACAGCTGTCATTACTGGGGCGGAAGGTATGGCGAGTATTGTGTCATAGGACGCGGGCGTCACTTCCTCTAATGGCAGTCTAGGCTAGTATGTCTACGTCAAGGTCCCGTGGTATACTAGCAGCTCTTGTCTGTATTGCACGTCAAGATTCCGTGCAATACAGTTGACCTTTCTATGGCACAATACACCAAATGGGCAAATGCCCTCATATAAAGTAAGTTTTATCTTTATACAAGCTTTTTTAAATGCACAAAGGTCTAATTTTCATTTTCATTTTTTAGAATCTGTTGTTAATAAAAGTAACTCTTTTGAGAATAAACTCTTTGTTCCAATAACCACTTATTAAATATCTTATTATCATTTTTTTGAGTAATTATAATATAGCAGCTTATATTTATTGTAAAGGGTTTAAGCCCACCAAATACATTATAAGAATAGTTATTTTATTATTATTAATAAATGAGATGTAAAAGAGAAGAATATGAGACCAAGCTAGTGTAGGAAACAAGGAAACATTTAAACAAAAATGAGTGTCAAATTGGGATATACGAATAATTTGAAAAGAAACAATAAGCTCTATGAGTGTTATCTGTTAAATGGAGTCAATATTTTATTGTTTATACCTATTCATATTAAAGCTTCTTTTAATCAGAATCCCTGTTGTTTAATGGCTGGTTTATATTGTGTAAGTGTGCCGTGTACGTTTACCTGGTGTATGACAGTACCAAAGGCCGTTAACTTGCCGTGTCTATTAGCAATAAGGAATCGGTGTCTGGTTGTGGAGTCTGTACCCCACTCAATTGTGGTGTTCATACCACATAGTGCACTCTATGACAAAAAATATGCCTATTTAAGAAAGTCGTTTGCGAAGATACAGAAATCGCTTTGGTACGTAATTATGTGATATTGTTCTTTTAGGCAAGAACTTCTTTAAGGTATTGTCGATCAATGAGCATACCGACTGTTCAGCTGTGGGGGTATCAAGAGACTCATGTTTAATGTCTTCTAAATATACAGACGTCACATTGCTAAAAACCAAGTGTTTGATTATGGACTTTACTGAATTCAACCTCCTTTCCGGAACATCATCATCCAAAGTCCCCTCTTCCAAAAAATCTTGCTGTCCTTCCGTGCTGTTCAGATCCTGGACAATGAACTTGTGTTCTGCGGAAGCTTCCTGGTTATTATTAAGCGCTTGGCTTATTCCTTATAGTAAAATGAAGCATTAGTTGGCGATTTCAAATCAATAAATGATGTTTCCAGTTTACCTTTTAAAAAAATTGTTTTAAATTCACTAAACACTGCTTCACTCTGCTTATATTAGTGATCCACTTTTCTCCTTCTGATCCGTCTGCTTTTTCCTTTTTTTTGTATCAAATTTTTCAGCCTTTTATCCTTTTGCACGGCAAACATAACGCGCGTGGTGTCTGATATCCTTCTTTCCAGGTGGTTTTCTTGTTGTTGTGGTCGAGATACATTTTGATTCTCTATTGCGGGCAATATGGTGACGAAGTAGCTTTAATACCACTTTGTCCAAAAGTTTGTAGCTTCTCTTTTTGTCGTCCCACATATTCTCGAAGTTCACCATGTACGTTTAAAGAGCCCTTTCTATTGTTGGCTATAATACTTTTTTTTTAAGAAAAAAGCTCTGTTTATCAAAACCGGGTCCTTTGAAAGACCAAAACAGACTGTTCTGCACAGAGTGGGTGCTTAAATTGTCTTCTTTAGCACCACAGGCACCAAAAAAATAGCTATGCACAAATTGCAAATTTTGGCTTGCGAAGAGACACATGAAGTCAGCGTCAAGCCGATTAGAGTCAATTAAGTTCTTGCCCAATTGCTGGATAGTGTGTTTTGACTCAGTAGTTGCAACAAAAGGCAGTAATTCGGTGAGGTTTAAGCCAGGAACTTTTTTCATCTTGATATCATTGTTGCTAAAGAAGAATTTGCTAGCCCTCAGCTCGCATCATTATATTCACAAGTGCTGAAAAGCAAATGGTATAGTTTGTCGAGATAACCATCGTTTCTTGTAATCTAGTACATACGAATGCTTTTGCATTAGGAGGGAGATATGCTCTAAAGGGGGCGTTCATTTGGACCGTGCCCGTTCTAATTTCGTTATACGACTGTTTGTTTGGTGGAGTGATAGAAGAGCATTCTTTAGCTGTGTCTTTTACCATCGAGCTTACCGCAGACTCAGCTATTTTGTCGAGGTTTTAAGGTATAATATTCTTCCATTCTTCAACATTTCTTAGCCCAGGGCGGTGCTCCTTATGTAAACTCATTGCATTTCTGTCACATCTAGTAGGTTGTGTTGCGTTCCCTATTATTGCCGCTGGTAAAGTCTTTACGTTTAGACGTTTGTTTTTCAGTTCATTTGTTTTATCTTCAGTTGTAATTTTATTGACAAGTTCTTCTACGCGGTCTCTCATCGTATTAAAAAAACATTCCTCCAAGTCTTTCGAAGGTCCTTCTACACGATTTCTTTTGTTGACAATTTCTGCGGAAAGGCTCTCAAACAAGGTTCGATTGGTATTAATTTGTAGAAAGGATGGTGACGAGGTGTTCACACCTTGTTAAAAAGTTTCTTGTGGCGTTTTTTTTACGCATTCAATTATTCTTTCCCAAATTTGCAAATATGGCCTTTATTTGTATTATTCATTTCAATTATCATATACCAACTTAATGGATATTTGGGCTGCAAAAATACTTTAGGACAAAAAATATATATACAAGACGTAGTACTCACAGGGTTGACGTAATCAAAAGGTTCGATCAATCGATAAATTCTTCCTCAAGCCGAATTTTCATCTTTGGCTGAAAGAAGCTGAATATTGGATGAATATGAACCTGAGTATAAATGACATTTGGCTTATGGAAGAAGTCTTAAATTAGGAAATACTTGTATAATAGGTGTCGAGTTGTGATAATTTCAAGTTTGCTAAAAAAAATGGTGTGGACCGACTAAAAGTTTAAGAAAAGGGTAAAAAAGGACAAAATGTAATTCGTATTATTGGATGAAAGTTTCAAAATATTTTGCCCTTTTTTTAAACGATTCTGATTGACTAGACTTCTTCCATTGCCACTAGAATTAAGAAGAAGAGTATTTTTTTTCTATTGAGACAATGTGTCATAGAACATGAGGTCTAGAAAAAAGAGTTCTTTAGGAATATCCTTTACCTATGAGACTTTGACAGAAAGTTTATATAGATATATGTATAAAACATATTGGTATATTTATTCTTTCTTTCTTGAGACTTTAATGCCAATTTCTCAAGTACTCACAATTACTCATGTATACACATCGTCTCTTCTTCTTTTTTCTTTTGCTTCTATAGAGATTGTTTTTGTTAGTATTATAAGATCTTAGTATCTTTATCGCAAGGTCTTACAAACTACGCACTTTTGGTGAGTATAGGCGTATAAGAGCTCTTTAAAATTCCGTTTAAAATCTTGTGTATCCCATAATCAAAAGATATACGATATATAAATATTTATTCGCCTTACAGTCAATCAACCGAATACCTTTATTTATATATAAATATATGTTTGTTTCATACAATTAATACATTTTTTTTTGCTTATTTTTCTTATTTTTCTTTAGGAAAATAAAAAGTAAAAAGAAGAGGTACCAATAAGGACACAAAAATAAATGATAGAAAGTTTTGAATACAAGAGTTTATTTTATTTTCGGAAAAGCTATCAATAGATGTGTTTTATATAGAATTTATAGAGTTAATAGACCATGTTAGAGAAATACAGCGAGATTTGATTGCCCTTTCTATCACCATCTATATCTTCATCTCTATCTCTATCTCTAAACAAATGTATAATTAGGTTTTCTTTCTTAATAATAGAGACATTAAGGTTATTTGTGTACCAAACACAAACACACTCGCTAATATATATATATTAGGATAGATAGATAGTTATCTAGATAAAATTGGTATCAGAGATTGACAACTATACAGGTCTATGAAAAAACAATCGAATCAAGTATATTCATGACAAAAGCTGTATACAAGTTGAGTAATATATGTATAGCCTTTTGGTTAGAATCGTATCAATTGTGGCTAACAATTACTGGCATAATCTAACATACAAAAAAACATCAGGCCCAGTTCAAGTTTATATATATGTGTGTGTATTTTCTTCTTTGTAGCCAATAATTAAAATAGATCTTTAAATGAATCTTATTGATTTGACTTCTTTCTTTTTTTGGTCGATGTACAAGGTTGATCAGATAAAATTATATACATTTATTTACATATGTGTATATAATCGGTTTATTACAAAAAAAAATTGGGTTTTTTTTTCGGGTACCAATGGTAATTTGTACAGCCATTCTAGCTTGTTAACATATATATATGTACATATGAATATTTAAAAAAGAAGTAATATTTTTCGTTTAATCTATTAACGAATATACTCTGTACATAGACTTTTATCTTTATTTCAAGAATATATCTATATATCTATATAATAAGGCAAGGGTGGAGTGAGGGATAAAGGTTTATACATACATATCTGTTTTGTAGTTGTGTAGCAAATGTCAAAATAAACCACCACTAATGTCATCGATAATAATAACAATAATAATCAGAGTACTAATACTTGTAACTTGACATTGTTATATGTAAATTGGTAGATTATGAAGATATTATATCTATCAAGGCCTTGCTTTGTTGGTAATCCTCTTTTTTTTTGGTCTTCTTTACTTCAATATTGTGAGTAGAAAAAAATCTTAAAATAAAATAAAATAAAAAGATGTGTATATAGTATTTGTATTCTTGGATTAAACTTAAATAATATTTCACAAGCACACCAGCACACCAGCACACCAGCACACCAGCACACCAGCATACGCACACACAAAATAACAAGAAGAAGAAAAAGAAAAAGAATAGGAAGAATATGAAACCAAAGAAAAAGTCAAAAAAAAGGGGGAGCGTGAAGTCAATGTAAATTTCGTATTTTGCACTGTTATTATTGATGTTCAAAGTATTCATACTGAATTCCATAGAGTACATAATGTATATATTCGTAGTGAATTTTTTTAAAGAGAAAACTTTGATATCTTTGTATTAAATGTATATATAAAAAGATAGATAGATACATAGATGTTTTTTGTTGTTGTTGTTACTGTTGTTGTTTTGGTTACTGGTTTTGTTAGTCTTTTCTTGTATGTATATATATATATATATCCTATAATTATAGACCCTTTATAATGTGCGCCTGTGTGTCTTTATTTTCTGCTGGTTTATAAAAAGTAACAAAATAAGGTACAAAATCATAAAATTATTTGTGGACACGATTATCTCAAAATGTAGTTTTCCGAAATATTTATAATTTCTTATGTATTTGTATGTATCTGCTGTAGTTCTCTATTTATTCAAACGTAATCTTTGCAAACTCTTACTTTATTCTTAGTATTATTATTAATAATAATAGCAATATACCCCTTCTCCTTTCTCTCTTTTCTTTTTTCTTTTTTAATTTTGGTCGATTTTACTGCGCTTCAATGGCATATCAATTAAGAAATGAACCTCGAGTACATTGTGGTGAACAATACAGAAAACTACATAATTCAGAAAATGTATAATGTACAGATATACAGGTATAAGAAAAGTCAGTTCAAAGATGAGAAAGAAAAATAAATAAAAAAGAAAAATAGGTTCCTTATTCTTTGTAGGACAATAGAATTCCAACCACACTAGGATCTTGTATGTATGTATATATATGTCTATACATCTATATATATTCAGCCACTGAGTGTAGAATCTCAAGAATCAAAGAAGGAAAATAATAATAACAAAGAAGAAGAAGAAGAAGAAGAATAAGAAGAAAAATATATCAAGGCAAAAACTCTGGTTTTGGGTTTGGTTTTGGTGCGTGTTTATTTGTATATCTTATGAACACTGTCAAATATTCATTTTTTTGTGTTCTTTTTTTTAAAAAAAAAATATTGCTTAAATTTCCTATCTTTTATTTTTTTATTGGATTCACTATCTTGTTGCTCTGTTAAGCAAGAAACTTCGGTTGCTATGACTATTATTGCTTCTTACTCTCATTAAAAACCAAAAACCAAAACTGAGTCTATACAAAATAAAATATGCATATATATATATTAGAATAGTAAAAGGTTTATTCCTTTTTGGTAGGAAAAAAATTATAATACTCATCATCTTGCTGCTAGTACAAGAAAGGAACCTCACGTTTCTATCCAAAAACAATCATATATATCATTTTCGGTAGAGCACCTTGAAAATTGTATTATTTTATACATGTATACATACATATATTAAACAATTACCATGGTAACTAACTAAATCAATCATCCCAGAAAATGGGAAATAACGGACATTTAAAATAAAATAAAAACAGGCACTGAAAATTCCAACGTCATGATAAAAAAATAATAATAATCCAATCCATTTATCCAGTTTATCCATCCATCCATCCAAATCCAACCTCATACTACATTTTCACCCAAATAAAAAAAAATTAACCACAATGTCTGCAAAGCAATCCACAAAGTCCAACAAGCGTTCAACTCTCTCAGACGTCGTCACCCGTGAATACACTGTCCATTTGCACAAACACGTCCACAGCAGATCCTTCAAGCGCCGCACCCCCTGTGCAATCAAGGCACTAAAGGAATTCGCAAAGAAGCAGATGGGAACAGATGACGTCCGCCTCGATCCCTCTCTCAACAAGCAGCTCTGGTCTCGTGGTATTCGCAGTGTCCCTCACCGTGTCCGCGTCCGGATCTCCCGCAAGCGCAATGACGATGAAGATGCCAAATTCAAGCTCTACTCTCAAATCAGTTTTGTCTCGGTCCCTAGTTTCAAGGGTAAGTTTATTTTTAATAAATATGCATATATCTCTTTGTTTTTCTCTCTGTATTTTTTCGTTTGCTCTGTATGAATGTGACTGAGTGAGTAGAGTGTGGTTCACAAACATACAGAGAGAAAGAGAAATAAAGGAGGGAAGAGAAGGAGATATTAGTGTACGCTGTCCGGTAGAAAGCATAAAAGTCATTATGTACAAAGAATGAGAGTAAGAAGAAGAACAGACACAATTACAACATTTAAAGAAGTGTGATGATACATTTCTGTTACTGTTGATGTTCTTTCTTATTATGATTGTTCTTTTGTTAATTATTGATGTAATAAAAGCTGACTTCCGGCAGTATGAATGCGCAAGAGGTTGGAAGAACAAAACGAGAGTATACTATGATTATGAATATTATTTTTCTCGGATTGTTCTTCCTATCTATGAAGCGATCAAGATTAACTCATCATTTCCCCCACCACCATACTACAATACACTACATATCATTACATATCATATATCACATCACAACAATATGTATCTGTCTTTACTTTTACCCTATCCACTCTGTGTGCTATGGGTATTGTTGTGTGATTTATGTATATGTATATATTTGTATATGTTTCTGTGTGTGCGTGTTTATTGTCTATCTATTATCATGTACTCCTTACCTATCTACATATCTTCTGGCTTCTCCATCTCCGTCTTTGCCTCCGTCTTTGTCTCCGTCTTTGTCTTTTGGCTATCCCCCTACTTAGGCCTGGAGACAACTGTTGTGGACGATGAATAAGCTTTTTTTTTTGTTTTTTTGTTTGTTTCCTTTTAATTTAATTTAATTCAACTCAATTCAATTCAATTCAATACAATACAATTATAAAATAATAAAAATAAAAAAGTATAAACATATAAAATACACGTATACGATTTTTCTTTCATTCATCTTTACGCGTTATTCAATTCTGTAGTTTTATAATACATTTTATACATATTTCTGTAGTGCAGTGTCTATCATATATATTGTTATGTTACATTGAACCGACCCTGCCACTGAGCTTGTGTTCATTTTATTCCTTTATTTCAATTTTATTTTTTCCATTTTTTATTTTTATTTTTGGGTGGCTGAGTTTGGTCGCTATCGTATGTTGGCATATGCCTTGTACCACTTTGTTGGTTAATACGTTTAACCATGGGAAGTAACCCTGGTAAATAGTATGAGCTGCGGTATGTGGTACAATAGACTGCACCCAATAAAACCCAGAGTACAAACGTACCCTTTTTATATATGTATATTTTTTTTCTTTCATAACCCAAGCCTCCTTTCAAAAAGATTCTGTTTCTTATATTGTCTATAGGGTGTAATATATATGTAAATATATGTAGAATAGCTTACGAAGATAGACGAGTATTAGATATCTATATATTTTATTACATCTTTATTACTGTCAAAGAAGTATAGATGTAAAGGTAATACATGTCTTTCTCATAACCCTTTTTCATCTTCATTTCACCTTCTTACATTCTGTAAAAAAATAAAATGCTTAAAAAAGAGATAGAGATAGAGATTTTGTGCTTTTGTGCTCTTGTGTGCCTAGGTGTGTTACAGTCTAATAGGTTTTGTGTATTTAAACATGGGGCTTATAAGATGTTGGTGTTCATGATTTTCCTTTTCTTTCCACCCTTCTCTTCTCTTCTCTTCTCTCATTTCAAATAGTATTATATATTACAAGGCTCTGTATAAGTAATACAGTAAATATTATAAAAATAGAGTGTAAAATGTATCAAATAAATATTTTATTGATTTGATTTGTGAGACCCTTTTTTATTATTATTATTACTGGATTGAATTATATATACATACATTAAAATACCATATTTGATTCAGTAACTCATATCACATCTACTTATCACCCTTTTATTCACCCCAAGCCTCTTTTGTATAAATATATACATATATGTATCTATACGTGTATTTGACGTGTTGTCTACAAGAAGTATACTTTAACGAAATTGAGGCTTACTTCTTTCTTTATAATGATAATTATCAAAGGGTAAATAGTAATTATAGTATTAATAAGTGAAATATATGTGTATATACTTTATTAAGCAAAAAGTTCCTTAATACTTATGTGTGTGTCGAGTATTATAATAGCGGTTAAAATAGACTTTTATTATTAGTATTATTATTATAATATCTATATATACAAGTATATTTATATATATCTGTCCATTGGTTTGTCTGTCTTTCTATATATCTATATGTGTCTTATCTGTCAGTAGATATCCTTTATATTTGTAATTAGGATCAGTTTGATCGGCTGAAAGACAAAGGTGCGCTTGAATGTATGAATGGTTATAAGAAAGAGAGAGAGAGGGAGAGGGAGAGGGAGAAAGTCGGGTTTGAATCATAGTAGTACTTTAAATGTACTTGCCCGGTAAAAGGAAATGAAGAGAAAAAAAAATATTATGTGTGTATAGACATATATATGTTCTTGTGTGAGATATAAACGCGTCCAAAAATGGGATACTAGCATGCACTTAATATTTTTTGCACTCACAGCATACACACACACACAACATACACAACACACTTGCACCCATACTCTCACACACAAAATACAAAATACAATGTGCAGTGTGTGCAGTGTGTGCGTTTGTACATATGCACATGTATTAGAATCTACATACATATTAGAATACATATACATATATATGTTTGAATATTTGTAGTATGCATAACGCCATGGTAGACTTTTATCTCATTTTGAACCAAAGAAGCAAAGATTAACCAGCCATGAGACTGAATAAGAAAAAAAAAACATTGATTTGGCCTTGCTGCTGCTGCTGCTGCTGTTGTTGTTGTTGTTGCTGTTATTACCTTTTTGTTTTCAACTACGCAACTCTTTGATCTTCATTTTGCCACACATCTTAATCACCCAAACAAATGGCTGCGATCAACCAGCCTAAAGAAATCAAATAAATAATATCCATGTACTTATGAATGTATGCATATTATGTACGTATCTACCTATTTATCTATCTATATATGTATCTATTCCCACGCCAATTGGAAACTAAACAGCATTTTTTTTTGGATGATTGGCTGTTGTATGTAAGCAAGCGCAGCCTAATATACATATACATATACATATACATAATATATATATAATTTATCTTGCTCAGTTCATTTCGGTTCATTTCAGTTAAGTTGAATTGAATTGAATTCATTTCGGTTCAATTCGGTTCAATTGATTTAAATCTAATTCTATTCTGTCCGATTCTATTCGATTCAAATCCATAAAGTATATATAGATGGTGCCCGCTAAAGCATTTTGGCGGCGTAATGATGGATCTCACTGCGCTTCTTGCTCAGCAATGATTATTTATTTATTTATTTTAGTAATAATAATAGCCATCTTTTTATTATTATTATTATTACAAAATATTATAAATCATATATAATATATATATGTAAAATAGTAAAAGCTATTACTACTATTACTGCTACTATTACTACTACTAATAGCAGTAGTCATAGTAATATATATATATTTATATATTTATAATATAAAATATAAAGTACAAATTTATACATAAGCCTCAGCATCGACACCAGCGCCTATCATGATCATGATCATGATCATGATCATTATTATCATTATCATTATCATTAATAATAATATATTTAATAACGTTTTTTTTACTAGTAGTAATAGTAATGATAATGATAATTTTGTATTCAGTTTAGCCATCTTGTCATCTTGTCACCTTGCCATTTATCCTATTCAGCCATTTCTTCAGCCTATTCAGCCATCTTGTCAAGAATAAGAATATTCAATTGAAAAAAAAATGAAAAAAGTTTAAGCCAACTTTGGTTGCTTAGAAACCACATTTAAAGTAATTTGAGCAAATACCCTCTCTTTTTTTTTAAAAAAAAAAGTATAGATATTATTCTATTTAGTATTTGAAAAATATGAGAATGACACAGACAAAATAACCAAAGAGAGAAAGATAGATATTTACAAAAAAAAGAATGGGGATTTGATAAATATTGCCATTACTACTATTGACTATTGTGATGCTGTAGAGGATACACAAAGATCGAAATCAAGTTCAAGTTTGATATCTACTCTTTATATATATATTCTGTTCACGATTGTGATGTATTAAACAAGCATCAATTGTGGCTACATAACTGCACACATCTTTACTCTCTATCTTTGTGTGTGGGTGTACGGACATTTACTTGTGTGTATCTGTGTATAGATGTAAATGTTAAATGTTAATGTAAACGTATATAAATTTAAAAGTATGTATATAAAAGAAAAGACAGAAATAAAATATAGGCATTGACAGAATTAGAATTACCTAAAATATAACCATCAGAAAGCTCAGTTTTGCCACCATAGCCAATCGATGGACTATCCGTCCCACCTACGCTTGAGTATAATATAGATCAAAATTGGACATTTTTATATTTATTTCTATATTTATATATATTCTTATATTTATACACAGCCTTTCTTTCTTTTTTTATGTAGGTTATTTTATTTTATTTTATTTTGGTTGTTCCTGGAATTCATCTCGTCTTACCAACCAAATAACCAAAACCAGCCATCACAAATACAAAATCATACAAACTAACCAGCTAGCTAAATAATACAATAATAGATCTCATATTTATATATATCATACGTATAAATAAAAAAATGTTAATATTTTGTACAAGCATTCAACCTGACGGGAATAAAATCAAAAATAAAAATAAATTTCTAAACTTTATATGGATATAAAAGATATGTATATAAAGGGACCCAAAAAAATCAATATCTTTTACTTCTCTTTCAACCCATCTTCTTCTTCTTCTTCTCTCTCCAATAAAAGTAGAAATCAATAATCAACATGTTGTCAAAATTGTTCACCATCGCTGCTATTGCATTGACTGCCGTCCACGCCCAGACTGCCTCAACATTTGCTTTTACCGAGACATATCCTACCTCTGGATCCAAGCCTACCCCCAAGGCCGAGTGGGTTACTGAGATGAATGCTGGAAGCATTGCCGCCGCACCAGTTCTCAAGGAGAGCGGTAGCAATGGTAAACAAAAAAAATAAACAAAAAACTATAATTATAATTATAATTTATTAATTTATTTTTATTATTGATTTACATGTAATGCATGCAGGTCCCAAACAGACTGGAAGCGGTGATACCTACTGCGATTGGACATTCACTGGCTGCACTCGCGCAACCGATATTGTTGCATGCCCCAAGGGACAATGGGGTATCACTTACGACGATGGACCAACCCAGTTCAGCAGCAAGCTCTACGATTTCCTCGACACAACCAAGCAAAAGGCAACTCTTTTCATGATCGGTGGACAGGTCGTCCAGTACCCCGAACTTGTCAAGCGTGCCTTCGACAGTGGCCACGAATTGGCTATCCACACCTGGTATGTAATAACAGCAACAACAACAATAATCTTCTGTATACAAATTTGCTTATCTCATTTTTTATTTTTATTTTTAGGTCTCACTCTTACCTCACCACCCTCAGCAATGAGCAGATCGCTGCTGAGCTCAAGTGGACCGAATTGGCTATCAAGGAAGTTACTGGTGTATCCCCACGCTTCTTCAGACCTGTAAGTTTCTTTTTTGTTAAAAATATATACATTAAAGTTCTCTTATTTTCTAACTCACCAATTTTATTTTGTATTGTCTATAATTAGCCTTATGGTGATATCGATGATCGCGTTCGTGATATTGCAAAGAACTTGGGTTTCACTCGTAAGTCAGAAAGACGTAGATTTATATATATAAATCAATCTTCATTCAAACATTATAACTAACAATCTTATTATTATAGCCGTCATCTGGAACCACGATACCGATGACTGGATGCTTGCCGAGAGCACCTCATTCAAGGAAAGCTGGGTCGACGGTAACGCCACCCAGTGGGCCAACAATGCTGCCACCTCTACTGTCGGTGGTGTGTCTCTCGAGCACGATCTCTACGAAAAGACTGTTGACGCTGCCATTCGTATCTTGCCTATTCTCCAAAAGGCCTACAGTGTCACCACCGTCGGTGCTTGTTCTGGTCAAGCCTCGTACAAGGAAGGTAGCGTTCCCGTCAAGAACGCCACTTCTTCTGCCGTGCCCTCTGCTGCTTCTTCTGCCGGTATTTCTTCAGGCATTGCTGGTCCTTCCTCGGCTGGTCCCAACTCTTCCTCGGCTGCCTCTTCCAGCGGTGTCATTGCTGCCGGAAGTGCCAGCCAGGCTGCACTGGATTCTGGTGCTGCTGGTGTTGCCAAGCCTGTATTTGCTACCCTTGCATTGGTTGCCGTCGCTGCAAGCTACCTTGCCTAATTCCTGTTATATTATATTTTCTTTAATTTTCTATACTTTTTGTTTTATTTTCTTAAACAAAAACAAACTTTCCCCCTTCCACGCACTATATACACTCTCACATACACACTCTCACATTAGCACACATACTTTTATTACAAAGTTAATATCTATCTACCTATCTTCCTCTATATATATATAATCTCTCATTTTCCTCTTTTTTTAAAGAAAAAATTGTTTAAATAAATGTTCTATTTTTTTGTATAAATGACAGTGTTTCCATTAAGTAATGTGGTAGCCAATTAAAATATTGATGTCATTGGTTAACATGTAATGTCGGACGAGAATAAATGTGTGTGTGCGTGTGTGTGAAATAGAGAGGAGGGTGGATGGTGATAGTGGTAGTGGTAGTGGTAGTGTGTGCGGGTTAGATGATAGTGTTTGATGTAAATAACACAGTCACGATCAGTATGATTTTCACACACCTGACAGAAAAGAAAAAGGGATTGATGAAATGAAAAATCTTTAATTTTTTTTTCTCTGCCTCTCCATCAATCAGTACAACAACCTTTCTTTTTGTCTTAAATATGAATATACATATATCTTATTATTATTATTCTTCTTAAATAAGACAGGGACCAATTGAATTCCACTCGATTTTAGGTGCATTGATATTGGTTGATTGTATAGTCTTGGTCTTATATGCAAACAACCGAGCAACCACGTAACCAAGCAACTGAGCAACCAAGTAACCAGGCAACCGAGCAACCACGTAACCAAGTAACCAAGCAACCAAGTAACCAAGTAACCAAGCAACAAGCAGCCAAATAATATGTACTTATATAAAAAAAATATACAAAATATCTCACATACATTACATAACATAGAATATTGAAACAAGCCAATATATATATGAGAGAATCAACTTTAATATGAATATATTTCTGCATTGTATGGTCTATAAACCACTTTTAGCTATCTCTGCCAAGAAAATTCGATGTGTACTCTTTTTTATTAGTATTTATATTATCATTGCTACATTTACTACCTTTGTTTTATCAAAAGAAAGATTTCTTTAGACCATCAAGACTTTCTTTCTTTCTTTTATTGGTAAGCTAAGAAACGGGATTACTGAATAAAAGGAACATCATATATATATACGTTGTAATAATAGCAAGCAAACAAACAAGTAGAAAGAAAAACTCGAGTCTAATCTGGTTAATAGCTATATTTATCAAAGCTATCAACTTTGTAAATGGCATCCGATACTTTTTCTATTTCATTCTCATTCTCATTTCGGTTTTCAAAAAACCAAAAGGATAAAAGGAAAACAAAGAAAAGTTAATCAAGAATGTTATGCTCAGCGAAAAAAAAAGAAACCTTGAGAGTTTCTATAAAGATATCTGATAAGAGCATTCGGATATACATATACACTCTAATAAAAGGTTTGCTGGAAAAGCTGAGCTTTTTCTTTGACTTTGCGACTTGGGGGTTTTTTTTTTGAAAAGCGCTCTATGATTGGATTGCGAAACAAGCGAAGCAAAGTATAAAGAAAGGAATAAAGAAAAATAATAACAACATTATTAAAGCATACGTATTGGATTCTTAAGTGAATAGATGGCTAACCAAGCTTTGTGAGTGTATATCTTATCTGTCCATGTTTGATTATGTATATATTAACAGTACATATTTTACCTTTTTCTGTCTGTATTTATCATCCTATTGTATCTAATCAAAGTTTGTGTTGAAGACCACATATTAACCTACAATAATGTAGTTGACCTTTTTGTTGTTGTTGTATAAAAAAACCACTTTTATTAAATACTGCTCTTTATGTAATTCTCTTCAAATCCTTTCTCTGGTTTCTTCTTCTACTGTTAAGAGAATTTGTTTTTTTTTAAGTAAATGCAACTCTTGTACCAGTATGCTTATATAAACCACTATAATTCAAGTTATGTTCTCGCATCTCAAGGATCCCATATACATACACAAACTCACATACTGATTTTCTTGTGGAGCAATTATTTCTGTATCTGAACCAAGAGTATGCCGTACAACATTTATCCAAAAAAAATAAATAAAAAATAAATTAATTTTCGGATGAACTTAGAATGTTCATCATATAAACCTTCTTGGGTTTCTTTTTTTCACACGATCCATTTCACGATTTAGGCTCAACTTTACTGTCCTTTGTGTATATATATATACATATTATTAAAATAAGTAATAAGAATAAGAATAATACTTTCTGCAACTTTCAAAGGTCTCATCAAATATATATATATATATATTGGCAACCGTGGTTCTGTCTATTTATATATATATTTATATATTTGGATAATACTTGTTCACAATAAGATTATTGAGATAACTTGTCAGACATTTCTAAGGTCAGTTTCTCTTTCTCTCTCTTTTATTTTGACAATATTTTCTGTATTGGTAGAATTGTCTTCATGTCTTAGTGTTACACCATAATATACTTGTCATTGTTGTTACAGTTGTATATCAATTTTTTTTATGAGTATCAGGGCATACACAGCGGTTTGCGTAAACTCGCAAACATGTAAATTTAAATAGAAAATTTAGATTTTCTCATCCCCAGTGGTTCGTCTAAATAAATAATTTAGCCAATTTTTTTAGACAATTTTTTAATAGATATCTAAATTTGGCGCTTCACTAAAACATTCGAGCAATAAAAAATATGCGACTTCAGGTTTAGATAAACCGCTGTGGATGGTCTAAATTATCCCATTTAAATGTGTGTTTTTGGTTTGACTTTAATATTTTAATTGCACAAACCGCAGTGGATGCTCTTAGGGATCAATTTCTTATATATGAATAAATGAGAGAAAATAATCAATAAAAGTCTTATTTGGAGTATTAAGAAGCATATAACATAGCAATATATATATATAGCCAATAATTAGTAACTTCTTTTATAGATTGCCCAAAATTATGCTACTTTCTCACTTTACTTCTAAACTCCAACCAAACTACGATATCGGATCCCATTAGAAAATCTTTGACCATTTGTATCATAGCAACCCAATAAAATAGTTAAAGGTTGATCAGCATCCATTAAAATCGTTGAAGATTTCAGAAATAAAATCATAAAATTTAATTATGTTTATTTCTTTTTATTTTCATATATATGTATATGTCTGATATTTCCAATCATTTTATTTGTTATTATTCCAGACATACATATATACATAAATGAATGCATATGTCATTTATCAATAGGGTTATTGCACACAAGTTTTCTTTTATTTTCTTTCATAAGTATGTATGTATAGGTCTGTATAGTTCTAGAAGCTAAATAAAGTGTCAAGAAGGTATATAAAGGGAAATTGAGGTGTTTTAATGTTAAAAAAACACATAAATTCTTCGTATAGGTGAGTAGGTAGTCAGGTAGACATTGTAGACAGGAAATTAATGATGCTACATAGCAGAATGACTTGAGCAAGGCAAGAAATAATTTTATTATATGGTATCATATGTTGGATACATCAGTATTTGTTGGAGCCATATTACAAATTTTCTTGTGTCTTGCGACATTAAATCTATTTCTAAACCTTCTTTCACAAAAAAAGCATTTTGGTTGTCGATAGCTTTCCCTATGTGAGGACATGTGCCTTCTTAAATTTGATTGAAGATTGCTCTGGTAATCGCAAAAGTTACAGAAAATAGTTCTAGTATTAAGATCAGTACTATTCTGCATATTCCGACCGACAGTATTCGTATATATGCCGTGCGAAGCTCTTGTTTCGTAAGTCCAATGAAACCAAAAATATCTATCAGGAAATTCATTTATATATACAAACAAGCGCATATTATGAGTATTTATGCTTACGTTTTCATGCTAGCAAGAAACATCATAATGAAAAGAAATGATGTATATGTATAAGATGGTTGGTCAAACTTACATTCGATTGGTCATTCTGTGGTTAATTAAACAAGTAAAAGAAGAGGATGAAGAGATAGAAACCAAGCTTTTACGAAATTCTTATAATCACAGTTTAAATACAAAATTGAGTGTACACATGACTTCCAATCATGCTTCAAAGTATGCTCTTATTAGAAAAGACTAATAATAGAGTGGATGAGCAGACTTTTTGATCGAGTGACGATTCAATCATATAAAGATAGAAGTATATATATATAAAGAGGAACCAGTGGACAAATTCGGAAATGCTACCAAAAAGGAGGTACAAATCTAGGTAAGGATGTATATATTATAATATAGAGGGTATCCAGTTTGAAGGGTTTATAGTGAATACCTGATACTTTGTTTGTTTGAAAAGAAGTCAAAGCAAAATAGCTCTTAAAACAGTTAGTGTTATATAGATAGATATATAAAAATGTAATATGATAATACTATTGCATTTTTATTAAAACAGATGTCACTGGTTAATATATAAAAGAAAAGAAAAAAAAGAAAAACAAGGCTTGAGGTTGATTTGAGTTTGGCTTGAAAAAATATATGAAATGTTTGGATTTGGCAATGCAATTCTTCAAGGTAATTGACCAAATTAATAATAGTAATGGGGGCTCTCAACCGAAATCGTAGGTAGAAGATGGAATTTGGTCGTTAGCTGGAGAAAGTTCTTCGTAGTTGAGTTCACCAAAAGTGCAAAAGTTTAAATTTTGTAGATTTCTTTAAAGTATTAATGTGCTAACATTTCAAGCCGATTAATGAATGTAAAAAAATCATTAATAAATTAGAGCTTGTAGGGTCCCTACAAGCCAAAATTTGTATAACAAATACTACCATTTAGATATGGTATATCAAAAACTAAATCTCTGAGCGATATATGCTTCAATATTTGAAAGTTCTACATTGCTATAGGGATTTTCGTTCAATAATATTAGGGGTACTCAGTCAGAAGCTTTGAAGAAATTCAAAATTTGGAGATCAGCTAATAATATTCACTGTAGAAAAAAATCTACGAGTATTTGAAACAAGCAAGATGTTTTTGACCATTTTTTTTCTTTTTAATTCTGAAAGAAGATAAATGGTATACTGCATTCACTAAAACTTTTCAGAAGAAGAAAATACCTTTTAACATTTGATAAGTGTTTAATAAAAGGAGATGATAATAATATAGTTTTTCAATATGACATATTTGAAGTGCTTATTTACCTCGATACAATTATTTAGCTTCAACCAATAACGACACAAACAAATTTATTTTTAAAAAAAAGAAAAAACATTTTGTTGATCTCAATTTACGAAAAAAATTCTGTCTAAAATAAAGTAAAGTTTCTTTAAGATTTTCTTCAAAGTATGTCTAAATTTTATAGCTAATTTCTCTCAACCTCAAGTAGAAACACACACACACAAACATATTGTATAATAATTTAGTTACTTTTGCTTGTTGTAGTCGAGCTAATAAAATATATCACCATGGGAAACGAGCGACAACATTGACAGTGGTTCTGGGAGACTCCTATAGTATTTTCCACAATCACTGTCAGGATCATCATTTATTTTTTATAGTGTAATACATACACATATGTCTTTAACGCAAAAAGAGAAAATGAAAAAGTATTTGAGCTGAACTTCTATTACACATATACATCAACACTGGATTAATTTAGCATTTGTGTATACCCGAGGTTTCCTTTCTTACTTCTATTTTCTTTTAGTGAGAATAAGGAGATACTATCAAGTAAAAAAATAGTACGAATTTATTGATAAAAAATGAAAGCACCAAAAGAATTGTTCTTGATACGTTCTTCATCTCTATCACCAGTGTCATTGTTGCTAGTAAAATCTCTTGAACCGCCAAAGAATGAAAAACGGAACTTTTTTTCACTTTTTCCTTGAAGGAAGGCTGCGATTCCACATCCTGGTCTTTCACGTTGTCCATTTTCGTTGAGCCAAGAGCCACCATCCATAACATACTGTAATGCTGCTTGTTTTGCCAATTTGAGACAGACATCTCTCGAGGTATTCTTATGGTTTGTGTGAAAGAGATGTTCGCGAATATGCTTATTAAATTGTTCACCTTTTTCGGTTTCAAATTGAAGAGCAGTACCGAATCTTCGAATGTCATATTTCAGGTGGGTCAAGTTGTGAATTTTACGCTTCGTGCAGAATGCAGTGTACTTCTTCTTTATTTTTGCGGTTTTGTTATTTTCTTTGACTTCGGCTCTCTTAAAAGTATCATAGTTGTGTAATTGCCCAAGCAAACGTCTTACAGATAGGTCCACTTCAACAAGATAGTCATCAAAACCTGAGGTTACCTCTCGAACAAATACTAGGGAACATAGGCGGCCAAGTTCAACAAAGCAAGGTTTGATACGGTCTAGTATGGGCTCATTCGAAAAATCAGTGACGAGGATGACAGGGAGAATTTGCAAGAGCACCTTAAAATCTCTACCAACATAGGATCCCGAGTGATTGATATTTCTTGTGAATTTGCGCGATAATCCAGTTGAGCATTTGTAGCCATCCAAACATGTTTTAAGTCTTTGAATTATATCTTTTTTGCTTTTAAGAATACCGTTCATAAGGTGGATAACCATATACTTTCCAATTCCAAGAAGAATAGTGTGAATAACCTCTACAGGCGTACCACTTGACGGGTCAAAAGCATCTAGTTCCAAAAGAGATCCAGTCGAGCGATCCTGGAAGCTTAAGTCTTCGACAGACAAGTTACATCCGTCTGTTGGGGCATCGGGTATGATGGTTGTTCTGTCTGACATGGAATTAGCAAGCACATAATGTTTCCGGGTTCTTCTCTTATGGGGATCGGTACAGTATTCTTTATCTGGAAGAGAATCCTTTAGTCTGTGTATGCATACATAACATTTTCTGCAAGGATACAAAGACGTTGGGCCAGATAGTCCACAAATTTCAGAATGGCAGGGTGTATCGGCTCCAATCCAGAGAACAGGGGCAATTACAAGGACACACTGCTTATCTTTTTCACAGAACATAAGCACACCCTTCTCAAGGGCCTTGAGATCACGGACCAATATAGGTAAGATAGACACACCTTTTGCACCGTTTTTCTTGGGAACTGTAGCAATAAATCGAATGTTTTCTATGGACAGCCTATCTTTGGCAGCCTCGCACATTTCATTAACCGGCTTTCATAAGGATTGTATTGCTTAGACAAATTGCCAGAGGTATCACCAATAAAAAGAATTAGTGGTGTTATCGTGACTTTGTAAAAGGCATTGGCCGGTGCATTGGGAGCATGTTTTTTTTTATAGGGTGTTGCATAAAAAGGAGAGTGTGATGAGTAGGACATAATCTTGTGGTAGACTGCAGTAATATGCTCAAGTAACATGCTTCTTCAAGGCAATCGTTGTACACACAGCCAATACGCTCCATATCAATAGCAGTAGAAGGACTCTCTAGGCCATGAAACTCATCCGAAAGCATTCTAATCATATAACCTTCTGGATAAGCACAGTTTTTTGATGCATGGAATGATTCAACCAAAAATCGGAGTGAGGGATTATCAACCATTAAATAAATAATATCACCAGACCAAATATCGACACCATTCACATTGAAAATTGGCTGTTGGAATAACGGGCGTGCTATCCAATTTTCACCTTGTTGCAAAGAACCAGCTTGTCCGGGCGTACGATCAGGTAAAAAAGATATTAGATTATACTTCTTTAAATTGGACATGATGAATTTCAGCTGGGGCGATGGGAGGTCAAGATATACATGTTCAGTGTTATTGGGTACTTGGATTTCCTTATGTAAAGAGAGAAGCGCGTGGATCGTGTTTCCTTTCCTAGTCTGGTAATTCAGGATGCTATCCAAGCGAGGTAGCTTAAATACTTTTTCAGTTTGTGTTTCGGCATGTATTTTAACAATCAAGCTCATAGCAGCAAGAGTCTTCTTCAACATCCTCTGAGAAATCATATCATTATCACCGTTAATGAGTGGAAACAGGCCCATAAATTGAAGATCAGGAGATGGATGGAATCCAGAGTTAATTTGATTGGTAGCTGTACCGGTGTTTTGCATAATCTCTTGCAGATTTTCCAAGTTATCCACGTTCATTTTGCCGCTTCTTATAGACTTTAGGTACTTAATAGCAGATGATAGAATAGAATAGTCTGCTGTATAAGCATCACTATCCCCCTCTTCAGTTGTCATTATTTACTGTTTAGTGATTGTTTCTTCATCATCAGGGTACTCCAAAACGTTCTCCAAGCCTGCATCCGAAATCTTGTGAACATTAAGATGGCGTCGAATTTTCCATGAACAAGTGTAGATGGTTTGGAATCCCGGGCAGTTGAACTATCTCATGTTGTCACTGAGATAATATTCGGCTTGCCTTTGAGGAACAGGGCAATTAAGTATAGTACTTTTATGTCTCGCGTGTTTTTTTGGCTTAATAAAAGTAAAAGTAAAAGTAAAATAAATGTATAGAAATTGTTTGGCCCATTCACGAGTAACGCTTAAATACCGTTAATTCCCCAATCAAAACAACAAGTCACAACTTAGAGATTGATTTGATTTCGATAAGACCAGGTGCTATCTCACAAAAAGTTCATTTCCCATAACATAACCCTTACTAGGCACTTTGATTTTCATATATTTGTTTTATATTTTAATAAAGTGGTAACTGCGGCATACGCTTCACAATTGAGTAAAGTACAAATTCCACAATCCAGTACATATACTATAAATGTCAATGAACCTGACTTGGTCGCATCCTAAGACAATAACACACATTAGACAATCGTACTATTTGAGCTGGTTCAGTGACAACTCGCCATTAACCAATATATATATAGACAACTATCATATTTTCTCTTAAGTAAATCATACTATCATAGTACCTATTTTTCTCTTTCAAGTTTATTCATGTATCTTTCGCCTATTCTTCCTTTATCTTGTGCTGATGGAACAAAGAAATCCATCCGTGGCAACCAAAAGAGTACATATATATATAATTCATTGGCTACATTACCACATCCCTAAATTGACAGCACAGATTTATCTCTCTCTTTCTTTTAATTTGACAATAATGATTGTATTGGTATACTGGTCATTATGTCTTCTTAATGCTACATCAGAAGATACTTTTCATTGTTGTTTCTGCGAGTATTTGGGTTATTTTATTAAATGTGATAGATGAATATATATATGTTTATTCTTTGCTTAATGACTTTGTATCAATAAATACAAAATGTAAAATTAGATTAATTTGATTTTTGTCATAGATCTAATATTGAAAATGAACCATCTCAGGCTTTCGCAGGAATATTAGGGATGATGTCTTTCTTAAAAAGCAAACATAGTTCACTTTATATATATATAGCCATTAACGAGAAATTTTCTGAATAGCTTCCATAGAACTATTCCCAACTTTCTCGTTTCATTTCTGAGCTCTAGCTAGGCTGCAATATCCAATCGCACTAAAACATTATTAACTATTTGTATCATAGCAACCCGATAAATATAAATACCGGTTGACCAACTTCCATTAAAATATTGGAGTCTTCAAAAACATCATAAAATTTTATTATGTCAATTTTTCTTATTCAATTTATTACCAATACATACATATAGATATATTATTGATTAATAAAATTATTTCATAAAAATTATATATTACAAGGATATTTATATACATGTTGAGGTGAGAAAGAGAGAGTATATCTGTGCGTATCTTTAAGTAGAAATAAATTATATAATGTGTCTGCCATATGCGTAGAGAGAAATACAAGCGTTTTAAGACTGGAAAATGGGAATTTTTTTTCATATGAATAGGTGGTATATAAATTAAAGTCATGAAAATAAATAGTAAAAGTAGTAGAAATTGTAAAAATGGAAAACATAGTGAATGCGGTAAAGTGATAGAAAGTGCAGAAACAATGAAATGGTAAGAAACTAAATAAAGAATGAATTAATGAGGAAATGAAAATGAAAATGAAAACGAAAATGAAAATGAAAATGAATTGTATGGTATCATATATTGGATACCACATCACTTTTTAGGCCATTTTACAAATTTTCCTGTGTCTTTTGACATTAAAGTTGCTTACGAACTTCTTTTTACACAAGGAACATCTTGATTTTTTCCGGTCTTTAATATGTCTTTCGAGATGCCTGGTAAAATTCGATTTACGATTGAACTGATGCTCGCAAGTTTGGCAAGAAAACATCTCAGTAGTAGAAGGACCATCATTCTGGATTTGATTACCGCAAATATCCACGTTGTATGGACTACAGAAATTGCAAGCTAAAAAGGTACGAGAAAGACTTCTATGATCTATACAAGGAAGAAAACAAATTATTTTAACCAGTTAATATATCAATTACTCGAAAATTGCGTGTAATTTTTTGGAGAATTATATTTAATGCTAATAATGAAATTCCAACAGAAACTTACAGGTTTTTGGGAAGCAGTTTGAACATTTGTTAATAAAGCCAAAATCTTTATTAATGGAGGGGACAATAGCCGCTGTCTGACCAATTGGTTGCATAGACGGATCTGGTTTGGATACTTGTGTGCCTCGATATGAATCCGGAGTTGTATATTCATACTGACTGAGTCGATAAGGTTGATCCATATTTGAAGAAATTGCCAGTGAGTTGAGATCATGCCCTCTTTCGATGTTAGGATTGTAGGAAGGAAGAAGCCAGTCACCCATTCCTGTAAATCCATTTGACAAGTTGTCTTGGGTAAACCAAAAATTGAGTTCATAATAATCCTCTTCAAGGATGCTCGGAGGCTCAATACTATCTGGAGTACTAAGCTGTGTCTGTGTAACTTCTGGCATGACGGCCATAGGTAGCCCATCCACATAGTATACGTCTTGCTCTTGGACATAAAAATTCTGGTCTTGCTGGTTTGAATACAATGCTTCATCGCTGTATGCGTTGGATCGTGGCACTGCGGAACCATCGTTTAAAAGGTTAAGTAGCATTTCTGTCAGAATATTCCCATTTGATACTCCTTGATTCTGGATATAAAGTTGATCTTCTACTGGATCCATTAGGCGTAATTGATATATAAGAAACCAAATAATCGGTAAATAAACCAAATAAAGAGGTATATTATAAAGAAGTAAATAATGTGAAAAAAATTCCAATAAAAAGAGAGTTTATATAAAGATCAAAGGCATTTTATATAAGGATATTCTGGTTTCTTGGGGTTTTTTTTTGTATTAGAAACTTTTTTCTCTTTTTTCTCTTTTATCTAATTTTCCCCAATTAATTATTGGACTTGTATGTAATTAGGGCTTGAAAAGAATCGTGTAGTCCAATGTTATGGGGTTATCAGTTAAGTCTGTTTTGCTTGGAATCAAAACAAAACAGAGATGATAATAAAGATTATTTTTATTTTTGTTTTTAAAGTTTTGTTTTAGTATTTGATTATTTATATAGTGCGGCTGGTGGGTGGCGCAGATCTTTAAAGAGTAATAATACATTAATTATATTCATTAGTTTTGAGCGTAATATATATATATATATTCTTTTTACAGTAAATGCATTTTGAATTGACAATCGGCAACATCACACCGATCAACCGATTCAAAATTTGTAAAGATATATCAAGGCATTGGTTATACCATAGAATAAAGAAGTACTTTTTTATTTACCTTTTGAAGCTCTATACTCAATACACTTGTATCCCTTTAAAGACATTGTAAGTGCAATATCTTGATTTATTATTATTACTCTTAAGAATAAATACATAGCATATTAGCTTATAAGATAAATAAAAAACAGAACAATAGAATGAAAATACTTCTATGGTTGACACTGATAGCAACCAAAGTCAAGTACTGTTCATGATTATCAAAAATATTTCGAGCCTTTTTTTTTGCATGTCTAAAGAATCTGTTATACAAGAAATATCTGATAAGTGGCTTGAATAAATATACATAGTACAAACATTAAACAAATATACGAATATATTATAGTAAAGTATATTCATTTCCTTATATATCTATTATTACAAGAGACCTTTTATACAACACAAATTAACCAATTAGAGCACTAAGATAGTCTGTAAAAACTTTGAAAAAAAAAACAAGCAAGCAAGAAAAAGGAAAGAAGCACGGAAACAAAGACAGCGATATGTTTAGAGTGATATTTTTAGCAATGACTTTGTAAGAGGCGAGAGGAATTGGCTTTTAACCTATTTGTTAACCATGATACCAAAGAACAATAGGCTATCTTAAGATAAAGCAAATATACATATCAGACAGACTTATAATATGCTACACAAATTTATTGCAGGGTGAGGAGCAGTTACTAAGAATGAAAAAAAATAGTTGCTTTATTTTTCTTTTGCAATTTTGGTTGTGTTTTTTTCCCTGTACCATTCCCTATATACTTCTATACACGTATGTGTGTGTGTGTTGCTTAACTACTTTTCCCATACTTCTTTCCATATTTTACTTTATATCTGGTGATAGTTTGCTGGAAAACACTACAGTCAATGTATAAAATGATTTTCACTTTAATACATGGCTTGGATTATTTAAAAGAAAAGAGAATTTCGACAGCTACCTGATGCTTGAGCATTTTTCGTCATATCTTTGGATGCTTTAATAACCACCCAATGATAATATCTATTATAATATTTTTTTTTACTATGGTAAAGTTCGTATTCATTTTTGTCTACACCCAATATTCATCTTGGCTCAGCCAAAGATTGAAATTAAGGCTTGTCCAAAATGCATAAAAAATTATAATGGTTTATGTTTCACACAAGTATGAAGACAAAGAGCTGATCTACGTTATGTATATGAACAAATCTATACATTTGCTTGGTTTGTATTTACACTTATATATATTGGGTGTTATCCACAAAGCCATAAATTACTTTTAGAAAATTAAAAGAGAGCATAGAAATTGTATCAAGCTGCATTATAGTTCGAATCTTTTACAGTGAGAGACAGAAAGAGCAAGAGGAGAATGAGGAGAAGGAGGAGTGGAATTGAGCTGGGTATGAAGTACAGAGTTTCACAGAAAATGGGTGGGAATGGAGAAGAGATATTAAAGGTAATATTAGTATCTTTCTCTCAGATCTTATATTATCCAAAATATTTTTTTATTACTTGATATCTATTTGTATGTCTTGTAATAAGTGTCCATTATTCAAACATATAAGCCTTTCTTGTTAAATGCTTAGATGCTTGGTTGCTTAGATGCTGCGGTTTATTTTATTTTATTCTTCAGTATAAGTTCATATCAGCCAATCAAATTGATGAACTAAACCACCGCCATATCGAAAGTTGATGAAAAACATCCCCCGATATCTCTCTCTCTCTTTTTCTCTACGTCTTCTATTTTATTGCTAGATTTTTTAACTTTTATAACCCTCAATGTATTTCTATTTAATTCCTACTATTAGAATATAGTAGAGACAAGTACTTGCCGCTTTTCTAAATTACACAAAAAAGAAGTTCTTGTTGATATTAATTCTCTCCTATTCCTTTTTCTTTTATTTTATTTTTTATATAAACGGCTCAAAAAAATGAGCATTTTTACAAAAAAAGAAAAAGATACGTATCAAATCACATGTTTTTATATACATAATAGTTTAAATGGAAGGTTAGGATAAACAAAATTGAGTAGAAAAAAAATGAGAAACTCAAAGTAATAGGAATCACCTTTATTACTGTCATTCTTATTATCATTTACATTTGTAATTTGTTTCTTTCAAAAAATTTAAAATCGAATCAAGTAATGTTTTCAGATACAATAAATTATTGCCATCTTTTTTTATTGAACAAAGATTGATTTTTATGACAGAATATATTAAAGAATAATAATGATAATACAAGCCAACTGTTTACTAAACTGTCATAAATAGTACAATTATTATGCACAAAGTGTATATACCTTTGAAATGTTATTTCGATGATTGATACCATATCTAGTATAATATTTTCGTCTATAATATGTTCGAGATTCAAAGATTCTCTTGACAGTTAGATGCTTACTTATTCCTATTGTTCATCTCAATTAGACACATAATTAATATCATATGCAGCATGCTCGAGAACCGTTCATTGTTAGAATTTATATTTATAAATATATATTATAAGCCCTTTGACCTCTATATATTACTCTTTATGAATCCGAGAGTGTATTTCTTCTGCAACCAGAATGAAGGTATGACCAATGGAAATATTCTGGTAGTCATTTAAATTATTAGCCAAGACAATTGTTACACGAGCCCATGATTCAACACATGCAGCTGTCAAGCATTGTATTCAAACCAGCAGGAACAGATCGTGTATAGCCACGCATTCAGCTCATTCTATGAGAATTCGTTACTTATTCTAGCCAGACAAGAAGCCACCAAAATACATCTTTGATCTCTAAATAAGACCGTGTCCAAAACTATACGCAAATTGGGTGGTGAAACCCTCAATACCATGGTTATCTCAGACAGTATTTCAGTAAGTTGCTTTATTAACACTGTCGATTGTTCTATTTCTTTCTGTGATATTAACATGGAAAAAAAATATGCTCAAATACAGCCTACCATTTCTACAGATATGGATCTCGTAAACCATATCTCGGATCAACTCGATCAGCATGAGTGTCTAGCTCAAGCTCCACACCAAGGCACCTATTTCCCTCAGATAAAATGCCATGTATTTCATCTCATAAAAAGTCTACTTTTTTTAAAGACATTTTCCAAAAGGTTTGGAGAAAGAGAATGTAAGCCTGACCAAGTAAAATATAATATTATATTAATTACAGCCAACTCACTCGGATCACATTTAATGATTTGTTCGTTTGTATATATCCTAAAGGTCTTTCTCGTGCTTGTTTAACTTCCAAGGTCATTAGTCCATACAACCTAAATGTTTGCGGCAAAGGGATACAGAAAAACGAACGTTGTACTGAAATGTTTTATTATCTCTATTGCAGACTTATACTCAATCGTAAATCGAATCATACAAGGCATCTCGAGAAATATTGACAGTAAAAATTCAAAGTTCCTTTTGTGAGAGGAAGTTCGGAAGCAATTATGATGTCAAAAAACATATGAATATTTTCAAGACGTCCCCAAGAGACTCTGCTGTAGCCAATAGGTAATACAAAGTCAATCATTTTTTCTTTACTTATTTTCTCTTGCTTTTTACATTCTTTTTTTTTGCTATTTATTATTATAGCTTTAATTTATACTTTATCTGTCCATATGAATCTCTTTTTATTTACTAACATTCAACTCATTCGATTATTTGATTTCTCTTTACATAATGTGGTATATACCTCACAATTAAGTTAAATACAAGCCATAACAAAATACTGGTTCCTTCTTACCAATGAACCTGGCAATTTAACAATCCCTCGGAATAGTTTTACAACAGGAACACATACACTGCAGACTTGTACAGTATAAACCAACTATTACACAGCAGAAGTCTGAATTGCAAGGGACTTTAATAGTAAGATATAAATAGTGCTATTTTATCTCTTTAATAAATAACTCTATCAAAGTATGTACTTTTCCTAATATTGGGATACTAACTCAAAATTAATCCCGATTTCCTCAGGGTCCATTGGCAGGGATAATGTTATCTATACAGAGGTTTAAAGACCGTCCAGTGTTCACTCACAATCGTTCAGAGAGGACCGTGTATTAAAATAACCTTTACTGTACCATAACCAAAATAAAAAAAAGTCCATTTTAACAATGGCTTGAATCCTCTTTCTACATTCCCCCCATCCCTGCATCAATTTCGAGAATCTTCATTTCTTTTGAGAATCGTCATTCATATAATATTGCAACCCAAAGTAGGCAGAAATCGATACAATATAAAAAGAAGGCGCACTCTTTTTTTTTAAAGAAACAAAATACTCTTTATTGTATCTTTTTGACGGCTGTTCACTGTATATATACAGTCGAACAAAAAAATAAACCTTCAGTCAAATCCCCATGTCTCTATCGACTACAAAACTACCAGAATCGATACTGATTGTTGTGAATGAGTATTGATTACTGCTGAATCTGAGAGTAAGACTGAAGGATAAAATAATATCCTCAGCTATTCCAGTCAAACGGATCTCCCTTTATGATATTATCTAATACACAGATCATCATACACATAATTGATTATTTTTTATTATCACCATGACATGGGATATACAAATACATATACATTATATATATGGCATCATTATATTTCATCTACATATTTCTTTTATTATACAAATACTTAATTGAGAGACTACAACTACAACTATCTAATATTATGAAACATTACCCGAGTATCTGGGTCGGAATACTAAAATATTACCAATAGCATAAATGCTCTTCTTTACCAAAACTCTTGGACTGATCTGACTGGAGAAGTATCATATCAATTGGTCTTTCCGGATCTTTCCAGAAGAACAATACTCCTGGAATATGACTCATCGTGATAAAGATTACTTAAGCACACACTGAATTACAAATTAGAAAAACATATAAATATCAGTAGATAGTTCCGTGTAGAAAGACAATCGAATTTTATATTTCTTTACTTTTCTTTTGAAATAAACAACCTACACAAGTTCTCACGAATTCTTTCGTCTATATTATATTTTGCTTTATTTTCTCCCCACAACACTGATAACTACAATATTCTCTTTTTTTTTATTACGCCTAGCAACACCAGCTTCACAACGCTATCCAAATTATCACTAACAACAATATTATTTCTTTACTTTATTACTACAGTAAAATCCAAATCAGAATAGTAGCCATACAATAAAACTTCAGTACTCGAAAGCAATAAACTATATTATTTTATACCTGGAGTGGGATACACCACCATTCCCAGAACTGGCTTTCAACTCTTATACACATAATATTTATATGCTTATACTTCCAAGACCTTCTTCAATGACAATTGACCCCATACCATTAGACATAATCTTCAAAGCTTCCAACTTTTGGTATATTTCTAAATAACCTGTTCTAGAGCATACAGGCATCGCACAATACAAAGTCTCACCATGGTAATCTTCATCGTGTCACATCGTGATGCTCAAAGCTATAATAATAATAATGATAGAAAATATTCAGTAAGTAAACTCCATAATTTTAAAGCTTATAGTATACAAAGAAAGCTATTTCTTATACACGGCTTCCGTCTATCTCACTATCTTGCACTCTTTACACAACACAAATACTCTACTGTCAAAACTTTTTTAGTCTTTTTAAATAAAATCACTATTACATTATACTCTCATTCTTTTTATAGCTTTCACTTCAATCAAATCGACTCAGTATTCCTCTGCCCATATATCTTATTTATCTTAATATATTTATAGAAACAAAAAAGAACTATTGTAGTCTGTATACGTACTGCTTTTAATTACAAAAAAATATTTTTTATTTTTTGTTACTTATTATTTATTTAGATCTAGAATTAATTTTAAGTGAAGTATGTATGTGTGTGCCCAAATAAATTTATGTGTGTCCAAGTAGATTTGTGTAAGCAAATTTTGCCATATGCATAGATTCTGTCTAGTAGGTAGATTTTGTGTGGCCCTAGGTAGATTTTGTGTGTCCTTATGTAGATTTTTGAATACCAGTCGTAGCACATCGGAGGTGAAATTACTAAAAGAAGGTAATTTGAATAGTTAAAAAAAAATAAAGGTCTTTATTTATTGATATCTGTATTGTATTCATACTATTTTTTTGTATGGAGCCAGGAAAAAGCTCAGAATTTTATTAAAGGTCTCTGATTGAATAGGAAAAGAGAAAATTAAAGTATTTGTTTGTAAGGTTTTGTAAGTTATATGATGTTTTTGGCTTTTAAATTTTATGGTTGTTTTTGTTTTTGTTTTGTTTTTTATACTATTTGTTAATTGTTAATGAATATATAAGTATTAAATTTTAATGTTAAGAATAACTTTTATTGTTCAATACTAAAAATTATAAAATAGCAAACTTTTAAAGAACAGACTCAATAACTAAGCATTAGTTCTTTCTTGCTAATTAATTTAATAAATTAATAATTCTCAAAACTATTACACATCAGGCACATGTATACTACAGACTTATATAAAATAAGCTACTCATTATATAGCATGAATTTGAATTAAAATAGATTTTAATAGTATCAGATTAAATATTAGTATTTTATCTTTTTAAAAAAATAACACTCTTAAAGTATAAACTTTTTTTTTAATATTGAGATACCAGCCCAAAATCAATTACATATATCTTAATTCCAATGTAGTATAATATTTAAATAAAGTTATAGTTAGAATAAGAGGGTCGATTATTTATTATCAAATAATAATAAAAAATTAAAGATTAATTGAAAAGTTGTAAAAAAAAGCAAAAACAAAATAAAATAAAATAAAATAATTAATTTAAATTTCAAATGCCCAATCTTTTTTGTAGATTGCAGGGCATTTTTGGATCTCAGCTGTTTTAAGAATTTTTTAGTGCTCAAAAACACCTAGGAGCGTAGCAATTTTGTGAGGCTAGAAAAATCCCTCCACAAAAAAAAATGCGGCGGTGTTTCAATATATTGTTTCTCCTAATGTCGTATAATCAAAAAAACAAATTTTTCTCACTGCGTAATTAGAATCTTACTTTAGAAAAAAATCGTACTAAACTGTCTACTTTTTAAATGCTACAAATAAAGTAGCAAAAGTAGCAAAAAAAATGTCGGCAAGTGAAAATTAAATAATTGGATTTCATATATAATATTGCACTTTGATATATGAATATATATGTTTTTTTTTTCTTAAAAATAAATAAAAAATAAATAAATAAATAACTATATAAATTTAATTTTTTTGTCTTGTATATAATGTAAAAGGTTAGTTAATAGTTTAATAAGAGCAAAAAATATAATAATATGATTTTCACTGCTTTGTTTTTATTTATTATAATCAGTAGTAATAAAGTAATATTTAATAAATCTTTTGAGCATATTTTTTTTTGCCAAAGTAGCCTACTCAATTGAATAAAAGAAATATTTAAAATTAATGTCTGTTCAACTATTTAATAATAAGTCTTAAATTGCTCTAATAATCTAGTGCATTCAATGTTTTTAGCTCTAGCAAATAAAAAAGAACAAGAAATTAAAGAAAAGCGACAACTTGCTTTATTTATTTTTTGAATACAATGATCGATCCTAAATCACTTGTAAAGATAACACAAATATCTTCTTTACACAAACTATATAATGATGTGCACCTTAATATATATATATATATATATCACTATTCAGATCACACAAGTAATAAATTATATTTAATTGAATACTGAAAATCCAGTAAGCTACTTTTATCAGTACCCATAAAAGATAATAGTGGTTTATAAACTCAAATAATAATAAATATTTAATAAAACTTAATAATTATCAAGAGAAGTAACAAAAAAATTATTTTTGAATTTATTTATTATTTGTTTGTTAGTTGATTAATTCGAAGCCTTACTATTATTTTCTTTTTGAAAATAGATTCAAAAAAACTAGCACTGTTCTGTGAAAAATCCAGTAGAATTTGGGAATAGCAACATATTAAATATACCTAGTAGAAGCAATGGGACCTAACACCTTTCTCTTCTCATACCTATTTTACATTAAACCAGTACTTGAACAATAAAATAAAATGTATGATTCACCTCTAATAGAGTCGGAAAATAACTTGCAAACAAGCTTTTACAATTCAAGGAGATCAAATACTGTCAATATCAAAAGATCGTCTTTAAAAATCGTCTTTTATCTTGGGGTAGAATCTCTCAATTAAGTTAAAAAAAGACAAATAAGAAAGAAAGAAAAAACTCATCCATAGCCTTTTTATTGATGTATTAGATTGTTATTGAAACTATGTAAATTTGTTTTACTGCCTGTAACAATATAATTAGTATTTCTTTTTAAAATAATATCTTGGAAAGAATAAATGCAGTATACACAGCATAATTGAGTGGAAAACAAGCTCCATAATCCAGAACGGATACTACAGTTGCTAATGAATCTGGCAGGGTCACATCTCAGGAACGTAACACATGCCAGACACTCGTACACTTCACACTGCTTCAGTGATAACCAACCATTAACCAATGGAGATATTAAATTAGGGAACCAAATGTCTATATAAACAGCTATGATCTTCTTTCTTGAATAAACAACCCTCTCACATTACCTATTGTTCCCTTTTAAAATATTATTTGTATACCTCAGTTATAACTCTTAATAGCTTTAACATTATATTCTAAAAATTATAAGCTCTACAATCTCTAAGTTTATATATAGCATAATAGGTACACTACTTACAATTCAGAGCAAGGTTTTCGCACTTTTTTGGCAAGTATCAAACCTTTAAGGTGACTAGGCCACAAAATTTATTATTTTTATTTTTTAGTTTTTAGTTTTCATGCTATCGACATCACTTTGTATTTTTTTTTGGTTTTTTCACCATGAACTTCTGATGAATTAGTTGATAACAGTAAAAATATAAGTCTCAATGCCGAGTGAACGTTTATCTTAATAAATATCGGCTTGTAATTTGCTCATCAATTTTTTGTTACTGTGTTTTTGTATTAATAATCAACAGTACGTACTGATTGTGATATACACACCACAATTGAGTGAAAGATAGACCCCACAACCAAACACTGGTTCCTTCTTGCTAATGAACCTGGCAACTTAACAATCTCCGGAACTGTTACACACCAGACACACGTACACTACACACTCATACAGTGTAAACCAACCATTACACAACAGGGATTTTAATTACAGGGATTTTAATAGTAGCAGATATAAACAATATTATTTTGTCTCTTTAATAAATAACACTCTCACAGTATCTACTTTTCCCATTATTGAGATACTAACCCATAAACAATCCCGAATACCTCATTGTTTACTGTGAATTGTATTTTCCTCAAGAAAATAACCAATACATCGACCAACACACCTATCGCACATGGTTCCAGCTCAAAAGCTTCCCTCGTTAATACCACCCCGGTGAAAATCATCATCTCTGCTACTTCCAACTACAAAGATTCAATTGTCAAAGCCGACATCACAAAGGCATTCGCCTACACTTCCATCAACAATGTTTCTATCAACAACGTTTCCAGCAACGTTTCCAGCAACGACGCTTCCAGCAACAATATCTTCCTTAATACTATTTCCATCAACAACGTTTCTATGAGCTACGCTCGCATTAAAAACGTTTCTATTGAAAACACCTGCGAGACTGAAGATACCATTGTCAACATCTCCATCATCAGGGAATCGCTCATCAAAACTCCCACGGACGACACCCACTTTGATAACTCAGAAGTCTCCCTCAAGAACATGGGCACTACCCAGGACAACAAAATTCTAGAGAAACAGGTTATGTATAAGTTGTGTGAAGACAGAAACGGCACCAAATCTATTCACGATTCGTTTAGTTCCAGCAACAAAACAGACTTGCTTCTCAAAAACATTCATGGTAACTCCTGTGCACCTTGCCACAAGGAACACACCAACTCAGAATATCAGTCTACAAAGGCTAAAAAGTTGGTATTTGCAAACCGCAACACAAGAATAGTCAACAGTGAGGAGGTATGGAACAATGAGAATGCAGGTAACAGTGGGATTGAGGTGGAATGCGCACACCTCAATATACAGGAACAGGGTAGTCACCCTCACCTACACCACTATAATACACAGGCACAAGGTAAACACCTTCCCCTGCGCAGCCTCACTGCAACATCACAGGCACAAGGTCATCACCTTCCCCTTCTCAACCTCACTGCACCGCCACATGACGACAGCTCACTCTATGTTCCTATAATTGTTCAGAGTAGCCGGGTGTGGGCACTGGTGGACTCCGGAGCAAACGCTTCTTTCATTTCTCCAGACCTTGTCTCCTCTCTCTCTCTACCTATTACTAAATGTAGTTCAAAAAAGCAGCGCATTTATTTAGCGTCAGAGAATAGCTCAGTGGAACATTTAGGCACTGTTGAGAACCTTTCATTATCTTATATGAGTCGTAAACTGAATCACAACTTCGTAGTAATGAGTTTAGCCTTAGGCACACAGATGAGCATTGGCACAGACTTAATGCCCAGACTGGGCATGGCAATTACAAACTTAGCAACTACTTGGGACGATCAAAAAAGCGATTCATTGAGAGAAAACACTCCAGATGATGTGCCAGAACCTAATAAATCTCCTGCTGGCACATCTGAGGAGCAAAAACAGTTTACGGAAGCTATAGAACAATCTATCAGATCCAACAAACTTATTCCTAAAACATCATTTTGCACTATACCAGAATCTATCATCCATATCGACACACCAGAAGGCGTAACTTCCTACAGAAGACAATACCCTTTACCGGTAGTATATGAGCCTAGAATCCAAGAGACTGTAAACACTTGGCTAGCAGATGGTACGATAGAGGTGGCATCCAATGATACGGAATGGAATAGTCCTATTACACTAGCACCGAAAAAAGACATGTTTGGTAATTACACAGACAGAAGACCCTGTCTAGACCCCAGACATATCAACAAACTTTTAAAAGACGACAGATATCCTTTACCTCTTATAAGAGACGTATTTCACACACTTAAAGATGCGGTTGTTTTCACTACCCTAGACCTTACAAGTGCTTTCCATCGATTTGAGGTATACAAGCCAGACAGACCTAAAACAACATTCACCTTCAAAGGAAGGCAGTACATGTTCCGCGGCTGCCCTTTTGGACTTAAACCCATCTCATCTAAATTCCAGCGGGTTATGAACATTGCTTTCAAAGATATGCCTTTTGTAACCACATTCGTAGACGATATTGTGGTATTCTCTCGTAACATGGAGGAACACACAAAACATGTTAAAACAGCAATAGAACAACTTACTAGTGTTAATCTCATCTTAAATCCAAAGAAATGTCATTTCTCACAAAGAGCAGTCTTCTTACTAGGCTTTTGTGTGTCAGATAAAGGCATCTCACTGGATACAAGAAAGGCCAGTAACATGCAAGCATGGCCTACGCCTAACACCGGAAAAGATATACAACGGTTCCTTGGTGTTATAAATTACTTCAGGGAACATATACCTAATGTCTCCCAGCTCACCGCACCTCTTGATCGACTTCGTAACGAGGGTGATTTTACACCTCTCTGGACCAACGAGCATTATAACAGCTTCACAAATCTAAAAGACATCCTACTCAAACTGCCTATCCTGTGCTACCCAAACCTAAAGTACCCTTTTAGTGTGGCCACAGATGCGTCAAACGTAAGAATAGGTGCTGTCCTATATCAAGTCATCAATGGAGAAACGCGACACATCGGTTTCATGGCTCGCGCATTGTCTAAAAGCGAACGAAACTATTCCACTATAAAACGTGAGCTACTCGCGGTAATATATGCATTGAATAAGTTCCACAAATATCTTTGGGGAAATCCGTTCACTCTATACACCGATCACAAAGCCCTCACATATACAGTCACAATCAAAAACGTTTCGACCTCTGAGCCCAAAAAATGCATGAGAGAAATCATGGCATGTATTCAACATGCAACTGCTCCTCAGTAATAAAAGCTAAAGCATTCAAACTTCAAATAAAAGATTATATATATGTTTATTATTGAAATATAGAAAAAAATAAAAGATCAATATTTTGTATGACCTCCTTTGGCCTCAATTACAGCCTGGCATCGATGCTGCATGCTTCCGGCCAAAGTTGACGAAAGTTCGAGACCTATCCTTCGCCACTCTCGTTGCATTACAACCTTCAGATCTTCAACATTGTTAATACTGGCCCTCTCGTCACTCATGCGCCTCTGGAGAGCCCACCAGAGATGCTCGATGGGGTTGAGATCCGGGCTTTGAGCGGGCCAGTAGTCAAAACCTCGGATCTCATGGCTATCTTTCCACCACCTCGAGTACGACCTAGTATGACAGCTGGCGTTGTTCTCTTGGAACACGAAGCTCCTGTTTTGTTCCCGCGAAAGATTTTGGAACCAAGGGAGGAAGTTCTGAGCCAAAGTGTTCACGTATTGGTCTTGGTTTACGTTACCATCTAGGAACACCAAAGGGCCAAAACCACCGGCCCAGAAACAGCTCCAGATCATCACACTACCCTTCCCCCACTTGGTTCCTTCGATGATATTTTCTTCCTTGAACCTTTCACCGACTTTCCTGATAGCTCTAGCTCCTCCATCATTACCCTCAACTGTGAACCGTGATTCATCTGACCACACTACACCTCTCCACTGGTCATCTGTCCAATTCACATGCTCATGGGCCCATTCCAGCCTTCTTTTCTTGTGGCTTTCGGTTAAAGTTGGCTTGTGAGCTGCGATATATGATCCGAAGCCCAAACGCTTCAGACAACTGATTATTGTCTTTCTGCAGACAAATACCTCCATGTTCTTTAAGGAAGCCCTTAGCCTAGAAAATGAGGCAAAGGGGTCCTTACGAACTATTTGAACAAGGTGTCTTTCTGTCCTCTCGTCAATCTTTCTAGGTCGTCCGGACCCTTTTCTTGGCTCGGGCGATCCTGTCTCGTCCACTCTCTTAATGATGTACTTGACAGTTGACAGACTCATGCCAACCACCAATGAAATCTGGGTCGCCCCGTAATTTGCTAAATGCATGTACATGATGCATCCGTATTTATAGGGATCGGCCTTTTCATATGATCCGTGGGTGTTTTCTGATGAATTTGCGTCTTGCATGTTGGATTTGATTAATAATATTGGGAGAAAACAATGTTTTTATTTTTATTTTTTCGATTTTTTTAGGCATTTTTTGCGGGGGTCGAAGCGTTTTTGATTGTGAGTGTATACATACACAAAAGATTACCAACACTATGATGATAAACTGGCTGGATACCATACTCGAATATTCATTCGAGGTACTCCACCTGCCCAGTCTAAGCAACATCTTACCTGACCAGCTACCACGCCTTTTCCCTACGGAAAAAGAGCTGGAAGGGGGTAATGACTCCGCAGTTAATTTCACAGGCCAAAAAACGGTCATTAATAGACAACAAACTGTAGTCAACACCAATTACGACGAGATGCTAACACCACCAGACAGTGACGGAGAAGAACTTCTCGCCAAAGCTCACGCTTTCGGACACTTTGGAGCAGATGCCATGACAAACGCACTTCATAACGAAGGGATACACTGGACAAACATACATAGAGACGCCGTCAAGGTTGTACAAGACTGTATAGAATGCCAAAAGTATAACATAGCAAAGAAAGGTTATCACCCTCTACGACCAATTCACGCATATTTACCATGCGATCATTGGGCTATTGATTTAGCAGGTCCTTTCACGACCTCACATAACAGTAATAACTACTTACTAGTAATGGTAGACATTTGCACAAGATTTTGTGTACTACGTGCAATACCTGATAAAGCACAGGACACTGTTGTCAACACTGTAATAGACGTCTTCTGTAATTTCGGATTCCCTAGATACTTACAATCGGACAATGGCAAAGAGTTCGTCAACTCACTTATGAAAAAACTAGCTGAAACATCTGGTTTTGATCACAGATTAGCTACGCCCTATCACCCAAGAGCTAACGGTGTAGCCGAACGCTGGGTTCAAACCTCAACCAACGCGATTAAGAAATGTATAAAAGGAGCGACCCGAGATTGGGACCTCTATGTACCTAGCATACAGCTAGCAATGAATTCCAAAGTAACAAAGCGTAATGGAACGGCTCCTTACAACCTTATGTTCGCCAGAACAATGAACGGATTTAAAAGCTACGCCGATGATCCAGCAATACCATCACTCACAGAGGATGAGCTACAAAAGCGTATAAAAACAATGGCAGACGTTGTGTTTCCCGCAATCGCTGAAAGAGCAAAAACAGTAACAAATGCACAAAAGGGCAAGTTTGATAAGAAATACAGGATGATACAATTCCCTCCTAATAGCCAAGTCATGATTAAAGAACTCCAACACGGTAAACTAGAACCTGCATACCAAGGTCCTTACACCGTAGTCAAAGAGAAGCAGGGAGGTTCTTACGTCCTCATGGATGAACAAGGACTACTGATGCCCAGAGAATATACACCCTCACAACTCAAGCTAATCTCACAGGACAAACTCGTCTCACTAGATGAAGTCCAGAAAATTGGCAAAGAATACTTTACAGTCAGAGCAGTAGTAGCTCATAGAGAACTGGCTAAAGGAAAATACGAGTACAGAGTAAGATGGGAAGGCTACGAAGAAAAAGACGATACATGGCAAACGCCCGAGCCCTTTAACAGCCCTAAACCTATTGCAAATTATTGGGATCGACTTGGTACAACACCAATTGACAAGACACAAACCCCACATCAGACACGCACCGTCACTGCAACGTACATTAGCAAACGCCGCACTACGCAGCCCACACCTACACGCCGAAGCAAATGCTCAAGATGCTAACGCTCAATACGCTTACGTACAACACGATAAAGTTCACGATGTTAACGCCCGATGCTATGCCCAAGAAGCTAACATGGTCCCTTCAGTCTAAAGTAACTCAACTCTCAACACGGTTATTCAGCCTGGAAGGGGGTAATGTGGTATACACACCACAATTGAGTGAAGAACAGACCCCACAACCAAACACTGGTTCCTTCTTGCTAATGAACCTGGCAAGTTAACAATCTCCAGAACTGTTACACACCAGGCACACGTACACTACGCACTCATACAGTGTAAACCAACCATTACACAACAGGGATTTGAATAGTAGCAGATATAAAAACAATATTATTTTGTCTCTTTAATAAATAACACTCTCACAGTATCTACTTTTCCCATTATTGAGATACTAACCCATAAACAATCCCGAATACCCCAGTAACAATGTTTGCAGCTACCGAGGTACTTCAAAAAATACCGCCCTCTTTGTTCACCTCGGGTGTCTATGATTTCTAGTATTTGTTCGATCCATTGATAGTCAATACGAGACATACATCAGTGAAGTGGACTGTCCCATTAAAAGCCTCATCGGAGTCCAGCATCTATACAACACCAACTATAGTTTTTTTCTTAAAAAACATATATTTTACAAGTCCAAGCCAAAAGTCTATCTGTTGACCCTCCTCCCTGAAGATCTCGGAAGATTTGGTCCTGCACTTAACTACGAGACTGAAAAGGGAGAGCAATTTAACAAGCATATCCGTGAACACTTGTTTCATGCAAACCGTATGAACACATCAAAAGATATTTGTCTCAAATTTGGAAAACAATATATGAAAAGACATATCATTGATGATGGCTCATGGATAAACTAGAATGGTCTAAGGGAAACCCGTGGAAAAGCTATTGCAGATTATATGCAACAAAAATCTGGTGGGAAATTCTATAAGACTTTGTTTGGTGGGTCGAGAGAATTTGCTGACAACAGTGGTACAGGTTTGATCTCTGGAAGACGATTAAAGACAATACCCTTGCTGTATTTAAACAAAAAGACGACATAACTCAAGATGGACATATAATAATTGGAATGGCACCCTCTTCTAAAGTATATCATATGTATATTGAATATCCATCTGCACATACCATTGACAACAACTATCGTCTAGCCCTCAAATACGCAGATGATATGTATACACCACTTGATGAACTGAATGTTATTTGTCTAATTGATGTGCATCTAAAAGTTGGTGGTAAACATGTTAATCTCAACAAATTCGGCTCCTACTGGTCCTTCTTTTCTTTTTTCTATATCAATAAAACATCTAAAATTTTAAAATCAATTGTTTTTTAGCTATATACTATTACATTCGAAATAAATTTGTAGATTCCTGTACTTCACATCTTGCTTTATAAAAAAGACCAATTTTAAGAGATTGGTATAAAGAAATTACACAAAAAATATTTAGCAATCCAATGAAATGGCAGATCCGTTTTCAATTTTCTAATTTAATATCGAGTTTCATCAGTGGGGATGACATATATTCAACATGTAACTACTTGTCAGTAGTGATAACTAGAATAGTCAAATGTCAGATACAAGATGATATACTTGTTTATTATTGAGATACAAAAGAAACCCCCAAGACTTGACTCGGCCTCCTTTGACATCAATTACAGCCTGGTATTAATATTGCATGATACCTGCCAAAGTTGATCCAAGCTTGACACCTATTCTTTTCTATACTCTTTGAATTGCAACCCTCAAATCATAAATGTTATTGATACCGTCCCTCTCATCAATCGTTCACTCGTTGAGAGCACTACTAGAGATGCTTAATATGGTTGCCGTCTGTTTTTTCTTTTAGCTAGACAGTAGTTAAAACCCCGGAACTTATGGTTATCTTTTCATCGATCTTTTAAGATCTTTAGAACCAGATTATTGAGCTCTGGTAACCTTATTTTATTCGCTCTCTTAATGATGTACTTGACTGTCAATAGATTTTATGTGAACTATCAATGAAACCTGGGTTGGTCCAAATTCTGTTCAACACATGTTCATAATGCATCCTTATTTGTACAAGTAACTTTTGTAACATAAACCGTGCGTGTTTTCTCATAAAAATATGTATTGAATATTGTATTAGATTAATAAAATTGAAAAAAAAACAGTAATTTTAACTTTCATTTTTTCTTGATCATTTTTTGTGGGGTTGAATATATATTTTTTGACCATGCATATATGAAATATATGGCTTGAGCTCTTCAAACTGAATGCAAGCATTTGTCCAACTTTATGACCAATTGTTTTTGGGATGTATGCTGGAACCACATCTAATCTCCTCTTGTACCCCTCCCTTGGCAATCAAAACAATGATATTCATTTTGGGCCTTTCTAATAGCTCACACCCGTCACAATATAAGTATTATGCTATAACTAACTTCTTGTTGTGTCATTACACTCTAAACAACTGTGCTCTAGCCATCTTTGTCACTCCAAGCAGCCAAATTCACTTTTCTGAAGTAGAAACTCTCTCTCTCTCACTTATTTTCTCTACCAGTACCCAAATAAATGAACAGTATTGGAAAATACATGAAAGAAATAGTACTTTGAGCTGTTCCAGTCGACATTTGATATAAACCACGCACTCTTTTCTCTGGAAATCCCTGACCAACCGCTACCTGTCTTCCGCATTTGACTACTTCAAATTACCAACAGCATAATATTGGCCCTGTGACGTGCTCACTGAAACTTTATCTTCGATATCCAGCCTTTTCAAACTTCTTTGATTGACTCTAAAATAGGCACCACTGTTTCGAATTCTTCATCTGGCCTAGATTTAACTTAAAATCCCCTCGGACTTGTATTTCTATTTCTTCAAAACTCTCAAAAGATTCATAAAACAATCGTTTTCCTTTTTTAATACACGATTCATACTAGGAATAGCTTCTCCATACATGAAGAATATTATAAATTCCTCTCTTTTTTGTATTCTTTTGTAAAATAAAAATAGATATCAGATAATAAGCCCGTTGAATTTGGTAATATATAATTACGAAAAATAAAAATTAAAGCTAAGGGTAATGTCGTTTTTAACGTCTCTTCCCAATTCCCAGTCATTTTCTATAAAACTCTACTTCATAACTATCTCATTCTCACTCTTCCTCCTCTTGCTCTTTTTTTATTTTTCACTGCAGATTATTGGAGCAGAAATGCACCAAGATACAATTTTTCCCTCCTTTTTACCTTTAAAAAAAGTTAATTATGACTTCCTGAAGAACAATCAATAAAAAATATCATATCTTTATCTTTGGTCATGGGTTAAATAATATAATTGTCTAGCGTTGTGGGTAGCATAGAATATAGGTTTTAATTTATATTTTTAGCTAAAGATAAAAAATTGGCTGTATACAATAATATATTGCTTAACATATCTTTCTATTACTCGCTCCCTTACAAAATACCTCTTTATTTTATTATATTTACTAATCTTTTGATTCCATGTATAAATTACACTTAATGAGTTCAGCAGGAAATTAATCTCATACTCAGAATTATGGTGTCTCAATTTTCAATGTACTGGTACAAGCGCCACATATCATTTCAGACAATGGTTACGCAGCTCTACAATCCAACGTATACAACAATGAAGAATTATACTCAAACCAGCAAGAGGAGGTTCTTTATGACCAAGAACACAGACTATAATATGTGGGTGGGTTACCTCTGGTCGTCATGCAAGAAGTTATACATGCACAGCTTAGTACTCCAGATAATATTGAGTGTCCAAGCATCCTTGAAGAGGATTATTATAAACTCAATTTTTGGTCATCCAAGACAGTTTATCAATTGGACCTACAGAAATTGATGAGTGCTTTCTTTGTTTTTACAATGCCAACATCGAAATATGACATGATCTCAACTTACCGACAATTTCTTCAAATATTGATAAACTTTATCAACTCAACCGGTATGAATCCAAAGCTCTAGATCCATATCAAGACACACAAGCATCTAAACCAGAGCTGTCTGTGCAACCAATTGGTCAGACAACGGCTATTGTACCCTACATTAATAAAGAATTTGGCATTATTAACAAATGTTTAAAGTGTTTACCAAAAAGCCGTAATTTTTTGTTAGAAATTTATTATTAGGATTAAATATAATTCTCCAAATAACTTACATGCGATTGTCGAGTAATTTATATATTAATTAATAAAATAATTTGTTAGTTTGCTTGTATAGATCATTAAAGACTTTGTCATACCTGATTAACTTGCAATGTCTGTAGTTTATACAATGTGGATATTTGTGGCAATGAAATTCAGAATGTCGATATCTCTACTACTTAAATATTTTCTTGTCAAGTTTGCGGGAACCAGTTCAATTTTAAATCAAATTTTACAAGGTATCCTAAAAAATATGAAATATATATTGTAAAAAAACCAGCATGCTCCTTTTGCTAGAAAAGCCGTAGTAAGGTATACAAATAATATTTTAAAAGGGAACAATAGGTAATGTGAGAGGGTTGTTTATTCAAGAAAGAAGATCATAGCTGTTTATATAGACATTTGGTTCCCTAATTTAATATCTCCATTGGTTAATGGTTGGTTATCACTGAAGCAGTGTGAAGTGTACGAGTGTCTGGCATGTGTTACGTTTCTGAGATGTGACCCTGCCAGATTCATTAGCAACTGTAGTATCCGTTCTGGATTATGGAGCTTGTTTTCCACTCAATTATGCTGTGTATACTGCATTTATTCTTTCCAAGATATTATTTTAAAAAGAAATACTAATTATATTGTTACAGGCAGTAAAACAAATTTACAGAGTTTCAATAACAATCTAATACATCAATAAAAAGGCTATGGATGAGTTTTTTCTTTCTTTCTTGTTTGTCTTTTTTTAACTTAATTGAGAGATTCTACCCAAAGATAAAAGACGATTTTTAAAGACGATCTTTTGATATTGACAGTATTTGATCTCCTTGAATTGTAAAAGCTTGTTTGCAAGTTATTTTCCGACTCTATTAGAGGTGAATCATACATTTTATTTTATTGTTCAAGTACTGGTTTAATGTAAAATAGGTATGAGAAGAGAAAGGTGTTAGGTCCCATTGCTTCTACTAGGTATATTTAATATGTTGCTATTCCCAAATTCTACTGGATTTTTCACAGAACAGTGCTAGTTTTTTTGAATCTATTTTCAAAAAGAAAATAATAGTAAGGCTTCGAATTAATCAACCAACAAACAAATAATAAATAAATTCAAAAATAATTTTTTTGTTACTTCTCTTGATAATTATTAAGTTTTATTAAATATTTATTATTATTTGAGTTTATAAACCACTATTATCTTTTATGGGTACTGATAAAAGTAGCTTACTGGATTTTCAGTATTCAATTAAATATAATTTATTACTTGTGTGATCTGAATAGTGATATATATATATATATATATTAAGGTGCACATCATTATATAGTTTGTGTAAAGAAGATATTTGTGTTATCTTTACAAGTGATTTAGGATCGATCATTGTATTCAAAAAATAAATAAAGCAAGTTGTTGCTTTTCTTTAATTTCTTGTTCTTTTTTATTTGCTAGAGCTAAAAACATTGAATGCACTAGATTATTAGAGCAATTTAAGACTTATTATTAAATAGTTGAACAGACATTAATTTTAAATATTTCTTTTATTCAATTGAGTAGGCTACTTTGGCAAAAAAAAATATGCTCAAAAGATTTATTAAATATTACTTTATTACTACTGATTATAATAAATAAAAACAAAGCAGTGAAAATCATATTATTATATTTTTTGCTCTTATTAAACTATTAACTAACCTTTTACATTATATACAAGACAAAAAAATTAAATTGATATAATTATTTATTTATTTATTTTTTATTTATTTTTAAGAAAAAAAAAAACATATATATTCATATATCAAAGTGCAATATTATATATGAAATCCAATTATTTAATTTTCACTTGCCGACATTTTTTTTGCTACTTTTGCTACTTTATTTGTAGCATTTAAAAAATAGACAGTTTAGTACGATTTTTTTCTAAAGTAAGATTCTAATTACGCAGTGAGAAAAATTTGTTTTTTTGATTATACGACATTAGGAGAAACAATATATTGAAACACCGCCGCATTTTTTTTTGTGGAGGGATTTTTCTAGCCTCACAAAATTGCTACGCTCCTAGGTGTTTTTGAGCACTAAAAAATTCTTAAAACAGCTGAGATCCAAAAATGCCCTGCAATCTACAAAAAAGATTGGGTATTTGAAATTTAAATTAATTATTTTATTTTATTTTATTTTGTTTTTGCTTTTTTTTACAACTTTTCAATTAATCTTTAATTTTTTATTATTATTTGATAATAAATAATCGACCCTCTTATTCTAACTATAACTTTATTTAAATATTATACTACATTGGAATTAAGATATATGTAATTGATTTTGGGCTGGTATCTCAATATTAAAAAAAAAGTTTATACTTTAAGAGTGTTATTTTTTTAAAAAGATAAAATACTAATATTTAATCTGGTACTATTAAAATCTATTTTAATTCAAATTCATGCTATATAATGAGTAGCTTATATTATATAAGTCTGTAGTATACATGTGCCTGATGTGTAATAGTTTTGAGAATTATTAATTTATTAAATTAATTAGCAAGAAAGAACTAATGCTTAGCTGTTGAGTCTGTTCTTTAAAAGTTTGCTATTTTATAATTTTTAGTATTGAACAATAAAAGTTATTCTTAACATTAAAATTTAATACTTATATATTCATTAACAATTAACAAATAGTATAAAAAACAAAACAAAAACAAAAACAACCATAAAATTTAAAAGCCAAAAACATCATATAACTTACAAAACCTTACAAACAAATACTTTAATTTTCTCTTTTCCTATTCAATCAGAGACCTTTAATAAAATTCTGAGCTTTTTCCTGGCTCCATACAAAAAAATAGTATGAATACAATACAGATATCAATAAATAAAGACCTTTATTTTTTTTTAACTATTCAAATTACCTTCTTTTAGTAATTTCACCTCCGATGTGCTACGGCTGGTATTCAAAAATCTACATAAGGACACACAAAATCTACCTAGGGCCACACAAAATCTACCTACTAGACAGAATCTATGCATATGGCAAAATTTGCTTACACAAATCTACTTGGACACACATAAATTTATTTGGGCACACACATACATACTTCACTTAAAATTAATTCTAGATCTAAATAAATAATAAGTAACAAAAAATAAAAAATATTTTTTTGTAATTAAAAGCAGTACGTATACAGACTACAATAGTTCTTTTTTGTTTCTATAAATATATTAAGATAAATAAGATATATGGGCAGAGGAATACTGAGTCGATTTGATTGAAGTGAAAGCTATAAAAAGAATGAGAGTATAATATAATAGTGATTTTATTTAAAAAGACTAAAAAAGTTTTGAAAGTAGAGTATTTGTGTTGTGTAAAGAGTGTAAGATAGTGAGATAGACGGAAGCCGTGTATAAGAAATAGCTTTCTTTGTATACTATAAGCTTTAAAATTATGGAGTTTACTTAATATTTTCTATCATTATTATTATTATAGCTTTGAGCATCACGATGTGACACGATGAAGATTACCATGGTGAGACTTTGTATTGTGCGATGCCTGTATGCTCTAGAACAGGTTATTTAGAAATATACCAAAAGTTCGAAGCTTTGAAGATTATGTCTAATGGTATGGGGTCAATTGTCATTGAAGAAGGTCTTGGAAGTATAAGCATATAAATATTATGTGTATAAGAGTTGAAAGCCAGTTCTGGGAATGGTGGTGTATCCCACTCCAGGTATAAAATAATATAGTTTATTGCTTTCGAGTACTGAAGTTTTATTGTATGGCTACTATTCTGATTTGGATTTTACTGTAGTAATAAAGTAAAGAAATAATATTGTTGTTAGTGATAATTTGGATAGCGTTGTGAAGCTGGTGTTGCTAGGTGTAATAAAAAAAAAAGAGAATATTGTAGTTATCAGTATCGATTCTGGTAGTTTTGTAAAGTCGATAGAGACATGGGGATTTGACTGAAGGTTTTTTTTTTTGTTCGACTGTATATATACAGTGAACAGCCGTCAAAAAGATACAATAAAGAGTATTTTGTTTCTTTAAAAAAAAAAGAGTGCGCCTTCTTTTTATATTGTATCGATTTCTGCCTACTTTGGGTTGCAATATTATATGAATGACGATTCTCAAAAGAAATGAAGATTCTCGAAATTGATGTAGGGATGGGGGGAATGTAGAAAGAGGATTCAAGCCATTGTTAAAATGGACTTTTTTTTATTTTGGTTATGGTACAGTAAAGGTTATTTTAATACATGGTCCTCTCTGAACGATTGTGAGTGAACACTGGACGGTCTTTAAACCTCTGTATAGATAACATTATCCCTGCCAATGGACCCTGAGGAAATCGGGATTAATTTTGAGTTAGTATCCCAATATTAGGAAAAGTACATACTTTGATAGAGTTATTTATTAAAGAGATAAAATAGCACTATTTATATCTTACTATTAAAGTCTCTTGCAATTCAGACTTCTGCTGTGTAATAGTTGGTTTATACTGTACAAGTCTGCAGTGTATGTGTTCCTGTTGTAAAACTATTCCGAGGGATTGTTAAATTGCCAGGTTCATTGGTAAGAAGGAACCAGTGTTTTATTATGGCTTGTATTTAACTTAATTGTGAGGTATATACCACATTATGTAAAGAGAAATCAAATAATCGAATGAGTTGAATGTTAGTAAATAAAAAGAGATTCATATGGACAGATAAAGTATAAATTAAAGCTATAATAATAAATAGCAAAAAAAAAAGAATGTAAAAAGCAAGAGAAAATAAGTAAAGAAAAAATGATTGACTTTGTATTACCTATTGGCTACAGCAGAGTCTCTTGGGGACGTCTTGAAAATATTCATATGTTTTTTGACATCATAATTGCTTCCGAACTTCCTTTCACAAAAGGAACTTTGAATTTTTACTGTCAATATTTCTCGAGATGCCTTGTATGATTCGATTTACGATTGAGTATAAGTCTGCAATAGAGATAATAAAACATTTCAGTACAACGTTCGTTTTTCTGTATCCCTTTGCCGCAAACATTTAGGTTGTATGGACTAATGACCTTGGAAGTTAAACAAGCACGAGAAAGACCTTTAGGATATATACAAACGAACAAATCATTAAATGTGATCCGAGTGAGTTGGCTGTAATTAATATAATATTATATTTTACTTGGTCAGGCTTACATTCTCTTTCTCCAAACCTTTTGGAAAATGTCTTTAAAAAAAGTAGACTTTTTATGAGATGAAATACATGGCATTTTATCTGAGGGAAATAGGTGCCTTGGTGTGGAGCTTGAGCTAGACACTCATGCTGATCGAGTTGATCCGAGATATGGTTTACGAGATCCATATCTGTAGAAATGGTAGGCTGTATTTGAGCATATTTTTTTTCCATGTTAATATCACAGAAAGAAATAGAACAATTGACAGTGTTAATAAAGCAACTTACTGAAATACTGTCTGAGATAACCATGGTATTGAGGGTTTCACCACCCAATTTGCGTATAGTTTTGGACACGGTCTTATTTAGAGATCAAAGATGTATTTTGGTGGCTTCTTGTCTGGCTAGAATAAGTAACGAATTCTCATAGAATGAGCTGAATGCGTGGCTATACACGATCTGTTCCTGCTGGTTCAGGTACCATTCATGACGTCTGTGTGTGTTTAATTGTGAGATAGGATAACTATTGGCTTGAAAAACAGGATTTAAAGCCCTAGCCTTACAACTTTCTTCTTCTTTTTCTTACAATGATGTTAAAACCAACTTATTAACAAGGGCTGAGATTGATAATTGAGACAAATACATGTTTTAGAGGTAATTTATTTATAAGCCAAAGTGGGAAAGCTAAGTTTTTGTTTCAAAAACAAAATCAAATTGAAGAACACATCAAGAAAGTGTAAGGTGATTTACTTTGGATCGTTTCTATATTTTTCTTTTCATTACTAAAAGTTCACTGCGGTAAAACGACACAAGAAACAACCAGTGGGTAAGATCAAGTGTGTTAAAAAGTATACCATTAATTTACTAGAATTTTTCTATTGTTAATATTCATTAATAGGTATATCCCGATTCTTCTTTCTTACTTCAGCTTCTACCATTTCCTTTACACACAGCCACAGCCACAGCCACACACACAGATAGATATTCATAAGTAATATTTGGTTTTTTGTTTTGTAGCTTATAGTGTAGGATGAGTATATAAATGTATTTATTATTATTATTATAATTGTGTATTTTGTGTATAGATGAATATGGATATAAATATATGTATGTATACTATATCGATATTGGCTTTTTGGTTGTTTGGTTGTTTGATCTTCTCCTTCTCAATGTCCTTATTCTATTTAAGCAGGGACGTAATCTAAGACACAATATAGATAGATAATTAATATCATGTATATATATATATATAGCAAACGACAATCTCTTAAAAACATTTAAAAGGTTCTTACCGGGGAAACAATCCTTCATGGTCTTGCCGTGCTTGTTCTCAGCATGCTCAGTAAGACTGAATGTATATATAAAAATATTGAACCAATTAGATATCAAAGATAATCATATATATATAAATAAGTAGGTAACATACGCTTTTTCACGACTGGTGCAGAGGAAGGTCTGGAAACACTGCTTGCAGATAATGTTCTTTGCAGCCTCATTCTTTTTTTTTATATATTTATTTAAATTGAAAAGTGAAATTAATACGCAGTAATAGACAATATGTATGTATGTATATTACTAACCACTTTGAGCTGAGAGTTTGCAGCCTTGCCAGCCGACTTTGCGTTGCGTTCACGCTTCATCTGAGCCTTTTGTCCCTGAGATCCCCAAAGAAAATAAAAAAGAGATTAGTTGCTTGTTAATTAGACATCAAGACAGACAATTGTGTTTATTCCTTTAAACATTCAAAGCATTTGTTTTATTATTATTATTAAAAGTGCTTTGGGTTTGTCTAGGTAGGTCATTGATTGATTGTAGTTGATTAACAAAAACGAAACACAAAAATATTTAAAATAAATCGACATACGTTTCCCATAATGACAGTAAAGAGTTTTTTTAAAAAAAAGAAAAGTAAATAAAAAAGGTTCCTTTTTTTTCGCTTTTGTTTTACTTTTTTTCCCTCCTCTTTTTTTTTTCTTTTTTTTTCAGTTGGATCGGTAATTCAAATAACCAATACGAGAAAGAAAGAAAAAAATGCTTATTTTTGCTTTTGTGTGTCTATTTTTGTTTCAATGTTTCAATATTTCTTTGTTATCTTTCTACTTCTTGTAAATATAATATTATTATTTTTGTTTATTATGTTTAGAAGAAGTATTTAGAAGAAGTGTTTATAGTTAAATTCCGAGATAATAAATAGAATTAAGCACAGTAACTTGTGTTATTAAACACACTTTTTATTTTATTTTTGCAACTAACAATAAACTATATATATATATGTTTTATTTTTCTTTTCTTCTATTAAACTCTTTATCATTTTGTAATTCTGTAATTTCAAGTGATTTTGTAACTTCTTGGAATTCACTGAGAGTACTAAATCGTAATTTATCGGGATGTAAAATATATACAGTACTGTATATACATTTTGGGCAGACAATGATTTCTATTTATTTGTTTATTTATTTATTTATATACTTTTTCTTGCTTGACTTTTAAAAATAAAGTCACACCACTTAATGAACCACACATACACACACGGACACACGGATAAAGCCTTTTTGTTGTCGTTGTCGTTGTCGTTGTGTGCAAGTGGTGTGAGGTGTATAAAAGACCCTTTTTTGTATTTTAAAATATACCAATATAAATAAATATTTCCTAATACGTTTTATAGTAATTCAAGAAATTAACGTCATGCAAAAAAATAAAAAAAAAGAAGAGGTGGGTCTATCAATGCATTTCTTATTTATTTAGCCTGTGACGGTAGAAAGATTTATTATACAGCTTGCATATAAAATATTCAAACAAATCATTTTCTTTCCTTCTCTCTTTCATAAAGATTATTTACATACACTAAATAAATATATATAAAATATAAAATATGCAATTAGGTGAACCAATGGCCAGTCCACGTCAATCCAATACTGACGACCTTCCTGACCACATCCCAATCGATGCGGCCATGGTCCCTCAAACCGACCCTTACAAACAATCCCATAGGATCAAGTCTCCCACTGCTGCTGCTGTCCTGGAGCAAAACGCCCATTCTTCTTCCCACGACCTCTCTCAACATAGTCTATCACCAGAGAAATTAGGTGTGACCGGTTATGTTAGGGATGTGGCCGGATTTGTCAAGGATGCTGCCTACCAAGTAATTGACCATGTTGAACACTCCAAGAAAACCCCAATCCATGGTTCAGAAAAGCCATTATCACCATCAACAGGAGCAATAGAGCATGATAACAACTATTCTTCTCAAAATATTCCAATTCCTGATTCACACAAAAAAGATCACCAACACACTACTTCTCTTTCACCTTTGCACACCCAGCCAAGATCCCCTCTGGCCGATGCTGTCACTGGTCTGTTCCCTGGCATAGATGAACACGGTCACGGCTGTCAACACGCAGACACTCTCCGTCGAGAAATGCGCACTCAACATAATGGAACCATTCAACCAAGAATGGGTGGACTCTCTCCATAATTTTCTATTTTTTCTTTAAAAAAAATAAAACTTTTTATATGTATCTATATGCAATAGTACTAGTAGTAACTGGAAGATGTGTGTAATATATTATGTATATAAATATATAGTAATAAAATATATTATTGGTTGTACGCCCATAAACCAACATTAGCCTTTTCCCTTTCTCACACACTAACGAACCTACAAACTAACTAAACTATTCTTTTTATTGTTGTATATATTTCTACTTTATATTATAAAAATTATTAAAATATAATTATAATATAATTTTTTGAATTGAATTCAATTCAATTGATTTTTAATTTTTTAATTTATTTTATATTCTTTCTTGTTCAAAGTAATGCAATCTATCAAATGTGTTGTTGTTGGTGATGGGTAAAGTAACAGGCTCATAATATAAGCATTAAAAAAAAACACATAAACACAATTTTTTTTTAAAAAATAAGAAAATTTGGTTATCATCTTCTAGTGCTGTTGGAAAGACATGTCTGTTGATCTCATACACCACCAATGCATTTCCAGGAGAATACATCCCCACAGTGTAAGCTAATAACAATAGCTAATATTCAATAGCATACCATATATTTATCAGTTTAGCTAACCAACTAAAATGGTTGTTTAGTTTTGACAACTATTCAGCTAATGTGATGGTCGATGGTAAACCCATCAACCTTGGATTATGGGATACAGCAGGACAAGAAGATTATGATCGCCTACGCCCTCTATCTTACCCTCAGACAGACGTATTCCTTTGCTGTTTTTCTCTTGTCAGTCCACCTTCATTCGAAAATATCAAGACAAAGGTATGAAATTGTTTATTTATTATATTGTTTTATATATACCATTTGAGAGTGGGCCCAGGTATTGATAAGATAGAGTAAGATATATAGTAGTTGTAGTGAATGAAATTAAATAAAGTGAGAGAGAGAGAGTATGTGTGTGTGTATGGTATCATATATAAATAAATCTATTTTCTTATACAATCACACATGTGGTGTGGTCTATGTTTGATTGATTGTGTGTGTGTATATATATAGTGGTTCCCTGAAATCAGCCACCACGCACCTAGAATACCAAAGATCCTTGTTGGCACCAAGCTTGATTTACGTGAGGATCAGGATACCATTGGACGCTTAAAGGAAAAGAGAATGTCACCAATCAGCTACACCCAGGGATTGCAGATGGCAAAGGAAATCGGGGCAGTCAAATACCTCGAGTGTTCAGCACTCACCCAGACTGGTCTCAAGAACGTATTCGATGAAGCAATTCGGGCCGTACTCTCACCTACTGTCCATCGAAAGAGAAAGAACAACTGTCTCATCTTGTAAATAATCTAATCTAACCTACCTTAACCCTATCCAATTCAATTCAATTCAATTCAATTCAATTCTAACCTTTATCCTTTTTTACCCTTCAACCCTTCAACCCTTCAACCCTTCAACTTCTTCTTATTCCTCTTTTCCTCCCTTCCTTCCTCTCTTTGACATCTTTATTTTATCCACTCTATATATATATATTTATATCTATATAATAATAATGAATAATAATTTATACAAAATATTCTTATACTGTTATCTATTAACAGACAAACAAAGATGAGAGCCTGTGTAGCTGTCTATTAACCCATTAGTTAATTCATTCCTATAAATAAGCCTCATAATCACCTTCAGTTTGAATACAAGGATAATAGGTATGCGTATGATATTGAAATTTATAGATTTGCTTCTATATTACAATATATCAAAATCCACCATACATTTTCTCTGTACCACATGCGTTTATATATATATAAAGGTCTATAAAATAATGTTCTATTCAACCAAAGACTCAATGATAGACTGAATGGGTAACATGTTTGCATCACCCACAATCACGATATCAAACATTTCCTTGTACTTTGGCTCAAGTGCCTCGATGTCGTGGTTGAGGAATCCGATATTGAGACACATCTCGTGGCGCACGCCTTTGCTCATCTGGAGATCGCCAAGAGAATCACCGACCAGGATCACATTCTGCCGATTCTCGATCTGAGAATAGTAGTCTGTGGTCTCGAGTTGGAACTCGCTCTTGTTGAACACATGGATCAAAGGCTCCCTAAAGCCCACACACACTCCGCCGCCCTTGCCGACATCCGAGTTGAATTCCATCATGTTGGATACAATGTGCATGTTCTTGAAGTATAGTCCGGCATGCACCAGAACGTCTTCGATGATGTTTCCGATCCCGGCCGAAAAGACAAGAAACGGAATCTTGCTTGCCGCACACCGGTCAAGGACTTCTTTAAGTACAGGGCGTAATTCAAGGCGGGCTTCTTGTACCATGTCCGTAATGTCTATAAGCATAATTTATTTTAGAAAGAAAGAAAGAAAGAAAGAAATAGTGTGAGTAAGTAGGTAAAGTGGTGTCTTTTGGTTTAGATTGAAAAAGAAGAAGAAGAAGAAGAAAAGGAACATCGAAATTGCATGTGTGTACATGTAAATTTAAATATATGTGCTTGTAAAAGACAGGTACAGATAGATAGATAGATAGATAGATAGACAGATATATAGGTTTTATTTATAATGACAATCAAACATTTTGTTTCACTTTTCCTTTCAGTCTTACTCTTATTCTCACTATCATTTTCCCTTTTTTATATTTATCTTTATCATTACCATATTTTGTGATCTTTTGGTCGATGATCAACTTGTGGGCAGTTTCCCACCACTCAATCATGAACGGTACCTTTTCTTCATGAGTCATGGACCGGTTGATTTCAATAGGATAATAGGTATTGTAGATCTTCTTGGTCGCCGCCTTGAACTAAAAAATCACACAAGTTAAAAAATAAGCAAAATCAAAAATGCGACAATATATATATATATTAGAACACGCATGCATATGTGGGTGTGCGAGTGTGCGAGTGTGCGAGTGCGTGAGTGCGTGGGTGCGTGGGTGCGTGGGTGTACTGTACTGTACTGTACTGTACTGTACTGATAGCTTGGTTTGCAATATACATTTATTTTAAAGCACTTTACTTACTTCTGGGCTTATCTTGGAATACTTTCCGGGAATACCATGAGAAGAAGCATTACGCTCCAAAGCATCTGTCTCATGATTCCTTACCCAATGACGAGACATTGTCATGTCAAAATCTATAAATGAAACAAAAAAGTACAATGTTTGTGTGAGTACGGATAGATATGTAAAATACTTGCCCTGTCTATTTTTTTGTTTCGCTTTTTCTATATATATATATTTCTTTTGGTGGATTAGATTTGTGTTTTACTTACCACAGATGAAATGAAGATTACTAGGTCCATCGTTAAGAATCTTGGTCAACTTGTTCTTTGTGACAATTTGGTTTTGAATCCGAACAGTAGGGTTCTGTAATAAACGAGTAACTATAAACATTATGTGTATACGTAGTATGTCAAGAATAAAGAAGAAGAAGAAGAAGAAGACAAAAAAGACAAATAAAAAAGATAGATAGAGAGAGAGAAAATGATAGGTTATTACACATACAACCAGACAGACAGACAGAGATAAAGAGAAGAAGAAAAGAAACAAAACAAAAAAAAGATATATAGATATGTATGTATATTTTGTACGTGTATAAGTGTGAGGTTGTACACTACACCTATATGTCTATCTATCTATACGTCTACATTTAATTAATTCATTCATATAATATATATATATATAAGTATAAATATATAAGGTGGGTTATAAGTCTGTAGATATAGTTGTCTAATTTTTCGATAAAGAAGTACCTCAAATGTATATATACATTTTACATGAAAATATAATAGAAAGAAAGAAATATGTATTGTGTATCTTTGGCTTACCTAACAGATTTGCTTTTTCGGTTACTGTAATTGCACTTTGTCGCATATTTAGACTAGATTTTTTTAAGGAAGAAAAGGAAGCCAGAAAGTAAAATTAAAATAGATCGATTTTAAGAAAAAGCTACTATTCAGGAGGGAGAATTTATTTTAAATTTTATATATAAAAGATTGATGTATACGGACAATCACACAAAATAAATAACCAAAGATCATTTACACAAACCTTAGCACAATCATTGTGACTACCAAAAAAACAGCGGAGTGAGCCAAGTAAAGCACCATTATCTTCTTTTTGTCTTTCTTTATCTTTAACAGAACAATACCTAATCGTTTGCAAAGTATGCCATAGTATATCCTATATATATATATATATATATATGTATATATAATTTTGTTTTACTTTAGACCCTTGAAAAATGATCTATACTTTATACTATGGAACGATTTTCTAATATTAAGATGAATATTAGTGTGTGTGTGTGTGCGCACAATACGATAAAGTAAATAAAACATACACCAAATATGAAGAAGAAGATTAAATACTTGATTGTTATGTGGAGCTTACCAGCACAATTATCACTGTTCAATCCAAGCTAGCCGACTCATCTTTATTTGATTTTCTTTTATAGGAAAATATATATAATAAGAAAAAAAGAGACAAAAAGTGGAATACAAGTGATAGGCGCCAGGTTATTAATTTAGATCCAGGCCAGAAAGGAATTACATTCTTGCTTACTGAACAACGTTCACATTATTTTGTAATTTCTTCAAGGTAGTTGTGAATTCCATTAATTAAACTTGTGTATATATCAATTGAAACAAAAAACAACAAAATGTCTCAAACGTACAATCAAATAAATACTCGCAAACATTAACAACTAAAGAAGAAGAACAAGACATAATATTTTGGTTTGGTTTGGTTTGGCTTGGTTTTTATTTTTGTACAAGAGAGAATAAAGAAAATCATATTTATATTTATATACAGGCATAGATACACACTCACAGAAACATATTACTATTATTATTATTATTATTATTTATATATCTAGTATTAATTATTTTAAAGAATAATAAAAAAAATTAAACAAGATAGAGAATATCATTTTCTTTAATCAAGCACCAAGTCTGCGACAACTGCAACAACCTTTTCAGGAAACTCGCGCTGGACCATCAGATCAAGTACTCGCTTGGCTTCGACAACCATATCATTGTCAAGATAAGCCCGTACCATGGCCTCAAATGTACTTGGCTCCCGAATCACAACAACCTTTTCGTTGTTGTTGTTGTTGTTGTTAGTGGTCTGGCGGTCATCGGTCATGGCCTCAAACATCTGCTCGGCTTTGTGGATCTGCTTCTTGGCACCATATCCACGGATAAACAGATTCTCGATGTACGGCGAACTGCTCTTGACGATTGAGCCCATCATGTCCTGGTCGTGGTACATGGCCTCGGCACGCTCCAGACAATCGTTGCTGATCAGGGTATCTAGCATGGCCTGGTAGACCGCCTCGTCGGCCTGGACCTTGGCCTTGTTCATCTCCTCAAACACTCGCTCGGCGCTCTTGAGATCGCGCTGCAGAGTACCGTAGGCATAGATCAAGGTGGCGTAGTGGGTGGCCTGAGGGCGGAGCCTGTCCTTGCGCTCCATGTCGTGCAGCATCCGGTGGGCCATTGGCATGTCATAAGGGGCCATGGATGCATAGGCTTCCATCAACAGCTTGTAGGTGTGCACAGACGGCTTGATGTGACGGCGGCGCATCTCGCCAAAGTACTCCAGGACCCGCTCGCGGTTGGGCTGCTGGCGTACATAGAACTGCATCATGTTGTTGAACGGACCGACCCGGGGCTGGTAGACCGATGAAGACAGCATCTCGCCAAAGAATCTGCGTGCATGTACCTCGGATCCGGCACGCACACAGGCCGAGATGATGGTACCATAGGTGATCGCATTGGGTGCCACCTTGAGCTGGCGCATCTCCTCAAACAGACCCAGGGCATGGTCGAGCTTGCGGGCCTTGGCAAGCTTGGAGATAATGACGTTGTAGAAAAAGGTAGTTGGCTTGACTCCATGGCGTCTGGCCTCGTCGTGGATAATCAACGCATCGGTAGCCTCGTCAGTGGCACACTGCGCACTGCCGAGCAACAAACTAGCATAGCCGTTACTGTCGGGGTAGTGGCCCATCTGCTTGAGTTTGTCGTAGTACTTCTTGGCCAGGACCATGTCGCCTTGCTGAGCACAGCCGATCAAAACACTGTTGGTCGCCATGTAGACAGCCCGGTCGCGGCACACGTGGCCAAGGTTCTTGTAGCAGTCCATCGAGAGGTGGTAGAGCATCAGGGCAGCATCGAGATGGCCTTGCTTGCCGGCAAGTGCAATTGCATCGCGCATGACTTCCGCCACTGGTACACGGTCCTTGGCAACAAACTCTCGTTTCAAGAGCTCAATAGCCTCGCCAACCTCGCTGCGCATGACAAGCTTCATCAGGTCCTCCGAGATTGTCTCCGACTCGGTCGACATGGGGTGCACAAGCTGGGACGGGCAGTATTCCAGGGCCGCCTTCCACTCGTCTGCAAGCTCGGTGTGGCCGGACGACCGCAGGTGTGCACTGACACTCGAGACACATGCCGATGGTAGGCCTGCAACATGCTGGCTGGCAAGGATCTGACGGACCACGTCCTCGAAACCGGCTGCAACTCCTTGGTGTTTCTTGTCACACATTGTCAACAGTGCAGCCTCGCACAGAACAGTGCAGTCAGACGCACTCAAGAGGCCGCGGTACTCGACCCGGCTAAAGGTGTCCATCAACAGACAGGCAAGCGAGTTTGGAATGCCATTGATGCTGCTGTTGTTCAGAACGGGGCCCATGACGTGGAGACAGTCGATTGACTGGCGCAGGCTGCTGGCTGTGCGCATGATCTCGGATGCAGCATTGACCAGATGGCCGGACCCCTTCAGGACAGCCCGAGGAGACATGGACTGGATCATGGTCAAGAGAGCACCGATAGCCTGGGCGGTCTCGCGCTTGGTCGAAAAGGAAACAACGATGCGCTCAGCCAGCATCGGATCGGGTTCTAGGCCGCTGGCACGCATCACATCAACCACCTCGAGGGCCTTGTGGCGGTGCTGGTGCGAGATGCAGAGCAGACAGTAGTTTGCCAGGTTACCATAGGACTTTGAGATGTCGGTCTGGATCAGATCGTCATAGACTTTGGTGGCCGACTCAAACACGTTTGTGGAACTGTGGATACTCTGGCAGTAAGCCGAAAGGATCGGACCATAGCTGCTTGCATCCGGACAGGGCATTTCCGGATCAGTCTTGAGACGCTCGATCAGCTCCTGGGCTTTGGCCATCTCGCCATGGGAGCAGTAGTGGCGAATGATAGAGTTGAACGGAATCATGGTCAGCTTGATGTTGTCCCGGACCATGTCGGTCTCGACCACCTTGAGTGCACCGTCCAAAAGTCCGCACTTGAGGTGAGAGTCTACCAAGGCATTGTAGACATATGAGGCATCGTGCACACCAAGCTGGGACTTGACGGAACAGTAGGTCTCAAAGAAGCGCAATGCAGATGACAGGTCCCCAGCACGGCCAAACAGATTGATCAGGGCTGCAAAGGTGGCCGAGGTTGGTGTGATGGACATCTTCTCGATCTGATCATAGACAAACATGGCATCGACGGTCGAGCCATAGTGAGACAGGACTCGGAGCAGCTGGTTGAAGAGATCGATGTCGAATGAACGAGCAGGGTGTGTGGCCATGGCAAGCTTGAAGATCTCGACTGCCTTGGCGATATTGTTTTCGGCCTCTAGGAGGGCAATGTCGTCTCTGCCCTGAGGACCTGTGCGAGCAGACTGGCGCTTGAGCATGGCTACAGTCTTTTGGACCTCCACATCACGTTTACAGAATGTGCGGATTAGAATTGCATGGAGCTGAGGGGAAGGGCGAGACTTTGAGGCACACATTTCGTCGTAGACTTTTTTTTTTAAAAAAAAACAGAAAGAAAGAATAGTAATTTAGTATTTATATATTTGTCAAGTTAAATTAAATCAAACTAATTGCTTAATTTGTATTTTTACCTTTGATAAGAACAGTCAATGGAGAACCTTCTCGACGTAGTGTGGCCTGTGCTTCGAGTACGATACTGTAGGTCTGGAGATTGATTGGAGTGTTATGTTTCTTCATCTGTGCAAATTCGGACATGAGAGCCTTGAGGTTTCCGTCTTGCTTGGCTGACATAAGACGACCATTTGTTTCAAAGACTACTTGGTTCGATGGACGGGCAGGAGATGTGGTTGGTGAGGAAGGTGGAGTGAGAGGAGATGTCTGGGAAGTTGTTGGTGTGGTGCTCTTTTCGTCGTCCCAGGATTGAATTGTTGGAGAGACTGGTCTGGTGACGGTTTGGAAGCAAGGTGAAGAGTATGCTTTTTTGTTGGTGCGAGAGTTGTAAGGGCGAGAGTTGATCTTTTGTGTGTGGGCAGCAGGTGATTTGATTGTAGTAGAAGATGTGTTGGATGCTTGTGCGGTTGTCGTTCTTGTTGTGGTTGTAGCATTAGTGGCAGATGTATATTTGGGAGTCAATGAAGACAATGTAGAGGTAGCAATTTGAGCAGTCATGATAATATCAGTAATAAGAGAGTGTGAGAGTAAAGGAAAAGATGTGTTATGTATGTAAAGATGTATGTATAGATGTGAATTAACGTAGAAAGATAATACGGATGAGTCAAAAGAAGTAGAAGATTTAGATACAATGAGAAGAAAGATAAAGAGAAGAGAAAGGCAATAGGTACCCTTTATATATACTTGTACCAATTTTTCTCTCTCTCTCTTTTTATGTCGTAATATAAATAGAGTTTTTTCTTTTATTGCCAATGAAAAATACTATAATTTCTTTATTGGCTTCTTGGAATTCGTTATCAGATCCTTTCACTCCGCCTTTTCTTTGTTTTTTTTATATAGTATATATATATTCTGATGCTGATGATTGGCGATCCTGTCCTGTCGTAGAATCTATTTATTTATATATTATACAATTGATATTTAACATAACTATACCACCAACTGGAAATATGGACCTGCCTGCATTGCCTATGTGTATAATAGGACTAGAACATGTGATCGGAAAAATGAACAAGACGGTTAATCTTATTTCTTACAATATATTTATAATATTTATGTTATATAAGCATCATAAATATACATATCAACTATATACAGATTTTCACATAATGTATATATTTCGATCAGATAACAGATAATAAAAGAAAACAATCTTTCTTTTGTTCTACCCCGAGTAACACACACGCACATATATATAAAGATAGATAGATTGTTATAAAAAAAATCAAGATCCTTTTATGGCAAGTATCCAATTCTTTTCTTTTTCTTTTTGGATTTTTTTTTATCAGATCTTGACGATGATCTATACAGATCTATACATATATTTGTTAGTTGCTATGTGAAAATATTTCTTGGGGGCTTTTTATTTATCTTGTTTTTTTTTGGAGGCGCGCATCTTCGGAAATTGTGGAAAGAAGAAAAAAAATCGAGTTACATTTCTTTAGGTTTATTTCCTAAATTAATATGGTTTGTGTAGTAGTTTGGTAGTCATAGTAATACATTGCACTGGTTACTATCACTTATTGTGTGTTTATGTGTTCATAATTAAAAGAATAAAGAAAGAAAGAAAGAAATATGTAGATAATATATATTATTATTATACTATAGTATAATGTAGTGTAGCGTGGTGTATTGTAGCCCAGTGTAGTGTAGTGCAGGGCAGAGTACTTTTTTTCTTTATCTTTTTTTTTTAGATTTTAAGATTGGATCTGATAACTCTGGACATATGGCCCTCTCCATCTTTGACACATCACTGTTTTTGTACAGTGTAGTCACATAATTATTCCTTGTTCTTATTTTCTTTATTATTTTTTTAAAAAAAAGGGTGTCTTGCAAAAGCAGCAAATTAATAGGAATGTATATACATCTTTACATAAACCTTTGAGATATTTCAAATGGTTCTTTAGTTTAATTATTTTAATTCATATTACATACACATAATTTTATTTCCAACCCTTTCATTTACTTGCTTCTACTGTTGAAATTCCTATTCCTATAAATATTCCTATTGTTATTTGCTGTTGCTGTTTTATTTTTTAGATTCTTTCTTTATATCAATAGCTAATCTACTGTCAAAAGATAATCATTTATCTATCTTTCATTGTATGTACATGTATAAATATATACGTACATATTTTAAAATATTGATACAATATATTGAAAGACCAGTCTGGAGCGGCGAAACAATAGAAGTGAAGTAATAATAAACAAATAATAAAAATAATAAAAAAGGAACCAAAGAAAGATCTGATAACTTTCTTTACTCTTAAATAATTTATACATCATATATTATAAAAGCGTCATTGGTAACACAATATTCAGTTCAAGCCAATTCAGCTCAATCCAATCCAATTCAATTCAATTCAACAATAATAATGATAAATTTTATTTATCTTGTCTGTAGAATCATACTTTATATTATATTATATAATTGCTATTACTACCATTACGATTATGATTACTATTACTATTACTTATTGCTACCACTATCACTATCGCTATCACTTGTTACTTGTTACGATTTAATATCATTATTATTTCTTCCTTTCTTTTTAATATTAATTAAAACGTGCTATCAAAAGGTTGCAATACAATTTAATCTATTTTATTGCTTTTTCTTTTTTTTCTTTCTTATTCAATATTCATTATTTATTACTCATTTCTATACAAGTGAGTTTTTTTTTTTCTTTTATTTGAATTTGAATTAATTTATTGATCCAAGGATTATTTTCGATCATTTATTTTACTTTATTTATAAAAGGAGCCAAAAGAAAGAGGGGAAGAGTGGGGAGAAAGAGGAGAGAGAGGGAGAGAGGGAGAAAATGAGGGGGATGTTGAGTCTACCAAGCCACGCGTTTGAAGTGGTTTGTCATTTGTACCACAGCACAGTTTACTTTTTTCTTTTTGAAAAAAAAAAAATATTTATCAGATCCTTTAATCAGCAACGGTTTGGCCAATCATATACCAAATATTTATCAGATCTGATCAAATACACATGTACCTTCTTTTTTTGTTGTTGTTGTTGTTGAAATACACTTATTTCTTGTAACCATGAATACCAGTTAAATAATAATAATAATGTATATTTTTTATACTATATATATAAAAATAAAGATGTAAAATGTCAACCTTAATCTTAATCTAGAAATGTACTTCTCTTTTTTTCTATAAAAAAAATAAAGAAAAGGATCTGATAACTTTTATTTTTTGTCTTTCTTTTTTTTACCTTGTATTTATTTATTTCAAACATTTATATACATACACATATACATATAGATATAGATATGCATATGTAGGTATTAATATAAATAAACAAGAATAGAATTGATTAGGAATGACTTGTTTGTTTTTTGTTTTTTTTTGCTTGTAACAAAATGAATTGAACTTAATATTGTGACTGTGCAAGCATGTACATACACATATACATATACATATACATATACATATACACATACATATACACAAAGGTACACACACATATTAAATTATAATATTTTGCTTTTTTTACTATAATTTAATATATGTATATATCTATATGTACACTGTGTACCATGTGTGTATGTGGGTATATATAACACAATACAAATACACACACACATATGTATATATAAAGAAAGAAAGAGTAGTACCGTTTGCTTGGCATTTTAATTTATTACCATGGTACCCGTATTCTTTTCTTCTTGTCATATTATTTAGTCTTTAGTCTTTAAGTTTTAATCTTTAGTGCGTGCTTGTGTGTGCATTTGTCTGGACTCTGGTTGACCGATCTATTAGATATAAACATATATTCTTTTTTTATTGTTGTTGCTGTTGTTGTTTATTATAATATATGTAGTTTACAGTTCTTCTTTGTTTCCGTTTATATTGTATGCATAAGGCGCTGTTGCCATCAAATTCCGTTGTTATTTACTATAGGTTTTATCAGACTTGATTGTTATTCGATCCTTTTTTGATAGCTCTTGTGCATAATCTTCACTGTGTATATCTGTGTACACCCTCACCCCTACCCTTACCCTTACCATTACCCTTACCATCATTATATCTATCTATCTCTCTCTCTCTCTCTTTCTCTTTCTTTGAGTCACTTCTTTCTTCTTTTATCTCCTCTCTTATTTCTCTCCTTAATCACACACATATATATATATATATATATATATATATGTATTGTATAGTAAAACAACAGATTGGCTCAATAAAGATAATGAACAAATTACACTCAATGAAAATTATATACAAGTAATACACAGATACTTAATTGCTATTTACATGTGTATTGTTAATATATATTTATATATATTTGGTTTGTTGGTTGCTTGATAAACAAAAGTAGATTTTCATATATCTATAATGAAACACACTACAGTTCAATTCAATTCAATTCAATTAATTCAATCAATCAATTTATTTATCAGTCAACCAAGTATATCAGTCATTTATCTATTCAGTCATTTGATTATGTATTTAGTTAGTTAGTTAGTCAGTCTGTTAAAATGTGGGGGGTTAATTGTACTTCTTCTTTTATATATATACATGTAAGACTACATGGTCTTTTTATTATTATTGATAACTTGTAATATAATATATATTATTATAAGCTTTAAAGAGAGATAGAGAAAAAGATAGATTGTTGAATCCCCCCCTTTATTTTCTATTTATCTTTTACCTCTGTGTCTTATATAAATTGTTCTTGTTTTTTATAATATTTGTATGTATCTGTGTGTGTGTTTGTGTGTTGTGTGCATATCATTATAAATCGAAGATCGCAAATTTATCTACAAAAAAGCAAACCAATACACGGAATAAGATCTTCAAATGCATTCCTGTGAAGTAGAATTACGTCAGGAAAACTAAGGATTGCAGACCCCCATTCACAGTTGGTCCTTTTTTTTTATTTCCTTTTTATCTTTTATGTTGAACTTTGAACTTTGAATCTTCAAGTCTTCAACCCCCCCTTCTTTCGTTCGTTCGTTGGTTTGTTCGTTATTTTGTCTTATTTTATCTATATGTGATTTAGAACTCTCCTTGTTATAGATAATTTTTTATTTATTTATTTATTTATTTATTGTTTGTTTGTTATGAAACAACTTGTATTAAAATAATATAAATTCATACTAATCAAAATAATTCTAATCAAAATGATCATAATAATCATAACAATAAAGGAAATGGAGCCTATTGGACCAAAAGGCTCGTACAACCCATCATCTGGGGGACCAAGTATTTTTATATATACTAAAAATTTGTGTGTGGAAATAATTATGGTGTCTGTATACTATGTACAGTGTGTACAGTTTGTACGGTTTGTATAGTATGTGTGCGTGTGCGTGTGCGTGTGCGTGTGTGTCTTGAAGTGATGCCATGCGTATATATGTATTTGTATATTTTGTGTTCTAAAATTATAAGCAAAGAATTACAATTTTTGTTGAATTTATTTTTTTGAATTGAATTGAGGATTCCTATTCATTTTACACATACATACGCATGTTTATATGCTTATTTCTGTACACAATACATCACAATACTAAAAGCACATCACATCGCACTACAATTAAAGCATAGCATAATTAAATAGATAAGTAAAAAATCAGAAAGTAGGGCCAAGTAAAGCAAAGTACACCACAGAGCAGGGCAGTACAGAATGATACAGAATCAATCAATCAATCTCTCTGTCTTGCTTCTCACTGTCCTTCTACCTTTATCCCCCTCTATTCCTATAATTTCTATATTTCCTTGGATTTACTTGGGTTTACATTACGTAGATAATTTTGTTTTAAAGATCATAACAGATTTCATATACAAATCAAAGAAACCCAAAAAAAAAACAAAAAACAAAAATAGAGGGTGAGAAAAGGATCTAATTTTTTTATTCTTCTTCTTCCTCTTTAGCACTGCCAAGGGATTGCTTGTCTTTCAATTCTCCTTCACCCCAAATCAGTACCAACCGAACCAACGCCAGCAAAAGCAGCAGCAACAAAAAAAAAGACAAAAAGAAAAAAGAAAAAAAACCCCCTCCCCCCACCCCACTTCACCCTACTCCACCCAACTACCCCCTCATTTTTTTTCTTAAAGAAACTATTCTTATAATTACTATAATTATTATAATTATTACTATAATTTTAATGGCTCGGTTAAACAATTATATATCTTACATATAAATGTACATGTACATACATAATACATACATAATACATAATAAAATGTAGTACAGTACAGTACAGTACAGTACAGAAACCAAGAAACCAAGAAACCAAGCCAGAAACCACAAGGAAGCAAGATAGAGAGAGAGAGAGAGAGAAAAGGCGATAAATTACATGTGATTAAAGACCGTGTTAACTCCCTCTCAATCTCCCCCCATCCCCCACTCATAAATAAATAAAAATAAAAATAAAAATAAAAATAAAAATAAAATCCCAATATAATAAACTTTTTTTTCTTATTATACTACCACCGCCATTAAGCACCACCAACCACCATTGACTATCACAAAAATACCAATACCAAACCACCGCTATAATAATTATCACCGACCAATTTATTATCATTACAGACACACATACAAGCACACGCACGCTAGAATTACAAACTATTAACAGTAAAATAAAATATCAATTTAGACCAAGACTTTCTTTTTCTTTTTCTTTTTTTTTTATCCAAATAGAAAAGCTTGGATTTTTTTTTATTCATTTGTATTTAATAAGCACTTTGAAGAATTGGCCTTTTCCTCTTTTTTTTTTAGTATCTTTTTTTTTGTTTCCTATTCACTTTACTTTTTGTATCATCAACTTCAAATACCAAAGAAGTATTTCTATATAACCCCCCTTCAATTTTACGCACTATTGTCACAACAATCACCATAGCTACCGTCACCATAGCTACCACTGTCACCATAACTACCTTTAATTTTACTTTTACTTCTTCTACTTCTTCTACTTCTTCTACTTCTTCCTTTACTACTACTACATTTATATATATATAAATACAAAAAGACAATAAATCAGAGGAATAAATCAATACAAAGAAGAAAAAAATGAAGGTTGCATCTCATCCACTATCAGTCTATCATACCTCGATTTATGATGGATCTCCTACTCTACTGCCAGACAACGTTGCAAATTTCATCTCAACCGCGTCCCTGGCTACTCGACTATCTCTCCGATTCTCGTCTCTCTTTCTCGAAGCCATGTTCGATGCCGCAAAATGCGGAACAGTCCTATCACTTGGAGTATCCCGACAAGCTCTTATCAATGCATTCTCATCAGCCCAAACAAGACATGCATTACTTGAAGCAGCACCAAATAATAATATCAACAGCAACAAAAACAACAACAACAATAGCAGCAGCAGCAGTTCAAACGAAACACAAGACAGGTAAATATTTACACGAAATTTAAGCATACGCATACACACATATACACAAACAGACACAAACATACACAAACATACACTAAAACATTTATTATTATTACTATTAGTGGGTTTTTGGAAGTCCTTGAAAGATACACAGGCCTAGGAATTCATCTCATACATCACACATTTACAGTTGCAGAATTGTTTGCAATGTCTGGTCTTCAACTAACCTCAAAGGCTGTAAAGACTAGCTTAAAGGTAAACATCTAAAGAATAAAACAACCACTAAACACCCACACACCCACACACCCACACAATATTATATACACACCATTATATTCTTCTGCCTTTTTTTTAAAATAAATAAATAAATAATAATAATAATTTAATTTAATTTAATTCGATTTTAATTTAATTCGATTTAATCTAATATAATCTTTTTATTTGTTTTTTTTTTGTTTTTTTTTTAGGCAGTAGAAGAATCAGTACGTGTGCTGGATGGAATATTTGGATCTAGTGAAACCTCTAGAGCCATTGCTGGGATTGTCACCCTTATGCACCGCGAAATCATGAACGATCCAAACTTTGAACTTGCCAAAGAAGGCAAGATTGCCATACTCACCGGCCTTACCAGAGCAATCACCACATTTGCGGTTCTCCAGAGTCTGACCCACCAGCGAACAATGAAACAGTTCAAGATGACGGTCTTGTGGAAAGGTGTCGTGGTCGAAGATGAACAAGGTCAGCAGGGACTGATCCAGTTTCATGCTCACAACCCAGCTCAATCACAAGCTCAAGTGCAAGCGCAAGCTTCAACACCGGCAGCCGCACCAGCGCAAGTTTCAGTACCTGTTTCTGTTTCTGCTTCTGTTCCTGGAACTGGAAATGTACCTATCTTACCTTTGTCGTCGGCATCAACAATACATACCAAACAAGAAGATTATGAAGACATCATTTTTGAACTTCAAGCCATGTTGGCCAGTCACGAAGCCGAATCTCTTAATGGAGCAAAAGAAACCCAAGAAACCAGCCATAACAACAGCAACTGTAAAAAGGCGTGGCCGGTATCTCCACTTTATGAAATCACTGCTACAACCAATACACGTTCCACACGGACTACCCGGATTCGGCCAATAGATACTTTATCATCATCTTTATCCCCATCTTGTCAGCCGAATCAACCAGCTGCCAAATACGTAGTCGTACAGACCGATCAAGTTGACACAGAGTCATTTGTGGCAATCATCGACCGTGAAGACGAATCGACCGGCAGTAGCGAGTGGGTCTGGAATGATCAGCTCCTAGAAGAAACCGAATGCGACGAAAGATCCAACATTCTCTTGGCCAAGATCTCTCCAAAGACTACTCAACGACACACCGGTCGCAGCGAGACATGCGGATACACAGACGACAATATCCACCTACAGTTCTGCAGACAGGATCCTATTTCTGTTATTGTACCAATCGATCATCGTATATCACAAACATCAACACCGACCCAAGGATTGGTAGCAGGAGCAGGACAGTCGTCAATGATTGACCAAGATGAGTCTAAGCATCGTCGACGCCATAATAATAATAATCATCATCATCATCATCATCGCCATAGCCACCACGGTAATAGCAGCCACAGCAACTATAGTTCTTCAGATCGAAGAAACAAGCATCGGTCGTGTTCATCTGTATTATCCTACACAGAATATCCTGCGACCACCGCTGCTGCTGTCGCTACCGCAACTGCCGCAGCTCCAAACATCACTGGCAGCAACAGTAGCCACATATCATCTAGCCGACGGAGTTCCTGTGAAGGCAGCCAATCTTCGCATTCATCCAACGGTAGCACCACTTACCACACTATCCATACCTCGACACCGCCTCTCTTTACAAATCCAAGTCTATCCCATCATCACTCTACTTCTTCCTTATCTTCATCGTCATCGACTTTGTCTTCGTCTTCCACTTCATCTCTACATATGTCTATGGTTCCTGGTGCACCACTTGACGGCGAACCAAGCCCACACAACTTCCCTCGTAACCATATCATCAACAACATTGCACACTTTATGCGTTATGCGAGCGCAGCCTACGGAGAGTCGTTTATGCGTATCCTGGGCATCGGAGACATCCCCAGCGCGTTTCCTGCATCGGCCGACCACCCCAACCACCATGCATTTGCACACCACACTGGCGTGCCGATCCAAGACATCCTTCTGTCGAGCTACACTGACGCCTCGCTGCTGAGTTCGATGCACCACCCGTCCATGCACGCACTGGTGCACTATGTTGCGGTCGACCATCAGGCCAAGGCGATTGTGCTGACCTGCCGTGGAACTCTTGGACTGAGTGACATCTTGACCGATCTGACGTGCGGCTACGTTGACTTTGATTTACCGACCGACCAACCCGGCCTTCCTCCTGTGCGTTACAGGGCGCACGGCGGTATGCTCGATGCTGCACAGCGCCTGGCGGCACGTGAAAAGGGCCGTGTCTTCCAGACGATCCGCCAGGGGCTGCAGCGCTACCCTGAGTACGGGCTCGTGCTGTGCGGACACTCGCTCGGAGGAGGAGTGGTCGGGCTTCTGAGCGTCATATGGAGCGAGCGGCGAGAACAGGCCGTGAGCCGTCTGCAGCGGTCAGGTGCGGGTATCTACAACAGTACCAACCCGGACTCATATGAAGACATGGATGTCGATTTCAATTTCGATCTTGATGTCGATCTTGATGATGTTACGATGAGCCCAGGCTTTGCAACAGATCCTGTTCCATTTGTCACGTCTCCGTTCTCGGGTTTACCGGCCGGGCGACCGATCCACTGCTATACGTATGGCCCACCGTGCTGCATGTCGCTTGAGCTGAGCGAGTACTGTGGCCAAGGCTTGGTGACCAGCGTGGTGCACGGGTACGATTTCGTGAGTGGCCTGAGCATCGGCTTACTCAAGGATCTCAAGAACGTCGCACAGACCCTGCACACCGAAAGCAACATCACGGACGAGATCATCGGGCGCCTGATTGGCCAGCAGACCAACAAGATCTTCCAGCCAACTGGACCCTTTAGGGTTCCGGATGAAGAGTACAGCGAAGACGACCAGTGGTTCTGGGCACTCATCAAGACCATGAGGGCCGACATGACGGGCGAGAAGATCTACCCGCCAAGCACGATCTATCATATCAAGACCACGCCGCATTCTAGTCACTCGCGAGACAACTCGCCCATAGGTTCGCAGTCGATCGGCTCGGCCGCCCATACGGTTGTCCTGAGCCGGTGTGAAGACGTCAAGGCGAGGTTTTCTGAGATCATATTCACCAAGAGCATGTTTATGGACCATTCGCCAAATGTGTATGAAAAGGTCATTCGGCAATTGTGCCGAGGATTCTTTGATCAGAAAGGTGCCTATGACCAGGTCTGAATAAGAGGCAACAAAATATATAGTATATCTTTCATTATCATTATCATTGTTATTAATATTTTAGATATATATATATATATATACTCACTCACTTTAAACTTCTTTACCCACATTTATATATACATCTAAACACACACACACACACACACGCACATTATATTATATTATATTTCTACTATACACTCATACAGTAATAGCTGCCTCTTTTCCTTCTTTCTTAAATATCCTTCTGTAATAAAGCAATAGAGTTTCTACTTATTATCATAGCTGTTACTGTCGTACCATATATGTATGATAAGTTGGTAAAGTAAGACTGTTAAAAAGAAACATTCAACAACGAATAGTAAGGAGGAATGAATGAAAAATAAAGGTAACTAGATAAATAGATAGATAAGATAGACGGGAAAAAAAATGTACATTTAGTAAGGACAAAAAGAAAAGGGGGAAGAATAAAGCTTTAAAGTAATATATATATATATATATATATATATATATAAGAGAGAGAGTGTGTGTGTGTGTGTGTGTGAATGAGTAGGTAAGCAAAGGAGTAAAGTGTAGCGTGAGATGGTGGGTGAGTGGAGGTTTATATGTAGATGAGTGAGTTTGTCTATATGTAATTATATATATATATAAAGAAGTGAAAAAAGATAAAAGAAAAGAAAAGAATGATACTATGACTGTGCAATCAAATCTCCCATCATATCACGTAAATAGCCTTTATAGATTGCCAGTGCACTTGGAGGATCGCGAGTGTACATTCGCCCCAGACGCTCTGCCTCGGCCTGCTTTGTTTGCCAGATATCCAGCTGTCTAAAGAACTCGGTGTGGATATGGTTCAGTACTTTCTTGACAACTGTGTCGAGCGTAACCGACCAGCACTCAGACCCAAGGTGCTTCTTGACCATGATGATGTTCTCACGTTGTTCGGCTGGCCACATGCGCTCTTCGTCATCGATTGTGATCGGCAGCGTAAATCCAGAGCCAAGCGATTGGTCTTTGAGTTCACAGAATGCGTAGAGAGCCAAGAGGTTCTTTGGAGGCCTGCTTTGTTCTGTCGAGCGTTGGATATAGTCGTATTCGCTCCGAGCAGAGTAAAGGATTCCGTGGACGTATCTACGTTGAGGATCAATGACACTGACGACATTTTCTACATATTGTTGATCACTAGATATATATATATATATGTGTGTGTCGTATATATAAATGAATTAATTAATTAATGAATGGATTGATTGGTTGGTAGGTTGATTAGTATTTTTGTTTTGTTTTGTGTGGTACGTGGATCGTATGATATACATATGCATATAATCAAAAAAAAAGGAGAATATGACTCGTCTTTTCTTTTTAATTACAGAATACATTTCTTATTGCTTACCCTAATGAACAGATTGAGATTTCAAAGAGAGTGCTTGCCCACTCGAGAAACTCCTTTACTCGTTCGGTAAGGACAATCTTTCGCCCATCGCTCATCAATGAAACACGATCTCCGTCTATAAAACCAATTGTATATAAAAGAATGTGTGTGTGTGTGTGAGAGAGAGAGATAGATAATGTGACGCTAGAGTCATAAACCTTGTAAATAAACTTACACAAGTGAAGGTCTCGTTCAGGTACATGTCTTCTGTCTCCTTCACCAACTAAGCGGACAAGTGTGTCATCCAAATCAAGTACGAGTGGTAACTTGCGTTGTTGTAGCAGTTCTCTAGTTGATTCTCTCACGATTCTGATAATATCATCTGGTCTGCAAAGGTAACCAAACAACCATCTAATAAAAGAAAAAAATTATGGTTAAAACTAACTTGTTTATATAGATACATAGCAACAAATCACATACCTCTTGTCACCAGATGCTTTCAAATGGAGTTCCCACAATTCACCCTCTTCAGTACGCAGGTTGATATAGGCACTCTTTCTCAACCCATGCATGTCTTTGAACCAAGGATGGTCCGGGTATGGGAAGACAAATGTGTGCTGGATTCCATTCTTTGACATCTGGACAAATAGACCACGCGAATAAGAGCCTTGGATTTCATAATTATCTTCGAGTAACAGCTTTGGTTCGTTGTCTCGATCACACACATCCTGGGTAATCAGTTGGACAACTCCAGCATTGGAATTTCCATTAATACTATTATAGCTGTTGTTGTTGCTTGTATAGTTATTAACGTTGGTGTTATTGCTGCTACCACTACTGATTCCAGTTGCGACAGTAGAGACACCATTGGATAGACCATTTTGTTTTTGACCAAGAACCTTTGCAAAAGACAGCTTGGGCTTCCAGAGTCCAGGGTCGGATTTGACTTGAGGTCCAAGGCGAAGTCGAGTATGATTAGGATTTTGATCTACAGCAATATACATTTATAGATACAGACAGACAATAAATATTAGATGTTCATTCATTTGTATTATTATTATTATTATTGGTTGCATTGTATTGTATTTTAATCTTTGTTGCTTACATGTGGGTATCGATGTTGGTGTAGATGGAGGAGGAAGAGGAGTAAGAGCAAGAACAGGAGCAGGTGTAGTAGAGGCAGAAACCGGAACAGGAGCAACAGGTACAGCAGGTATGACAGGTACACACTTTCGGTCTTTTGCTGCGAGTAAGTGCAAGGTAGCGCTCAAATTGAGGATTGCCTATTCAACAAATAAAAAGAAGAAAGAATAAGGAAGATGTGGGTTATTATATAAAACCAATATTCTTGAAATTGCATAAAATAAATAGATAAATTCATTCATTCATTAATTCATTTTCAAAGAATTTCTTTCTTTTTTGTTGTTGGTTGACTGATCGATTGATTTACTATATAACTTGTATGTGTTATAGATACATAATAAACTAATGATTGTCTAGTATAAGGCAGGCAGCAAAGAATCCAAATCCAAATCGAAAAAAATAGGGCTTTCTTTTCTTTGCTTTTATATTCTTACCCTTTTTTCTTCATTCATAAATGTTGTAGGCATCTCAACTTGACGTGGCCCATCATTCAACATGCTGGCCAAATTCATTTTTTTTTTTTTTTTTTTTTTTTTTTTTTACTTTTTTTGGGTTGGAATCAAGTCAAGAAAGGGGAGGGAGGGGGGTATTCAATATAAAAATATAATTTATATATAAGAAAGAAATAAAATTAAAAATTAAAAATTAAAAATTAAAATATATTTATTAAAAAAAAGAAAAAGTTAGGTGAGGGGGGAGGGGAAATATGAAGAGACAACCAACCTTTCATTTTTATATGTGTTGAATATGTGACTTGATATTAGGCAAGGTTTGTCCGTCTCACAGAAAATTCGGGACTGCTTAAAATACAGTAGTTTGATGTCCAACATCGGAATAAAGATTCGTTTCTTTCTTTTTTTTTTTATGAGAAAGAAAATCAGAATCAGTATGAATTTGTGTTTACATAAAAGTGTTCTATCTATCAAAAATATCATATACCATAGGCTTGTCCTATAGGTAGCACATGTTTGGTATTATCCTTTGCAAAAAGTATCTGGCATAAAATGTTATATAATCTTAAAGCTTTGATTATATGGTGCTTAATTCTTTGATACTAATGGCTTTAAGAATAAGAAAATACACTATATATATATCCATTTGAGCAATCTTATAGGTACGACGTTTCTATCTAACCGGACTAATTAATTGCGACTACCTGTCCCGATCGGTGTCTTTCTCTAATCCTTGAGGGCAAAATGGTGTGTCCTGAAATTCATATAATATATTCAATTAATAGCCCTAAAATTTAGATTTGGCTATAAGAAAAAACAATGATTAGTCATAGATACACCATATCAATAGCCTGTTATATAAATCATAAGAAGTTGTTGTCATTGGAGTGTGACGCAATCTTGTTGAATATTTTTACTATTTATTGGCCATACGTGTATAATCTCTTTCTCTTTCTTTCGCCTAAATATTCCCAGAGTTCGACAGCACCAGCTGGTAAGTAATCCCCACACACCTTTTTTTTTAAAAAGCATAAAATAAAGTCTTTATACGAATATTCTGTATCCTTAAGGACCCGATAGAGTTATTCTATGCCGGAAAATAGGCCATAATCTGTGGTTCGATAGAGTCAAAATGTCGTTTCCCTAAAACTAGTGTTGCGACAATATTCACAAGGAAGGTCTTAGCAAAATCCCAAAATGTGCTACGGTTCCTATGTATTCGACACAAGTCTTAAAAGCTGCACACAATATCTGAGAGACAAGGGATATGATATTGCATTCTTACGCTCGGTTTTCTCCTCCCGTTTCCTCCTCTCTCCAGATTTCGATTGCATATATCACGGTTCACACCATCTGACGTGCGCACTGGGCATTTGTCTTTGACAACTCCTCTCCTCCTTCCCTCCCCAATGTAGTTGCAGCTAAGGCAGTGACGGCGATACATAGATCCAATGACCTCAATTCCACCTAACTAGTTAGTGTTCGTATCTCTTTCTTTCCCTTCCTGTAACTATATATTTTCTCAAATTTCAATCTCAAAGGCCACGAACTGTGTGCCTTGGCAGTATCAATGAATACAACAAAAAAGCAAATACAAAAATCTTATTTTCAAATGTGGGCTGGGTGTGAAGAAAGCTTGAAAGTAATCAAGCAGCTCAAAGAAGAACACAAAATGGCTGTGAATGCAACGATGGCAAATGGAAATCAAGAGGATTCTAGACCAAGTTTGTTAAGCATTATCAATCAAAGCACAATCAGGCTAAACGAAGGAGAACATATGAGTATTGTCGCAGAAGAAGGGCCCCATGAGTGTACCTAGTAGCCCAGATCACCATTGAAACCACTTTTTATTACAAAATAAAGTGATGTTTTTTTTTTCTGTCTCTCTTGTAAATACAATTATAAATATGTTTAGCCTGGTATAATCTAGAGGATCACATTTTACTATTATTACTACGTCTTGTCGAGAGATTTACAATGGGATGACCATAGACTCGCTTACGATGGCTTGCTGCAATCCATGAACAGGAACACTGCTTGGTGAATATGTTCAGTAGTAAAGGTAAAGGTGGGATAGTGATAGTTGAGAACCCATTGTCCAGATATCTTTTTGACATGGGATCTATGAGAGCTTTAGATTAAATTAAAGCCCATTCCTATATCGCTTATTGATACAAGAGGAGGGAAGACCACTTTTCACTCTCACTAGATACAGCAGAAATACTGTGGCCAGTCAAGATATTTCTCGGGCGAAGGGCAGGGTTCATATGTAGTTGTTATTATGCTTTTCTTGCACAAGTAAGTTTTCTTTTTTTTAAAAACTTTTTTTTATATTGAGATTAGCAAGATGGGTTAAAGAGATTGAAGAAGAAGAAGAAAATGAAAATTTCGTATAGTTCAAGTTATTTCTATTTTGAAAGACATACCGTGGCTGTTAGGACATTAAAGAATAATGTTCAAGGCCATGTTTTTCGGACTATGTGTTTATAAAAGGGTGATGTTTGGCAAGAAGAAAGTGGTTAATGTCCAAGATAATGAATGGGTTAGTGGAAGCAGACATATTTCCAGCCTGTCTATACCGTTCCCCCACTTTTTTTTTTCTGTATAAATTCCTTTGTTGCAATATCATAAAAATATATGTAAGAGCCTTTGAGATAGTTAAAAAAAAAAAGCGCAAATTGGGCCTGGTAAACCCGTAAATTGGCCAATAAAAGAGCGCGAATTGGGAACTTGAAAAACCGTAAAAAAAAAACTACAAAGACGCAAATTGGTACCGTGAGCACTGTACTTTGTACTCTCCAAAAAAAAAAAAGTCCAAGTAACAGCAACCAAAGAAAATACACGTCTTTACAACTCCTCTTTCAAACAAAAAGAGAGAGAGAGAATAATACCTCTTGTGAATCAATAAAATAAAGGGATCCTTGTAAAAAGAAGAAGACTATTCTTATATAAATATAAATATAAATATGTACAAATATGTATATGTATATGTATGTATTCTATGATCAAGCTTTGTCAGTGTAACAGAATAATACTACTGCTACTACTTATAACAACAATACTAATAGCAAATTACAGCGTCAAATGGACTTGATTGAATCTCCATCAAGGGTCCCCAGTGCACTCATTGGTCATTTATCATGGTTGTATTATATATTCTGGCTTTCATTTTATATATACAATTTATATTATATTATATATATATATTCTTTTAATTCTTGGCTTTCATTTTTTTTTATTTTTTACTTTATTCTTTTTGTTCATCTGGAATGGACCAACCTCAGAATGACCTGTCTTTGGTCAAGATCATCACCCTTGGGCTGGGTGCTCTAATCAGCTGGTTGTTCATCAGTTGGTTCTCTGCGCCAAAGGGAAAAAAATTCACTGTCAAACCACCTGCCCGTAAATATATAATTACACCATATATATACATTTTTATCTATATCTATATCTATATATAAAAATACACAGACAGATAGATTTTGCTTTTATATAGTAGCTACTAGTAGCTTAATATCTACAAACAAGGTCATCTAACTCTTATATAAATCCAATGCAATATGATATAATATTTATTTACGTCTTATTACCAAAAGCTACTTCTTCTGACTGGAAAGGACCTGTGCTCAACAACCCTTCTTTAAGAGTAAGTCCTCCAAGAAAAAAAAAATTGAACGCCCCTTATTTTTTTTTCTTAGTTTAAAGAAGTATATGTATAAACCATATTACGCGTTACTACATATATTTTTTTTGAATCACAAGTTAAAAGGAATCCAGGGATTATAAGCTAACTATTCCATTATTATATATATAAAAAACAATAGAGTGCCTCTGATCCTACTAATATCGTATGCTATGACCCTGCTACCGGACAACACATTGAAGATATCCGTTCCCCTTCCCCTGAAGATGTAAAGATTATTTATGAAGAAGTCAAGGCCGCACAGGTCGAGTGGGCCAAGACGACTTTTGACCAACGCAAGGCTGTCCTGACTAGTATTCTTGACTTTGTAATCGAAAACCAAGAAGATATTTGTCGCGCCAGTTGCAGAGATACCGGAAAGACCAGTAAGTTCATCGTTATAATTACTATTAGTATTATTATTACTATATGTATGTATTCAATAACAATAAACTCAAAGAATGATTTTTTTTTTAAAAAATAAATAAATTTAAAAGTGATTGATGCTTCTCTCGGAGAAATCTTTACTACTTGTGCTAAACTCAGATGGACAATTGACCATGGTGAGGAAGCTTTGGCCGAGGATCACCGTAGCCCTGGTTTGATGATGATTTACAAGACCGCAAAGGTTGTGTATCAGCCCATGGGTGTTGTTTCTGCCTTGGTTAGCTGGAACTATCCGTAAGTATAGCGCAACTAATATATACTCGTAGAAAGTTTTTTTTTTAAAAAAAAAAAACAATATACTTGATCAGATTACATCAACTGGGTCAATTCTTTGGATTCTAATGATTGACAATTTTGGTATTGTTTTCTTATATATATAACAGTTTCCACAATGCTTTTGGTCCCGTGATTTCTGCCCTGATGTCTGGAAACGGCATCATCGTCAAGTGCTCTGAATATGTTGCCTGGTCTTCTGCTTACTACCAAGAGATCATCCACGCCTGTCTCAAGGCTCACGGATACGATACCAACCTTGTCCGCTTTGTCTCTGGTTTCGCTGATGTCGGTGAAGCCGTTGTCCGCTCGGGTGTCAACCACGTCACATTCATCGGTTCTCCTGGTGTCGGCAAAATCGTCCAGCGCAACGCATCCGATCTCCTGGTTCCCTGTTTGCTTGAGTTGGGTGGCAAAGACTGTGCTATTCTGTTAAAAGACACCGATCTTGACCACGCCATGCCGGTCCTGATGCGCGGCGTGTTCCAGAACTGCGGCCAGAACTGTGTTGGTATCGAACGAATCATTGTTGCCCAGGAAATCTATGACAAGGTTGTGGAAGAAATGAGTGCAAGAATCGTACGTCTCCGTCAAGGATCTGTTTTGGCTGATGGTTCTGGCGTTGACTGTGGAGCAATGACGATGGGTAACCAGGTAAAAAGAGAAAAAGAAAATTAAAAAAAGAATCATATTTTATTTGCTAATTTATCATTCTCAAAAAAAAAAAAAAAAAAAAAAAAGTTTGAGAAATTGGAAGGTTTTGTTAAGGATGCTGTTTCCAAAGGAGCCCGTTTGTTGCATGGCGGAAAGCGATTCCACCACCCGATTCACAAGTCTGGCCAGTACTTTGAGCCCACTCTTTTGGTAGACGTTACTGCCGACATGGACATCGCCAACGAAGAAACCTTTGCGCCCATCATGGTCATCATGAAGCATACTGGTCCTGAGGATGCCGTCCGTGTTGCTAACCTCTGTCCCTATGGTCTTGGATCGTCTGTCTTTTCTGCCGACAAAGCCTTGGCCGAAAGTATCTGCCGCAAACTCAGGGTCGGAATGTCGAATGTCAACGATTTCGGTGTCAACTATCTCTGCCAAAGTCTGCCTTTTGGTGGTGTCGGTATTTCTGGTTACGGTCGCTTCTCTGGTGCTGAAGGTCTTCGTGGTTTGTGCACACCAAAGGCTATCACAGTTGACCGCGTTCCGTTTGTCAAGACTCCCATCCCTCCTATTGTCGACTACCCTGTCAAGAGTGCCTTTGTTGGATACGGTTTCCTCCAGAATGTGGTTGGCATGACCTATGGTACCAGCCCTGTCGAAAGAGCCAATTCTATCGTTGGTATTATCAAGGCTTTCTTCTAAACCCTCCAAAAAAAAAGACAGATACAAACATATGTTTATCTGATTTCTGTCGTCTTTTTCTATTTCTTTCTTTAAAATATATATATAAGAAAGACATACAATTACATGTCTGCCTTACCCGTCCTCTTCTTAATTACCACCCCTTCCCTCTTTTACTTTATTTTTTCCCTCCTTATTATTACATTAATAAACATTTTCAAACAAAGCAAAACAAAAAAAAAGACATAGGGTGTACTTCCTCTATAAAAATACATGTGTATATTTGGGTAATAGAATAATATTATTATAAAGAAATATAGAAATGGCTAAGCAAGATAAGTAGATAGATAAATATAAAATAAAATAAAATATAAAATAATAATTGAAACAAGAAGACTTGAATATACTATGTTATACTATACTTCATGTACATTTGTATAAAGATGTATATGTATATGTAAGTATGCATGCAAGTATAAGAAGAAGAAAAAAAAGAAAAATAGTATAAAGATAAAGTAAAGAAGAAAAAAACACACGGGATTCTTGCTCTTTTCTTTCCTTTTCTTTTGCTGTTGTTATTTATTGTTGTTGCTTCTTCTTGCCCTTCTTGGTAATAACAACCTGGAAAGAGTCATCGGCGGCAGCACTCTCAAAGGCAGTGGAAGGTGCAACGGCAGTAAGGTTTCCAGCCATGTCAGCCTTTCTACGCTTCATGAATTCTTCAGAGAAACGACGGCCATCCATAGAAGTAGAGTTGGCGTAGATCATGTCCTGAATAATCTCAGCAGAGCTCTTGTCGAGAGGGAAAGAGAGCAACATTTGCATAATCTCATCACCTATAAAAAATTAAATTAAATTAATTAATTGAAAACGAGAATAATAAGAATAAGAATCATAGTTATTATTATGAAGAAGAAGTAGAAGAACAATATTACCACCATTGCCCTCTACATATATATATATAATTAACACTTTACCATTCACACCAGAGTTCAAACCACGCAAAGCCTGTCTGCACCAGCGTGTAAATTCTTCGCTAGGCTGTTTGGATTCAGGCTCGTGGGTAGATTTGCGGACAACGGAAGTTCTGACAGGGGCGGCGGCGGCAACAGGGGCAGGGGCAGGGGTAGACTTGACACCAACTGTCTCCCATCCACCACTGTTACTAGCACTACCACTACCACCAACATTGCTTGTAGCACTACGGCTGGAAGAACTAATGGGTGCAGGTGAGGCTGTTGCAGCACCAGCTGCTACCATTCCTGATCCAGAGAGAATCTTGGAAACAGCACGGCTGTTGGTCACAGTAGTCCAGGCACCTCCACTTACAGCGGTCTACAGAACAATAATAACCCCCCAAAATTAATTAATTAATTATTATTTTTTTAAAAAAAAAAAAGAAACATATATATATATATATATATGTGTGTGTGTGTGTGTAGTAGAGGCTAGAAAACACACCAAGCCAAATACCCCAATTTAAACTATTTCTATATATGTATATATGTATCGTATCTCTTTACCTTTGGAGAAGCACTGCTGGCAACACCTGCATATCCCTTTCCGGTCAATCCACTGAGACTTGTCGACAAAAGCAAGTTGGAGTTCGAGGCAGCATAGCTGGCAGCAGCTGCCTGTTGGGCCTTTGCCTTCTTCTTCAATGCGGCTTCCTCTTCTTGCTGGATCTCGCGCAAAGTCTTTTTGGGTGCAGCAGTAGTACCCCAAGCAGGGGACATAGTACCGCCGTTAGAAGTTCCGGTAGGTGTGCTGGCACCCGAGGCAGAAGCAGCTCCTCCACCGTTGTTCTTGTTGCCTGTCACAATACCTCCCCATGCGGACGAAATAGAATCATCACCGCCGTAGCCAGACTGGAAGTAGGCAGCGGTCTGCTTTTCGGCAGCCTCCTTTCTCATCTCGGCCTCCTTGGCTTCCAATTCCTGGATCTCACGGAGCGAAGGGCCCTTGGCAGGACCATCACGAGCCCAGGGAGCACTAGCCCATCCACTGGTCTTGGTCTGACCGCCACTACCATTACCTACCACTCCTGATGATACATCATCTCCACCATTGATTGCAGCCTTAGCCTGCTGCTGTTGCTGTTGTTGTTGTTGCTTAATCTCTTCCTGTTTTTTCATTTCCTCGGCTTGGATTTCTCTCAAAGATACAGGCTTCACTGCAGGTGCGCTGTAAGTAGACTCAACACTAGACTGGCTTGACTGTTGGTTCTGTTGCTGTTTCTTGGAACCAGCAGCAGTACCATTAACATCACGCTTCTGTTGATCTTGAGTCTGTTGTTGTTGAGACTTTTGTTTCTGTTGAGTTTCCTGTTTCTGTTCCTGTTGACCAGAAAATGATTCCTGTTGTTCTTGGGTCTGTTGCTCCTGTTGTTTATTAACCTTCTGTTGTTGGCTTTTGGTTTGGTCAGCTTCGTTATCCTTGATTTGGAAATTAGCCATTGCTTTGGAGATTTCTTCCTCTCTTCTACGGTTTTCTTCAATAGATCTAGAAAGTTCGGCATCAAGGCTGTCTTTTTGTTGTCCGATATTATTGGTCTGGTTCTTTACTTGAGGTGAAAGAGATACACGAGATGTCTGTTGTTGTTGTTGTTGCTGTTGCTGTTGACCGGGTGCCTTTGAACTGAGCTCATCTGAAATCTTGTTTTGAATGGCAGGGGGAACAATAGAACCCCAAGGGCTAGAAGGAGCTTCGCCACCCAAAGGAGTTCCGGGAGCAGATCCCCAATTGGCAGAACCTACTGCAACAGCCGAGCGAATCACGGGCGAGCCCTTGCCTCCAAGATCTAATCCGGGTTTCTTGAAAAGAGCTGGCTGTAAAGGATTCTGGAGATCAGATTGTTGGAGTCCTACTCCATTTCCTTGTTGTTGCTGATGATGTTGGTGCTGCTGATGCTGCTGTTGTTGCTGCTGTTGTTGCTGCTGTTGATGTTGATGTTGATGTTGATGTTGATGTTGATGCTGATGTTGGTGTTGATGTTGGTGCTGTTGCTGTTGCTGTTGCTGTTGCTGTTGCTGCTGAAGCTGGAGCTGTTGTTGTTGGAGCTGCTGCTGAAGCTGCTGCTGCTGGTGATGATGATGATGATGCTGCTGTTGCTGCATAATCTGGAGTTGAAGTTGTTGCTGGTATTGAAGGTGCTGCTGCTGCTTTTGTTGCAACATTTGAAGGTATTGTTGATGGGGATCCATCTGACCATTCATTGATCGCTGGTAATCAAACAAACCTCCTGCGGCAGGTGAACTCATACCTGAGCCAAACAGAGGGTTCATTGTTGGCTGTTGCTGCTGCTGTTGCTGTTGCTGTTGCTGTTGTTGTTGTTGTTGTTGCTGCTGCTGTTGGCGCTGTAACAAAGTAGGTACACCTCCAACTCCAACTCCACCAAGTGGGTTAGCAGAGCCAAACAAGTCATTTTGGTTGGTGTTGTTCAACCACGATGGAGTTCTAGGCACGTCTCCCCAGGGAGTCGATGGCGAATCACGCGATCCGAGAAGAGAAGATCCAAAGCCGTTAAATGATCCCTGAAGAATGGATGGCGATTGGGGGGTTCCGGGATTCGAGCCCATTGGTTGGTTGAGGAAATTTCCGACTCCACCAAAAGGATGGTATTTGTTACTGTTATTCGAATTAAGACCAGCACTGCCACTACCAGAGAGGTGGTCTGTAGCAGGAGATCCAGTTCCAAACAAAACACTTCCACCTACACCTCCAATCCCGTTACCAACATTACCGCCGCCGCCGCCAAGTCCGCCGCCATTAAGAAGACCAGCTGAATCAAGTCCATTTGAGCCAAATAGCGGGTTTCCGGCAGACGAAGACGAAGCCGAAGAAGGTCCACGACCGAAAGGATCTCCACTAAGTCCTCGAACTTGGGATGCGAGCGAGAGGTTGAGACCGGAACGAAGGTTGGCGGGTGAGTCAGCCGAAGAAGAAGATGACGATTGCGGTGGCTGCTGCTGCTGTTGTTGCTGCTGTTGCTGAGGTTGCTGCTGCTGTTGATGCGGTCCGTGGAAGGGTGTAAGGAACGGCTGGTCTTCATTTCCAACCTTACGGGTCAGAACAACGAGTGGTTCGAACAAAGACTCGTCTTCACGCTTGACGAGCAAAGAAGGCGAAAAGAAACCAGCCTTGTACCACTCCTGCATTTCGGTGGCGTCAAAGGGACCCTGGACATTTCCGGCAGGATCGCGGTAGAACCACTTGTACTGGTCCAAGGGCTTGCGGGAAGAAGATGCATTTGCACCTGGGGTTCCGGTCAAACCAGCAGTTCCGAACAGACCACCGGCTGCAGCAGGCGACTCTCTGCCGTTACTGCTGTTGTTACCGCCAATGCCACCAATGCCACCAATACCGGCAGTGAGGTCAGATCCGAATGCGGATGATCCCCCCAATGTGTGGGATCGTGCAAAGCTTGGGGCGTGGTCCGAAAGAACGGAGTCAAAGGGACTCGAGACAGGCAAGTACTCCCGGAGACTGTTGAGATTGCTGTTATTAAGGTCATCTGTTTGATGACGGAAACCTCCAGTTCCGGTTCCAGTTCCAGCTCCAGTTCCAGCTCCAGCTCCAGTTACTCGTCCATCCTTATTACGCCCTTCCAAAATACTTTCTGATTGCCAGTCCTTTTCCAAAGTCTCGCCACTACCACCCGAACGGAACACGCCGTTATTGTCAAATGATCCCAGGGTATCCTTACTGGCACCTCCCCAAGCCATCTCATCCTGCCCATCTTCAATACCCTTTGACAAAGATCCAAATGAGTCGTCGATGTTTTGATCGGATGACTGAGAGAATTCACGTCGTCTTGGTGTGTCAACTAGATTAAAAAGAAACAATATATTAGAATTTATATAATTATAATTATAATTATAATTATAATTATATTACCTCCTCCATCAGTTCGTTGCTTTCCACCATACTGATCCCGGTCTCGCTGGAAATAATCGCCTACACGTCCTATAGCAATAACAAGAATATTAATAAATAAATCACAAAGAAACACGCCATAAAATATTTCAAAATTCATATATTATAATTATCACGGAGATTTCTTCTACTACTACTACTACTACTACTACTACTACTACTACTACTACTATCACTACTACCACTTGCTCTTTTCTCTTTTTCTTCCTCTCTTTTGATTCAAATAATAGTAGCAATAATAGAAACACGTGGGACAAAGTATATATATATGCCTTGTAAATATGTGTTGATTG